GAGGAGGAGGAGGAGGAGGAGGAGGAGGGAGAGGATAGATACCTTGTAACGGCAGATGAATTGACGGAAGAAAAGAAGAAGGAGAAGAAGGAGGAGAGAGGAGGAGAGGAGTCGAGAGTCTATTCCATGTCGGTTGATGAGACTGTAGGTGATGCGTGGACGAGGTTGAGTTCGGACTCGTCAATGACGGGAAAGACGGGGAGAGCGGCGGCGAGGGCGATGAAGCCGGCGATGAGGAAAGAGGTGCTCATCCTGGTGAGCCTGCAGTAATATAGTCTGAGAGGATAGCAGAGTTGATCGAGCTGATCGAGCTGCTCGAATGGCTCAGTCTGTCGGTTCCTGGACTGGCTAAGATATGACGTAGGGTAGGAGACGGGCCTGAGGGAATGGGCTTGGGAAAGAAGGGAAGAAGGGAAGAATGTATATATATATATATATATCTGTGTGTGTGTGTGTGCGGTAGTAGTAGTAGTAGTAGTAGTAGTAGTATATTGAGAAGCCGTAGCTGGTATCGGTATATGATCAAGAACAAAAGTCGGGATGAAGAGAGAGAGATGGAGAGAGAGAGAAGAAGAAGAAGAAGAAGGGAGAGAAGCGGACGAAGCAAGCGGTTTAAACCTTGGACCTCTCCTCCTTTCCCTACCCAGCCGTCGTCATGTCTCCAACCGTTGACCCACCACCACCAAGATACGCAAGAGATGATGTCCTCTCTGGTCGAGAGGGAAGCTCCGAGAGTGAGGGAGGGGAGGGTAAGGGGAGTCCGGGACGGAAGTGCGGGAGCCTTCGTACCTGCAACGTGATGTTACTACTGTACAGGTAACCTTGGAGGGGAGAGAGAGTCATTATGCGGCTCGGCTGCGGGTTTACGTCGTCTTGAGTTGTTGTCGTTGTTGTCGGGGGATCTTTCTTCTCCTCTTCCTTGCCCTTCACGTCTCCTATCCTGATAGAAGGCATCTTCAACAGTATACTATTCATCAGGACCTCTCGCCTCTGCTTTGCCCCGAGTCACAATCGAAGGAGTTGTGATGGAAGAAGAGGATGAAAAAGGGAAAAGAAAAAGAGAAAAGTCGACGACAATGTAACAAGTACAGGCATGTATCATTCTGATGGCGCGGCTAACGAGGGGAACGCGCGTTGAGGATTCGTATGCCTTTACGAAAATGGGTCGAGGCACTTTTTAATCATTTTGTTAATCATTCTTTTTTAAAATCATTTTTTCAAATCATTTTTTTCAAAAATCACTTTCTTCTCTTCTTCTTCTTCTTCTTCCTCTTCCTTTCTTTAACTCTCTCTCTCTCCAAAAACACAAATAGTTTCTTCTTATACATGCTATTATTAGTACTATCCTCATCATCATCATATGTTTTACTCTACGTTGTTATGCGTATCGATCAATGCTTGGGGGACTAAGGTCAACACAATACGTCTACACATGTTTTCTTCTTCTTCTTCTCTCTCTTCTATCCAGCTCTAGTAAGCATGTACTCGTATGTCCCTTCTAGGGTCTAGACCTTGTACGGATGGGGAGTATGATCATTACGAGTACATCTACGTCGTACGTATACGAATCCGCACCTCTCCCTCCCTCCCTCTCCCTCCATTACTCAGCCTGTTTTTGTGGGTTCCTCTGTAGAGCATCATTCCGTCCCGCTCAGCACTCTCCATCTCGTGGGTGAGTTTCCTCTTCATCAATACCTTTTGCTCGCTCTCCTTCTTTCTCTCTCTCGTCCTTGTCCTTCTGATTGTCTTCTTCGGACTCTCTCTCGCTCTCTCTCTCTCTCTTCTTCTTTCTTTCCCCCCACAAAGACGGTGTGGAGTACAGGCCCATCTCACCTGACCTGGTCATCAGGAGACAAACAAACAAACAAACGAACCAAACTGAGCCAAAAAAGAAAAGCATCTCATCATTCATATCGTACCGACGCTCGTAAACGTTTGGCGGCATCTGGGATCCCTACCTAGTCCAGCGACCCGGCCAGCGCGACAGCGCTGAACCTCAAATCACCACCTTCCCTCTCTAGAAACTTGAGCGCCCCAACCTTGAGTCCGGCCTCGCTGAGCACGTCGTCGTCCCCGGACAGCTCTCCCCGCCGGATAGGTCCCTTCCTGCGACCGTCGAGCTCCCACAGAGCGCCGTCGTCTCCCTTGACGAAGCACACGTAGTGCAGGTCCACGTCGTCCTGCGCGTCCGGGGCAGACGTGTCCCCCGCCGAGGCCGCCTCGCGGTGCGCGCTCGCCAGCTCGGGCGTCTGCTCGAGCAGACGAGATCTCTGCGCCGGTGTCAGGTCGATCGATTTCGAGAGCAGCTTGTCCAGCGTCGAATCCTTCTCTATATATATATATGTGTGTGTGTATATATATATACACGATGCGGCGTCAGCTTAGCGTTCCGTGATGTAGATATAGGACGTTACCGGATCCTGACATCATTGGAAAATCTCTACATCCGACGCGGAACCGTAACCCTGAGCCAAAACCGTAGGAAGGGGGGGGGGGGGGGCGCGGAGGAGAACAGAGGAAGACAGGTGAAGGAGGAGAAGAAAACAAGCCCACATACCGATAAAGTTCCTCGCAGACCCGTTGCAGACGGCATGGAGCAGACCCATCAACCCGCACGCATTGCGGATCGTCTGCTTCCACCAGACCACCGGCTCGGAACCGCCGCTACCGGTGTACTCCGTCGCCGTGCTGTCCTCCGCCATCCGGTGAGACTCGTAGGCCGCGCTGACGGGGAAGACGAGCAGCAGGGCCAGCGCCGGCCGCGGGATGAATGCCAGCAGCTCCGGCTCCGTGAGCGAGTAGACGTCGTGAAGCTGCAGCGCCGGGGACAGCCCGAGCTTGTGCACCAAGTCCGTCATCAGCTGAGGGTTGGCCTCGAGCGGGATGAAGGCTGGCGCGCCCGGTTGGGGATCTGGATCTGTTGTCGACGACATTTTTTTTTCTTCCTTTTTAAATTTCCTTTTGAATATATATATATATATGTGTGTGTGTGTGTGTGTGTGTGTGTGTGTGTGTGTTTGGTTCTGGTCTGGCTTGCTGTTCTGATCCCTCTCTCTCTCTGCCTCCGATCACCTGCGTTTTTCCGCGGTTGGACCAGATGTGGTAGAAAGAAACAGGATCGTAATCTGGTGAACGAGGTGGAGAGAATCGGACAGGCTCGTGCAGAGAAACCAGGTCAAGATGCCGATATGATCGATGCAAGTCCGAAATGGCAAGCTGGGCCTGACCTTTGTCGACGTCAGCGGTGGCGGGGAATGGCGGGGCAGAGACGGAGGGGGACCGATGGGGAGGGGGAGGGGAGGGGGGAAACCATTTCTCCGTACATGAATGATGATGTACATCATCCGCGACGGGAGAATACTCTCGTCATATTTATATCTATATATCCATTCTCTACACTATAGGTGCGAGGAGAGCCGGCTACTGTCTATGCAGAAACATGTAATATGTCGTCGTCTGCATGCGTCTCGAGTCCCTTTCAACATCGCACTCTGATGCCAGTTGGTGGAGGGTGGAGAGGGGTAGAGTGAGAGCTCTCGACCACCACTACTGGCCAGTACCGGCCCATCCAGCAGTGCGCACGACGTCGCCAGGCTGATATACTGAACATCATCACTCTCTACTACACTACTCTGCAACTTCCTTTTCCTAATCACGGTCACATGGCCTGTCGGGGTCACGGAACAGGCCGTCTGCGCTCAACATGGCCGTCGTAGCAGAGAGACATTTGTGGTATCTGGTCTGCTTTCACCACCGCCAGATGACATCGGGAGTCTTTGTGTGCGGGCATTGCCCGACGGGTATCCCGTAACCTGCCCTCCTCCGACGAGCTGCGCCGCAGCGAACTCGTCTTCCCTCGCGATATGTGATATTGCGTGCGTTTCCACCCGCGCGGCTGATCGACGCAGCATCGACCAAGCACCAGGATAACAATCGGCCTATCACCCACCGAGTACTGGTAGTATCCAACATGCTTCTCTTCATCATCATTCACCGCTCATAGTAGTACAATCTAGCATGGCCATGATGCTCGTATCTGCATACAGCCGAGATCCGCGAGCCAAGTAATACGGTGACGCTTTCCGTGGAAAGAGCTGGTTACTGTGGGACCCCATCGCACGAAGCTTGACCGTATCTCTCTCTCGCACTAATCAATACCGACGCTGGCCAGTCTCCCTGGCGTCCATGCCGTCGGTGGCGGTAAGAGACCATCTCACGGGAGCCATCCACGTGCTGCGAGCTGTCTGGGTGCAGCGTCGAGCCTTGCGAAGAAAGGTGCCTGTGCGGTGCATCGTCTGCAGGCTGCAGGACAGGCACATCGTCAGAGAGGCCAATCGGTGGGCCATCGTGTCCTCGCCAACAACAGAGTCGCCTCACGCCACGCCACCTCGTGCCGAAAGCACACAGCCGGCCAAGTCAACCTGCCGGATTCCACCGGCTTCGGGGGGGCGCCATGTTGCCGAGTACGCGGTCAGCCATATACTTCAACCCGGGGGCGGGGAGGAGTGCGAAGTATAGATCAAGCCTCGAACCTTGGACAGTTGAATACTAGGATAGTAGTCACGAGCGGCAAGCATTGCTGAGCATTGCTCGATTCGAGACGGCGCCGTCTCTTCCCAATATTGCATCTGAAGAAAGGGGCAGACAAGAATAACGGCGTTCTCCTCCCCCCCCCACCCCCCCTCTCCCCTTTGATTTCCTCCAGCTCAAAATCTTGATCTCACCTGTGTCCCCCCCTCCCTCTGTGCGCGTGGCCCCGGTGGATCGTGTCAAGCCAGAGACCACTCCAACTAGCACGAGCGCTAGAATACGGAGCGCATGTCCACGTACTCGTTCCGTGGGACGGCCTGCTCCTTTTGCACTCCGCAAATCGTATTAGCAAAAGAGCTAGGTAATGAACAATAGCTGAATCCAGGGGCAAGTTGTGGAACTAATGTCTAGGCTCTCTCTCTCTCTCTCTCTCTGGCGCAGAGCGCACGATATCTGCCGGAGATTGGATACTTTGGAACAGCATAAAGTATTGTTACCCGCCAATGACATCTCGGACAGATTCCAGATCCGTATTGTGTAGTAGACTGTGATGCCGACCTGTTGTCGCTGGACTCCCCGCACCGCTTGTGCTCTCGAAAACAGCGACGCATTCCGCCCAGGATGGAGGCGCCAGCAGCGCTTTCTCGATTTGAGGACGGTGGTGTCCGTAATACCAGCCTCGTATGGCTGTGCGCACGCACGTATTGATACTTGCCTGCAACACGGCACAGAGATGGCCTTGACCGTATTGCGGCGTATCGCTCGTACCTGTACCGTAATGTCATCATTACCCACTAGCCCTGGGGAGTTCAGTCATCAAACAAAGATGGTGTGCATGGGTTTGCGCGGGAGTTTCAATGGTGTGCAGACCAGAGATCGGCAATTGGTGGAGCGTGATTCTTCGATTCGAACGGCACCCCCCCCCCCCTGTCGTGGACTTGACGTGGGTCGATTGGTAGTGAGAGCTGAGGGCTGGAATATCTCGTCGTGGATTGTCATTGGCTAGGACGGATTGAGATTTCTCTTCGTCCTCTCAACCTGTATCGGCATCTTCTTTTCTTCCTCACCTTCTTTCTCTCTCGTTAGCTCCTGAGCGCAGGTGCAGTGGGGTTGTATGGTAATGGACACTCTGAATCATGCTGTAGTCCGGAGTTCGGTGAGCCTAGCGGAGGGTGGCAGGACTATTGCAGGATAGAACTCACCACTGATCATATCACCGATGGCATGGATCAGTTGGTTGGCAGAGTCCCATGACGGGTGTGCAGAGCAGTCGCATCGGAGACGGGGGAGACAACGCGAGAGTAGAGCCCGACGCTTGCTTGCACGGGTGTTTGATCCATATCTGTACACGCAGTAAGGTAGCCTGCAGGTACGAGCACGAGGACAGGGTGATGATAATAATAGAGTGGGAGGATAATAACAGATCCAAAGCAGAGGGACTCTGTTCCATGGGATTCCATCTGCAGCTCTCTAGCTTTCTACGAGTACGGAGTACAGTGAGTGGGAAGAAGGAAGGAGCCCCCTGGCGGGTGGTGGCACCTGCTGCACGTCGTGGTCATAGCTAATAATACAGTGCATGGATCGTATGCAGGAGTGGCAGAGTGCAGTGGCAGAGTGCAGGTAGAGCCGGTATTACTGGTATCAATTATCAGGGGCGCATACGTGTAATGTACGAGCGGTAATATGGACCTGGTGCCTGAGCTGGGAAGACGATCGTGGCTCATACTCGTACAGTAGGTATCATTATTTGTTACCTGTACATTGAAACTAGTTTTTATCCGAAACAGACGAGCATGAACGACGAAGCGTCGAGGACGGAAAGAATCTCTCTCCGCGTTGGGAATGAAACAGGAGAGGAGAAAACTGCCGAGCTCAGCCTGGACGGAGTGGGAAGTCGCCATAGACAGTCACACCCGAAGAAAAAAAAAAGAAGGGCAGCAGAAAGGAATAATTAACCGCGTAGTTGGGAAGGTGCGACACTTTAATAACAATACCCCCATTCACACCTTTCCCCCTGGATCTTTTCACGTAGTAAATTTTTTGTCCCTCACTCTCCATTCTCTCTCTCTCTCTCTCTCTCTCTTTCCGTTCCAACTCTCCACCATGTTGCATCATATTACTCTCCGTCTTTTCTCCCCCTCTTTTCTTCTTCTTTTTTTCTTTCTTTTTTTCCATCTTTCATTTCGACTGCATCGCCATCTCCCTCTCCTTCTCTCTCCCTCCATCTCATACATGTATTACTATCAGTAGGTATTATGGATGGTGATGGTGAACGTTTCTTGGATACACTGCCACGCTTTCTTACTTGTTGTATTACTCTCACCCTCACCCTCACCCTCACCTCACCCTCGCTCTCGCCTTCCCACACGATCTCCTCTCGTCACTACTAGTCCTCGCACTAGCAATATAGCAATATTACCCCGAGCTCGTAATAACAAACATGCTCGTTTTGAGACGGTATTAGTTCCGCTCCACTTGGACCATTGGGCAAACCACCATCCACCAGAAGCCACAACCGCAACCGCAGCATCTATCGTACAGATTAATACGACCGCGACTTCCGTACGGAGTGTTATTACATATTACATATTACCACCGCCTGCCGCTAACCGTCTGTCCCACTTGGTGCACGCCATCCAACATCGCCAGTCCACACCTGCAAGCATCGATTGACGGCTCACTACTGCACGGCAAAGTATCATTGCATCTTCTTTCCAGCTTCCAAGGCTCTTGGCCCGTTCACGAGTGCGTTCACTTGCTACTATCAGTACTGCTACCGATATTATAGCGCACTCCGTATTACATCGTGCACTGTGCTAGCAAACTTGTCACTCCTAGTCTCTCACAGCCCAACGGTCAAACTGCAAAACGCCCGTTGTTGGTAGCTGATACCCACACTTCCGACAATACACGCCCCCATCGCCTCTCTCTCTCTCCCACAGACTCTCTCTACTTCTCGCTCAGAGTCTTCTCTAATTCGGCTGCCGCCAGTCTCGTCCACACATACACACACACACACACACACACACTCACTCACTCACTCACTCGCTCATTCACTCGCTCACTCACTCACGCATATTCCCTCTCTCTTCTATTTCCCTCAGCTCTCCTCTCCTCTTCTTCCTCTTCCTCTCCTTCTCCTCCTCCTTCTTTCTTTTCTGTACCTTCTATACCTTCTTTCTTCGACACTCTCGTCTCCCATCCAGATACCTTCCATCTCGTAGCCATTCGCCATCTCGTACAGACACTCTCGCGACAAGACACCAGACATATTCGCCCCCACCCACACACCCCCGGTTCTATTGGCACCACTGTGCTTTGCGACGTGCTTATTCGCCGTGGCCCAGAATACACTCCCCTTCTCGCCTAGACCATATCGCGTCCCACGGCCCCAGGTCGGACTTCCTGGATCTTTGGTTCTCCGCTCCCTCCTTTCGTCTGTGTATGTGTTATGTATCACTGCCCCCCCCCCCCCCCCTGCACCTCGCCGCTTGGCCCTGATCGCTTCGACGCTTGACCAAGTTGCCCTCCGATGGTACTGCCCTCTGATACCTGAGCTCAGCTGTTACCTGGACTCGCAGCTGCCGAGACAATCCTCCTTTCGGCTCCTCCCATCTCCCATATACCAAGCAACTCTCTCCATATTCACATCTGCGACATCGCCACACGCCTCAGCCGACACCCGATCTGACGCATCGTAACTGCTGGCCCTCTGATGGCCCTGTCCCTACCATGGGCCTCTTCAGCTTCCTGGCCAACAGGAGGGCGACTGGCGACAGCCCTGGCATCGCGAGACTCCAGGCCGCCCACGACAACGCCCTCATCCTAAAGGGCCATGCCTATGATTCCGCCGCCGCAGCCCTCCCTCCCGCTGTCGGGAACATGCCCGTCGCTGGCAACGGGCCCAAGACCCTGCACGACCTCAGGCTTGCCGCCGCCCGCAAGCAGAGCGTCGCCAGCCTCCCCGCCTCCAACGCATCTGCGCCCTCCCCCAAGGCCTCCCGTCGCCGGTCCAGGAGCGCCAACCGACCCAATACGGCGCCCACCCACGCACCACTTCTTCCTCATCACCGCCCCAAGTCAGCTAACCCCAACTCGCCGCGCCACGGCTCCTTCAGGCTTTCCGCCCTGCCGACATCGAAGAAGACGACGCCCGGTCCGCCCTATCTGCTGGGCATCGTCGGCCCCGACGCCTCCGGGGATAGCAGTGATACCGCAGACCTCTCCGCCTCGGTGCCCTCGGTACCTCCGGTCCCCCGGATCGCCCCCCACCGTAAGGATGCCGCTAGCTCACCTCGCTCGCCGAGGTTCAAGCCTATGCCTCTGAGCATCAGCCACCCACCCGTCTCGCCCAGCATGCCGGCCACGCCTGTTCGCAGCGGTCCCGTGCGCGGTCACATCGATCTTCTCGATGCCCAGGGCGCCTTGAAGCCCTCGGACTTCAAGACACGCCTGCAGGCCGCCGGCGCCCGAGACTATGGAGAGGACGTGGCCGAGCGCAATATTGGCGGCGGCGGCGTCGACCTCAAGTGCCCCGCTGTCGCCGCCTTCTACGCCCTTACCGGTGGTGGCCCGCTCGCCTACAAGTCCGACGGTAGTGCCGTCGATGTTCACGGCAACCGCTACGCCGCCGATGACATCCCGGACAACCTGTCCACCCGCGTTCAGGGCAAGGACAGCGACGAGCTACCGGCCCCCGTGAACGACAGCATCCAGACACGCAGGTTCCCCGCTCGCTCCTCGAGCCTCGATCCCCGCCATGCCTTCGCCCTCGACGACTCGGCCGTCCCTGGAACCGCTCGCGGACCGTCCTCTCCCATGGCTGATAAAGTTGCCATGGCCAAGGAGCAGCGTCGCAGGTCGGTCCACGGCGGCTTCTCGTCGCCGGCCACGTCTCAGCAGCCACCGCCCAGGACGCGGCCTATGAGCATGCACCCGCTGAGCCAGCAGTCATCGTTTGACGAGCCTGCCGATGTTCCCGACATCCCTCGTGTGCGCCCTACCTCGAGCCCTACCCCGGATCTGTCGCTGGCCTCGCCACGTACCACGACTCCAGGTAGCAAGCCTAGGGGGCGCAGCAGGGTCTCGTCGCGTCAGCAGCAGCAGCAGCAGCAGCAGCAGCAGCAACGGCAGAGGGAACGGTCGGCAAGGTCGTCATCTCCCGAACAGCCTCCAGTGGGCTCCAGGGACCCTAGCGTGAGAGCGCGCAGCATCCGGAGCATCCGCTCGGCCATGTCACAGGCCAGCAGCTCGATTCCGGGCAAGTATAAGAGTACGTCTTTATCCGAGGATATCAGCTCGTCAGCTTCGCGCCGACGCAGCGGGTCGCAGCAGTCGCGCAAGACCCGCCCGAGGGCCCACGACGACTTTCAAGCGGCCATGGATTTTGACGCCCTATCCGGTGGCGAGGATATCTCCACTGCACCGTACCAATCTCGCCCACAGCCCCGTCAAGACCCTCTCCACAACAGCCAGCCATCCCGCTCCTCGGCCCCGCCGATATCCCACCCCCGCAAACGCTCCGTGGGGATGCGGACCCAGCTTGACGACATCAGCGAGGCCCTGCCCAGGACCTCGACCACCTCATCGGGCCATCACCGTCTCGGCAGCCGTCATGCGGCCCGCTCATCCCTCGAATCGGGCCACTCTATCTCCGCAGACACGAACCGACATAGGCGACGCAGTGAGCGGACTGGGAGTGACACGAGTACAGGCTCTGCACGGCCGGCGGACCTGTACCTGCGCAGTAGGAGCAGTGCGAGCACATACCACGGCGGTCGTCGCACTGGCCACTCCTTTCACGCACAGCCGGAGGGAGACCCGCCAAGTCCCATCGACGGGTATGCCACCAGCACGACTGACAGCTTGGATATCGACTACGACCTGGACGTGCGGCGCCGACGCCAGTGTGAGGACGAGGATCTGGTCTTCAAGGAGAGCGACTATGACTCCGGATTCGGACTCCCCGGGCTCGGAGGCTTCGGCGGCGGCCTCCCGGGACTGTTCGACGGCGGCATGGGCGGCTTCATGGGCGCGGAAGATGACGATTACGACGACGACGACGACCTTGCTCCTCCCATGTGGTCGACGACTATCCAGACAATTCCTCGGGAGCAGAACCAGACAGGACAGCAGTCGAGACGGTCGAGCCGGTCGAGCCGCAGCCGCGGCCGCAGTCACAACCGCAACCGCAGCCGGAGCCAGACGGCCGCCCTCCCTCCCCTTCCGACATCCGCACCCCGTTCCATCGTCGACATGATGATGCCCACCGTTCCCGCCAAGACCAGTTCCATCTCCCGCACCGCCTCGCCGGCGACGTATCCCACCTTTGACTACGACGACGACGACGACGACGACACATCGTCATTCATGTCCGAGTCTGACCCAGACCACATCCTCGCTTCGGGGTCAGGAACGGGAACCGCGGGGACCAAATCCTCGTCAGCGGAGACGGACAGTCTGAGCATCGTGGGCGCGCCGTCGGCCGGCCCGTCGATGAGCAAGACTGGCCCGCCGTCTGGCCCGGATGACGACCACACCACTACGGCTGAGGAGACAGACGTCGACCTTGACAAGGGTCAGGGCCACGGCACCGGCAGCGTGGATGCCCGACTGGCGCAGCACATGCGTCGGGAAGCCCAACGGAGGCAGCAGACTGCTTCTCACGGTGGGCCTATCGAGACCAAGAGGGCTATGGATAGGTCTGTACTTTCAGAATTGAAGTATTGATCCACACGGCATTCCTTTTATCTCTTCATCTTTTCAATTCTCTCCCCCCCCGTTTATTTTTAATACTTTCTTTTTTTGTCCTTTGTTCTTTTTTTTTTCCAACCATGGTTTTTTATATTCTTTCTCATTGTCTTTAACCTGTTAATGTCTCTTCTTTAGGTCATGGCATGACCTTTTATTCTTTTTTTTTTCAACAGTCTACCAGTTTGTCTTATTCTTCTACGGTCATTCTCTTCTCCACAGCCTTTTTTTAAAAACCCCTTTGAAATGTTTTACACGGATCTCATGGTTTCTCTAGCCGCATATGTTTTTCTTCTTTTTACTCTCTTATTCTCTACTGTTTCACAAACAAACACACACACACACACACACAAACACACCTCTTTCTATTCTCCTCTCTATTCCATCCTGTTTTTTTCTTCTTCATTTTTTATTGAAGGCGTGGTGAGGGTGGAGAAGATTTTTGTTAAAACTAAAAAGAGATTTTAGATACCTTGTAACGCTCATGAATTGCACTTTTACGTCTTGTTACTATTGCATGCCGCGCTTTGTTTGTGACAGATGCATACTAATATTACTCGCACATGTACGGAGTAATAAATATATGATTTACATGTACTTACTCCATGAACATTTGAAGTTCCGTCTCCACGACGACATGGGACAGTGCACACTCTAATCTGTACTCTACGTTTTTGATAATACATTACGACGTTCAAGGAATTGTACTTGGTATTGCGTATGAGCACCAAAGGACCAACTTGGAAGGATGTGGCTAAGTCAACGTGTAATCACCACATCTCATCTTCGTGACCAAAAAAATTTCAAGAAAGAAAAGAAAAATAAGAAGAGACAGGGAGGAAAAAGGGGTGGGGGGGGGGGGGGGGGCAAGGCTAAGAAGAGAGAGAGAGACAGGAAGGAAAAACGAGGAGCAAAATCCCAAAAAGGCTGCACCGCTTTCAACTATTCCTACTCAATATACGGCCCCCCAGGAAGGATCCAGTACCTCGACTCAACCGTCCAGCGAAAACCGTGGCGACGCCACAGCTTTTGCGCGCTTGGGAGATCCCTCTCCTTCAGGAGTATGCGTGTCGCCTCTTCCGCAACAGAGAGAATCGTTGGCGCTCCTGTCTCGACGATGACGTCTGAGCGCGTTTCGGCCTCGGCCACGCAGTTGACGCCGGGGGCAAGAGCGGAACCGTCAAGATCTATCTCGACCAGACCCCTGAATACCAGGCTCGCCTCTTCGGGTCTGCCGGCCTCGCGGAGGAGTATGGCCAGATCGTGGCGTGCCCAGAGGATATCACGACCGTCGCGACCGCTGTCACCTTCCGTCTCTAGCCGCGATGGCGACATCGAATCTACATGCAGGGCGGCGTGGATGAGGTCCCGGAGCATGTCGATGGCCTGGTTCAGCTCGCCTCTGTCGGCCAGGAGCATGGCGCGGAACCGGGTGAGCTGGGACCACCGGGCGCGCGCGCAGTGACCAGGCCCGATATCCTTGGCAAATTCCACGTACTGCTCTGCGCTGTCGAGATCCCCCATCTGACGGTATATGAGGACGAGGTTGAGGAGCGAGTCCATCACGACGGTGTTGTTATCCGATCCCAGGACGCGCCGGCGGTAGGCCAAGGTCTCCAGGCCGATGCGTTTAGCGTCCTCGACGAGGCCCAGCCGGCGTAGGCACGTGGACGAACCCATCTGCGACATGGCGTGGTCCTCGGACGTGAGCTTCGCCCAGGTGCAGGTGATAAACCCGTAGATATTGAGGGCGTCGCGCAGCTTCCCCTGCGCCTGCAGGGCCTGGGCTAGGTACATGCCGCTCTTCAGCGTGTCCTGATGGTCCGGGCCCAGGAATCTCGTCAGCCCCTTGTATGCGTGCGACTGCCACCGTATGGACCCGTCGAGGTCTATCATGTGGTACATTGCCAGGCCTAGATGGGACTTGGCGTAGTACTCCAAGTGTGCGTGGGTTGAGGCCGCTGGGGGGTTTCCCCAGTCCTGCGCCTCTAGCCTCTGGAGGAGCCGCGCCGCCTCGTCAAAGTGCATGTTGTTGATCTCCTCCATGGCCCAGTCGACGACGCACCGGCGCACAAAGGCGTGCCCGGCCCCGAGAAACGGCTGTACCTGGCTCACCAGGCTTCTCCTGATGGCGTACAGCTTACCCGTATCGGTGCCCGTGATGTTGAGGAAGAGGGCAATGCGGTAGTGCACTAGGTGCGAGAGCGGCAGCAGAGAGCCTTCCGCGACAAAGCTGGGATCGAGTGCGGCCTTGTAAGAAGCTAGCAGGAAATTGTCGAGCATTCTCCTTCCCAGATGATCGGGACTCAGGGATGAGGCGTTTGTCCATTCCTGTATCTTGGCCCGGATCATGATGATGGGCGTCAGGTCTGAGATGCCCCGTCTGTAGTACACGTACTCGGCCCACAGCATGAATGCTGTTTTTCCCATGAGCTCCTGGAGTAGTTGGATAATAATTTGCGCCCTACGGGTGCCATTCCTCTGCTGCAGTAGGTGGTGGTGCCAAGAGGAAGCCGCGTAGTCGTAAAAGCCGCCGAGCTCGTGAATGAAACTGGGTTCCGTATGTGGCGCTGTAGAGTCGGCCGTGAGGATGTTGTGCTCGAGGACACTATAGATCAGTCTGGGCTCGGAGTACAGCCGCCGCGTCAGTTCGGACAGGCAGATTCGTGACAGGGAAAAGTGTATCTCGTCGTGGTTCATCGGGGCCGGAATAAGGCCCTTGGCCACATCTTTCTCGATGCTGGCGTCTCCACGGTGGCCGGAAGTGAGGAACTCCGGGACGGACGCGTGGATGAAGCGTACCTTGCCATCTCTGAGGTCGATCAGCGGCCAGCAACACTCGTTGATCGTGGCCGCCGGTTCCTGTAGCCAGTCCAGGGCGCTGTAAGCGTGGGGGGACTTCGTCTTTAAGGCGACCACCATTTCTGCGATCGAGAAGGGGCGGACGGCCCCCGCTGTCAACATGAATATATTCCTCCTAATGAGGCGCTGGTATTCGTTGAGAACCGAGCCCTTGTCCCTCAGCAAAGCCGCGTACATGGCGCTCAGACCCGGGGGGAACCGGTGCAGGCGGCTGCACTGTTCTGTCCTGGTGGGCGCGGCCTTGATATACTTGAGCATCATCTTGGCCCACAGGAACATGCCGCGCGCCTCCTTTTGGATCTTGACCAGCAGCTGGGTCTCCATGGCGACCAGGCACATGTTCCGCTGCACCTCGCGCTTGACGAAGTGCAGTATGTCTCTGTTGATGACGTCCTTGTCCATCTCGATAGTCTCTGCCAGACATTTGTGGTGACGATACTCCGAGTAGTCCGAGTAGTGACCCCTGGCAAAGACAATAGCCCGGCTGGAAAATGACCGACCGAGCGTCTTCAGGTCGTTCATCAGCTTCTCTGACGCCTTGTCCTCCCGACACTCGTCCACGGCGTCGATTATCAGCACTGAGTCTGGCAGTGCCTCAAGCACCGCCTCCACAGGCTCCCACAACTCGTCGAACGAACACTCGTCGTGGAACCTGTACCGTCTCGTGAGAGGCTCGACATGCTGCTTTAGTATGGAATCGAGCTTCCTAGCACCGCCGTTGAAAGCCTCTGCGTGCTGTCGTATTGCCTGCACCAGGATGGACGTGCACACGGCTGCCGCCCTCGTCTGAGAGTTGCCATCCGTCTTGCGGAAGAAGTGAGTCAGAACTGCAGGCTTGTGCTGCTGCATGCGGCGCCCGAGATATTTGGCAAGTATCGATTTGCCGCTACCTATTGATACCGTCCGCTCCGTTAGTAATGGTTCTCGGAAGAAACACGTCCTGTGGAGGGTGCAGATGTATATGACTTGCCAGCAATCCCGTGAATCCACAGGAGTGGAGCTTCCGCCTGGGATTCACACTTCTTCCAGACCTCATTCTCCAGGATCCATTCACAAGTTCCCTCCTCCCAGCTGTCGTCTGGCTGGGACTTGGCCGGGGCCAGCTTCTCTAACCACTCCAGGGCAATGCGACACCGGTGGCCCATCTGCCATGCTGGAAAGCCGAAAAGGTTCAGAACGTGGCCAGAAGAGATGAAGATGGAAACCGGTGAGTAGAAGAAGGGGGCTGCTACGTACAAATATGGTCCTCGTTAATGATCGTTGCCACGGCGTATATCTTATCCAGAGCCACACCTTGCCTTGATTGAGCTGCGGACTTTTAGCACATTGCATACAGCTTTTTCGGTTGTTTGCTGACCAGAGCCCCGGCTCTTACCTATGCCCGACTCCATAGACAATTCTTTCTCGAGATCGTCCGATTTTTCGCGAATGTCGTCGATGATCCGTTGGATCTTGTCTCGTTTCGGGCTCACCGCAGCCTTGAGGTAGTGAGCTGTATTCGATATACGTCAGTCAAGGCCTAGGCATCTTGCGAGACTGACAAGATGGGCAAGAGAAGAAGAAGAGGGGGGTCAGGTGACACATCTGAACAGAACCCCGTTGTGTGTCTGATGGTGACCATGGAGAAACAGGAGAGCAAAGAGAAGAGCAGGACGGTGTCGGACTGGAACCCCTCGACAGAGGTCTCCTAGCACCCTCCACCTATGCAAGAGGCCTGTGACTGCCGCGATGAACCGGGCCGGAAGGAAAGAAACAGGGACGGAAAGGAAGTTGGGATCCGCGGTGTAGAAAGGGAGCCCGTACTGAACCGCCCAGATTTGTAGTACTCTGCTGCCCGGATCGAAAAGTTAATGCATTGAGCCAAGATGTAAGCGATGGCTGAGGAAATCCGGGGCGACTGCGTATATATGCCGAGATATTTGTCCCAGCGGTGCATGCTGTTCAGCATCGTAGTCATGGCATGGCCAATCTCGTCAAAGACGGCCATTTCCTTCTCTGCAATCTTTTCGGACATATCAGCCAGCTGCCAGAATCAGTGGGATGTTGGGTAAGTGATGCACGACATGCCCGTGAAACTGCATGCTTATTGTCGGTTCGTACTTACCACGAGCAACGTCCGGATCGCCCCCCATACGAGAGACGTCCCGACTGGATCGTGCTGTATCATGACGTCGACAGTCTTCTTGTACTGTGACAAAATATGGATCAGGTGTTCCACGTGCACCCACAGCTTGGATTGTCTCCCAGCCGCCTGTGTCCTCATGGCTTGCGCCTGGTTTATGATGGCAGACAGCTCGTCTCCCGCCAGCCCATCCTGTGGAATATCGATGCGCTTCCCCTGGTCCTTGGTAAGTTTCGTGTTGAATATCTGCAGACGACGTAGTCAGAAGACCTTTTCCAGCTTCACACGGTCCACCTATATGCCTCGGAACGCTCCCGAAAGGTAGTGCGGATACATGAGCCTACCTCGAGCGCCTGCTTCCAGCATTCTTGTCGCCTGAAGGAGGCGTCGTCGCTTATGGAGTTTGTTTCCATGTCTGTGTACTGCAAAAGAATGGAGATCGAGCACGATGGGCAGGAACCGCGAGAGTTGTTGTTGTGCTGGCTATGCACTGCGTTTCATAGCTCTGCGAGATATGAAAGCAGTGAGCTACATGAATTGTTGCGGAAGGAAGGAAGGAAGGAAGGAGCTATGAGAAGGAGCTATGGGAAGGAGCTACATAAATATACCCTCACCTACGCACAACACCAAGGTGGAAGATGGGGAGAGACCAAGACCTTTCAACATCGCGTTCGTACCCCGTTCGGTAATTCGTGACGCTGGTCCCCCTATCTTCGTGTTCCCCGTCGCTGAGAGACGCTGCATGCATAGGCGTGCATCGTGCGAACTCCCAAGCCTCGTCATAACAAGGCTGACTTTCAGAAGACACATGACCAAAGAAAGAGGAAAACGTTGGACGATATGTACGGGTTGCATTGCTGCCCAACCAAGCCACAAAATGAGTCTTCTCAGGAAGGGAGAGTAATGAGGCAAGTGGTCAGGTCGACGGCGTAGTCGTGGCGAAGTAGCGGGTATGAAGGCACCGTAGGTGTCTACATTGGAATAGTAGGTTAGGTATTCTATAGTAGCAGAGTTCTTCTCGTCTTGTATTCTTATTGCCGTGCTTGCCGCACAAAAATAGTAATGTCGTCGAGTGCCGACAGAGGACGGAGGACAGCCAGCCAGGGAAGTATCAAGTCACCAAGTCATATCAAGCTATCAAGCCACATCTAGAAAGGACATCAGGAGATCATCAAGAAAGACCTAGCTAAGGTTTAAGGAAGAAGAAACTGCATCTGATGATCACACAAGTGCAATTATCCGCTTCCATCCACTCTCATCCATCCACTCCGTAGACTGACTACCTTTACAATTTACAGCGATCCTAGGAGTCGCACGTGACGTGGAATATCCCGCCCCCTCCCGTGACAGACGTCACGTCAGGCACGAACGCCGACTCCCTTCAATACAATCTAACCCGTCGTAACCGTGGCATGCTTTGTTCCGCAACGAAGAATCCCGAGTAAGAGTCTTGCTACACTAGCTTCGGCGGGCTTGAGGCTTGGTTTTCGAAATCTTGCCCCTCAGCACCACCTGTTGGGGTATGAGAAAAATCCGAACCAAAGAATCCGACGACGACCAGATAGCCAGGAAATGCAATGACGAGGTACGGGACTCTTTAATTTCGAAATTCCAAAATACTCAACAGTCTTTAGATTGGAGCACATTGCATAGTCCTAAATTGGAAGAACTACGCAGACCTCGATGTGGTCCGGCCGGGTCAAGACATAGTCGCGATTATCGTTGACGTGCACAGCACTTCAGGCGTCTTATGGATCCATAATGCTGCGGACGACTACCTAGACAGGGTTGGGAGAGACTTTGCAGGTTACAGAGTCATTGTGCCCTGGAAATCAGGGCCGAACTTTGTCTGCTATGGCAGTTGCTCTGTTGCTCTTGTTCAGCAGGCTGAGACTGCTGGAGACCCAGATGCCCCTACTGGCGATGATCAGGATGCCTAGTCAACCAGAAGAGGCCGAGAACGAATCTCTAGCTACGTGATCCTTTCTCGGGTGGTCAACCGAAAGGCGGTCTTCTCAGAGCACTGGATGGTGATGAAGGGTGAGACTCCCTGATAATGAGGAATGGTCAGGCGAACTTCGCCCGCACTGGTTGCGAGAACGCGTATAGCATCCGTCCCATCGGCTCAAGCTTGTATGCTCCTCCTGCAAATGATACTACTCTCTAGATCAGCCAATATATCGCCAACCGTTCGTGCATGCCTACCATCTTGGATCGGAGGGAGCAGTTCCTCGTCTTCGTTATCACTATACCCGTCGATTTGTTCGTTAAGCCCATCGACTGCTGCCAAGACTCTGTTCCGTTGCGAAGGGACTCTGTGAGCTTGCATCTGAGCTTCTGCATGTATCATCAGCAATTGCCATCCATCCTGTGTGAATATTCAGATCAAACCTGCACTTGACAAAACATCATTGTGCTTCGCAAGTAATGTCTCTGTCACGCTCCTGAGGCTAGATGGAACCTCTGTGCTGCCCCGCCATGTTCGTAGTGATCCCATGAAATCAGCCGTGCTTTCGACCGACGCCAGCGATGTGGCAGATAGGCTGAAGGCGCATAGCACGAAAACTTCGCGGCCTAGAGTAACGAGGATGGTGTTGAGAAGGGTTCGAGCCGCTCTACGCCTGCTCCTGGTGGCAACCGCTAACCGTGTTTGAGCTCCGTGACTTTCGTGAAACAGAGCAATTACTTTATCAAATGAAGCCAATGCCTTTGGGTCAACAAGATCAGTGCTTTCAAAGTATTTTCGCTGACTTTCCAGCAGCTCAATCTTATGAGATGTCATTTTGCATCAGAGAGGCCGGGTGCGACAGAATGGAAAGACTCCATATGGAAACTGACGGAAGTCCGCTCAGTTGTAAGCTTGGAAGACACGGCAAGTCACGTGCTTACAGGCTGGCTTGAAGAGTGTCAATTTTGTCGCTACGGGATTGGCCCGATAACTGGTGCCACAGTTGCCGACATTGTCTGCTAAGGCATACAGCCCCGCTCCAGGCCTGATGCTACAGGCTCCAGGCCTCTACGTTCAATTCAACCACTAATTCGGGCCGCAAAGCCGCATCTTGCCCTACGACCAACACCCTACGTATACCAGCACCTCCGCCTGCTATTGGTTTTCGTGTCTATCCCCTCCACTGCTTTCTCGCATCCTTAATACCATGGACGAATCTCAAATTTCAAGACCCGTAACTTATGCGGTGTCGCGATCCCGTGGGAAGCAACCGGGAGAGTCCGCGCTCAGCGCGAAGCTGAGGGAAAAGAGGAAAGCAAAAGGGCAGGCGAGATCCTCTGATGAGTCTGAGTCAGAGAATGAAATCGAGTCAGGTCGGTTTGTACGGTTCATTCACATGGCGCGGTCATTGATTTACATGGTGGAATAGGCGCAAAGATTTTGCACAAAATGTTCAGTCGCAAGGTCGTTCTACATTCTGACGACACCGTGGTGAAATCTGGGAAGCGCATTGCCCTGGGCGAGGCAGAGGCGCTCAGAGTCGCCGTGCTTGCTGGGATACCCGCCCCTCGGGTTCTTGAAGCGAATACAACTCCCGATGGCCAAAGCATTCGTATGAGCTACGTTCATGGACAATCGCTTGATACGCTTTGGCCCAGCATGACGATCGACCAGAAGAAGGACATAGCGAGGCAGCTTCGGATAATCGTCGAACAGATGCGGTCCGTTGCTCCGCCAGCCAATCTCATCGGCGCTTGTGATGGGACTGAAATTCGCGACACGAGAGTACATTTCACCTATCACTCGCCGCCGTGTCAAGACGAAGAGGCCTTCAACGAATTTCTTTTAGCAGCTCTCTACGAGCATACGCCTCCGCTTGTGCGGGAGGCATTCACTCGCCGATTGCGAACCAGCCATCGCGTTGTCCTTTCTCACTGCGACTTGACACCAAGGAACATCCTAGTGCGGGATGGGAAAATCCAGGGGCTTGTGGACTGGGAGGACAGCGGGTGGTATCCGGAATACTGGGAGTATGTCAAATTTTTCCAGCGCACCGCGGACAGAGACTGGAAACTGTACGCGCAGGAGATCTTCCCCGAGTTGTACCATGAGGAACTGGTCGACTTCATCGCAATGTCAAAATTTCAGAATACGTAGTCAGCCATTTCGCCATCATATCTAGAGTTGGCCACAATCTGCAATCTCCAAAGCCCTATTCAGTACGCGTTGTTTTCGTCCTCTGCCTCCATCGTGGCATCAATCATGTTATTCAACCCGGTCTGATATTGTTCTGAAGTGATGTGACCGGCATGATATAGTGTATTTAGGGCACAGTCAACCCACTGCTGGCAGTTGAATTCAGGATCATCGTTCGAGACTTGAACCGACTCCATCAGGCTGTCAATCTCAGAGGACGCCACGGAATGCTTAGTCTTGCCGACTCTAACCTTCTTGGCGAACGTCCGAGATGTCGTGGGATCGAAATTCTTGCGACGTCCAAACTCGAACTCCCCTGTCAAGCCCCTGACATGATAGAAGTAATTGGTCGAGCCCTCCTCAGGCACAAACCAGAGTCCGGTGTGCCTCCACTTTGAGTAATCTAACGGATCACCCTTGTAGACGGCGATTGTAGACCTTGTACTTTGATTTGCTCGGCATGTTGACTGACGAAGTGGTGGGAGCACAGAGTAATTCGCAGGCTGCGATATGTGTTTGTGCTAGCGTGATCTCCAACGGACAGACTGGCAGATGTACACACCTTCGAGCAATTGTGAATCGATATAGAGTAGGTTTTCCTCCGTTCGTCAGACCGTGGAACTCGCGGGTATTGAAGTTGATGTCTGACAAACACGAATCCATTAAGAAGCCGCAGATAATCCAGGTACTTGTATCAAAAAGCCTTGAGGGTAACAATCTCAGTGCATGCTTGTTTTTACATTGTTGTCGTTTCAGCAAGCGCACGGCACCAGGGTGATATCCAATAGTCATCGTCCAAATACCTGGTCATCCCAAAAGGTTGGTACGCTTCAGGGCGCGAGTGGGTGGGTATTGGAAAGAATACACGGCGGCTACAGTTATGGATGAGGCATTGCTACAACTGGAACTGGGATAAGTTTATTTTCGGCCCTATACCCAGAGACCAACCACAGCGCCTATTGCGGGGTCCTTTGACCACCGACGCGTCCCTAAATGACAGCCTTCTGCTGGTAAACGACCAACATGCCGTTAGGCTGCATGGCGACGATTCGTCACAGCATGAACCCAATGGACTACCTCTCGCAAGTCCCTGCATACCTCAACTTACCATGAATGAAATGCTTTCTTCCAACTCGCAATCATTATAGTATCGGCCCTAGGGGTCCGTGACAGGAGCTCCAGCCCAAGCCTTCAACTCATAATGGTGGGTCATGCCCGCAGCGACTAGTAGGCTATCGTCAGCAAGCGGGGTTTGGCTGAAAAGCTCGAACGGTGATCCAAGGTGCCCCACGGGCAACAGTCGATCAGCTGCGTCCAATACCCCTGCTTTGTCATTCAACCTCTGTCTATCATTGGCTGCCGCGTCGTGTAGATCGCGGTCATACGACCATAGTCTAGTTGCAGGCTCTGCCGGGTCCCCTGTGCCGATTCTACGTACCTACCAGCTCCCCCAAAAGGTTTGTCTATGTTAGGGCTCGACCCTGAATTGCCTATGGATAAATCCAATGGCTTCTGAGGCTGCTTTGCGCCCGTTCATCAATAACCGGAGCTCGTGTCATCTTGGTCGGCTTCAACTTATATCGAAACGAGCTTGTCAAGCACTCAGAACCGAAATCGGCGACTACCTCTGCCGCTTTTCTAGGCGCTCCAGGCGGCGCGCTTAGTAGACTCAGTAGCAGATAGCGGCGAGTGTCAGCCCCTGTGAGCGCTGAAGACTCCTGTTTCGCAGCGCAATTGGCTCCAAATTTCTGGCACATTGTAGCCTTGATGGGTAGTCGCTGGCCTCAGTCTGAGCAGCCGGCGGGAACCTGTGCTCGTGGGCCACGAAATGTGTAGGGGACTGAGGAAAAGCCAGCATCATCAACCACAGCATCCATGCTTCAATAGAAGTAGTACGAGGAGGTCGCAAGAGGGCTACTAGGAAGAAAAAAAAGATAGAGAATAGATAATCATCAAAATTGACCCTGATAGTTACCTTGATTCCTTCTCAGCTCTTGGCTGCACGACTTCATCACTCTCTCCATTGTGTCTCCCAAGTCCCTGACAAATGTTCGTCTCTTTTGGTATGTCTTATTGTGTGCATATCACCAGATGCTGGCATAGCCGGAATATTAGATAACCTAGCCCCGTCGGGGGCAGCACCGGCCGTATCAACGCTAGGTTCGTAGCATCGCGATAGCTATAAGAAGAAGCAGAAAACCTAGATCGATACGATATAGCATACCTGCCCCTTCAAGGAAGAGGCAGTCGTGGACGTGATGGACCGGATATCAATAGATTCACCGTCAATACCAGCACTTATAGTCTGCCAGTGAATGCATATAGTCATTATTGTTGTGTCTATGCTAGAAGGGACGACGGATCTGACGTTACTATAGTCGAGTCCCGCTTACCTAGGCTGTGAACTGATTTACTATGACTCGTAGGGGATAATAGTGTATTGATCATCCACCCCCTTCCTCGTCCTATAAGGAAGGCGGTTCCTTATACGATCTCTTCCGTCCTGATGGCCCCACGTCAGTAAGATTCCTCCGATGGCCCTGACACCAAGGTAGGTTGAAGGCAAGAAGTAGAAGAAGGAGGAGGGGGACGAGTCTTCGACGCCGACTTCATCGGAAAACACAGAACAAAAGAGAAACGAGAAAACGGATATAAACGTAGGGAAGACCCGTATATCTGACCAGGTACCTGAGATGCACCGTGACAGCCAACTTCGCGCAGATCGGTCGCCTCCATGATCTGACATGACATATCGGTCCGACCACATCAAAACATCGATCAATGTAAGGATCCTCATCTCCCGAGCCCGTCCATTCGCAGATAGTGTCCGTTCCTCATTGGCTGCAGTCCGGCGCGCACATCTGCACCAGACACCCAGCTGCGGTCTCTGCGGTAGTAGCCGTAGCCACACGAGCAAGTGATATCTGCCAAAGCTTTCTCGTACTCGTCTTGCTCGGTATCTCTGGATGGCGAGATTCTGCGAGAAGGATTGCCTGGAGGAGGCTCTTTCGGAGAAGGCTTTGATGGAGGAGGCTTTGGTGGAGGAGGCTTTGGCGGCGGCGGAGCGGATGGGAAGCAGGCCATGGGGCACATGGCTACCGGCTCGGGGTTCGACGAGGACATTCCGTCTTTCCCCTGTGGCACCCCGAAAAAAGTGCAGACGGTCCAGTGCGACGAGGCAGGTGAGTTGTCGGTTCCTAGGCGGTCATAACCAAGTGGAAAGACAGAGCGGTCGTGTCCAACACCGGTTGCGGCCCAAGGCTGTGCCGGGGATCGAGGCCCTAATAAATGGCAGGGAAACACGGGAAGAAGGAGAGAGGAGACGCCTTGGGAACCGGCCGCGCTGGAAGGACGGCGGTTGGCGGGGGTGTGTCGGAAAGTGTCGCCTAACCTTTATGAACCGAGACGGATGATTCTGACTACATGAGCGTGACGTGGCCGAGATGGCACCTCTTGTGATCGATGCAAGTGCGACTTGTGACCAACCAAGACGCCCGCCGATAACACATGGGCGGGGTAGCCTTTTGCATTTTATCCTCTAAGCTCGGCTGATCTGACTGGCTGTGATGATCTTCCAAACCAAGGGCAGGTGGCTCGAATTCCCAAGACCAATCCTTCGCAGGAGCCTCAGCAGCTTTCCGCGACCTCTCGGGGGTAGTTGCGGACCATCTTGCCCTAACCTATCCGCGTAATCAGGGATCAGGAAACGGTACAGCATCTACCTCGCACTTTTTCGACGGCGGAGGCACGTTGCCATGTTGAAAGTAGGCTCGAATTGTCCTAGCCGTACACGAAGAGGGGGCGCTCAGTGAGGAGTGCTGCTTCACATGTCAGCTTCGGCCGCCTTGCATGCCTATATGCATGTCAGTAGCGGATGATGGCGTCTTACCCCAACTCCATCCTGATGGAGCACGGCGGAACCGGGAAATCTGCCCGAAACCTTTTGGGCACTGAAGATGTGTCAGGAAACTGTCCGTTCGCTAGTTCGACATGATGTAGCAAATCATGTACATCGTGTACCATACCTGTGGAGTGGCGTCGCCGGATCCAGGGTGGTGCCGATGAGAAGGATGGGCTCAGTCGTGTTGGCGCCAAGGGGTCCTGTTTTTCCCGTAAGCACGAGCCTTGACGATTTCGTTGTTACCGCTCCAGAAGATCAAGGGTTAGAGGTGCCAAAATACCATCAACATGCCATCTCGGCTTCATCGACCAAGACCTGCAGAGCATCTGCATCTCGGCCCAATACCATCCCAACACCTGGCTGCGATTCTCTAGGGATTCAGCGTATTCGGAGAAGGAGTCGTCGGACATGCCGTCAATGACGCCATTGTCGGAACACATGATGGACGCCAGGATCTCTATGTCGAAGCTGGGCGATTTCTGGAATGATTGCTTCCTGGCAGCCAGGGTGAACCCGTCCCCGTTCTCGAGATCGACGAGGACCTTGCCGAGATATTCGAAATACTGTAGCGGCGTGTAGACGGAATCCCTCACGAGGCGTCGGACGTCTGAAGCTGAGATGACGTCGGGTGCGAGGGTTCGCGATGAAACGGGAAGTGGTCTCCGCGCAAGAGAATCCAGGAGGGCGTCGTAGCGGGACCGTGTAGTCCTTTCGTCCCCCCTTCTGAAGAGGCACGAAGACGACCGTGAGCAGGTGTGGAAGAAGTAGTCGAGGATGTCGTCGGCCTGGGCGAGCGGAGCATCCCACTTGCTGCCAAGATATACGTCCGTGTCCACCACGGCGTCCAGCACGACCCTGTGGACTCGTTCCGGGTGCAGGTGGGCAAAGAGCTGCCCGGGGACGGTCCCATAGGACATGCCCCAGTAGAGAAGCTTTTCCCTCCCGACATGCCACTTTGTGCGTTGCCAAGCAGCTTGCATCTCGGGGGACGCCCCGTTTTCCACCAACAGGTCTCGTCGACGCAGGTCATCGACATTTCTCAGGCCGAGCAACGCGGCTGCTGTCTTTTCCCGCCATTCACCATGCCGTTCGACAATCGCCACCATGTCCTCGGCAAAGGGGGCCGCATTCATGTAGTAGGCAACGCTATCATTATTTCCAGCGGCCCCGTCGATGCATGCCCGAGTCAGAGACTCTGCATGCGATAGTTTTGCTGCGAACGACGCCTTTGTCGAGGAGATGGCCTCGCTCGAGGAGCCCTGGATGTTCCAGTGGTGACGGGAAAGGTTGTCCGGGAAGCAGACGAGTTTGGGCGTCGTGTATCCGATACCCCTAGGGTCAAACCCGATGACGTCGAAGAAGAGACCCTGCTCATCATCTTCCGATGCGTCTGCGATTTCCTGGAATATCTCCCCTCTCAGGAGAGTGTGGACGACCCCGGACGCGGACGGGCCACCTGGTCGTCGTAGGTAAGCGCATCGTTCTGGGCTCTGAAGTCATACGGTAAGAGGAAACTTTTACCTGGATTTATCAGAATGGCTCCACCGTATCGCGGGTCGGTGACGGGAACCTTGGCTGGACGTCTTAGGATGGCCATGGAAACTGTCTCTTGGCCACCCGCCTTCCAGTCCATGGGAAGCTCCAAGCGGGCGCACTGGAGGCCATCGTAGCAATCGTGGTAGTCGAGCGACGTGGACGGGATAAGCTGAAAAAGGAAAGGAAATATCAGTCATCAGTGGGTGCGTACGTAGGAGAGGAAACAGCATGAGACCCACGTCGTGCCATAAATCCCCCCCAGTTTCGCGCGCGGGGTATGGCCGCGAGCACGATTCATCTGGGCTGACCCGACTGTAGGGAGCGAATGTGACCAGGCAGCACGGTATGGAGAGGACGAGGACAGCTTTCCACCACTGTGTCATGGCTAAGGCAAGACGTAAAGGCAAACGTATAGCGGGAGAGCATAGAAGAGGGCTGGTGCCGCGTCCTGAAATGTAGCCGAGGGATGCTGCGGTTGGAGCTGGGAACGTTTACGATAGAAAGCTTTGTAGATACCGAATACGTGTGAATAACCAGGGCTCTATGGCAGAGAGCTTATTCGACGGGAAAGAGAAATCTGAAAAGAAAGCTATAGATAGGGCACAATCTATCTGTAAGACCTCAATGCAATGTAGGCTGGCCATAGTGATGCCCAAAATAAGATGATTTGTAGAGGCGGTGAGATTTGAGGAATATCATTCATCTGTTTCACACACTTATACTTTGTGTGTCATACTTTTTGGGTTGCTCGGGCTGGCCTAACCAGCCTGACGAGCAGAAATATCCTTGAGTGCTAGATTTCATAAGGACGGTGTCGGGATCTTATAGGAGGAGAGCAGGATCTGATATAAGACCTCTCTCGAGTAGCGTTTATTATAGTCGCGGGAATTAACTATTAGTAGGTTAAAGAGTATATAGAGGCATTAGTAAGGATACGCTACTAACACGCATATATACATACGTTCAAGGCACGTAAGGTGTTATGTAGCGTAAACTCTTTTGTCTTTTCTTATAATCGTAGCGCAGAACTCGACGCTCTTATTGGTCGAGTCCCGCTTACCTGATCTAGGAGTAGATTTTCTGCAACACTATCGGAACACAATAGAGGACAGCTCTACTCTCCCGCCCACCGCAACGGCAGAGAGAGTATGGCATCCTTCCCTCCAAGCGCACTCTCTGTGCCTCAGCATCATATCTCACCGTCCAACATGCCCTCTAGCGCCGAGTAGAAGTCGGACAGATCCGGCGGGTTCACGTCCGTACCCGGAGCGGGGATGCACAGGGACAGCATCCTCGTGAAAGCGGCCCCGAGCCGAAACCCCGCCACTCCTTCCGATATGTATCGGGTGTGCAGCCAGCCGGAGAGAGCGGCGACGTCAGACAGTGTGACACCAGCGCCGGCGACGGGCTCCAGGCGCTTCCTGACAATCTTCTTGAGGGGCGTCCACTCGGCAATCTCGATCAGCACGCAGCCCAGGGAGTGGGCGTCCATGTGGCGCTCAAAGGCCTCGGACGGCTCGCCCAGGGCCATGGCGTGCCGGTAGATATCCCGAGACAGGTCCGCCGTCGGCTGCTCGCTGATCTCGGTGGGCGAGTCCTGCCTGGCAAAGGAGAAGCCGCAGAGGTGGGGCTGGCCGAGGCCTGCCGTGCTGCCGCCGTCGACTGCGGTCGAGCCGTCCGAGACGAGGATGATGTTCTCCGATCGCACGTCCTTGTGGAGCCAGCCGGCTGTGTGGAAGCTGAGGAGAGTCTGGCAGACCTGCGCTGCCAGACGGAGCCGGGTCCCGACGTCGGGGAGCGACCCGTTGGATCTCGAGAGCACGTTGTGCAGGGGCTGAGGCTGCCCGCCGGCCGAGGGGAGCCGGAACACCAGGCGGAACCCCGCTTGCTCTTCGGTGTACCCCACGCAGGGAAACGTCTGGAAAGTCGGCGTGGGAGGCTGGGAAAGGAGATCCGCGAGCCCTTCGACACGCGACCTGAGCTTGGCCTTCATCCGCGTAACCACGTGCTTCTCTTCTATCAACACCGGGCTTCCCTCGTACAGAGCCGATCCGATGGTGGACGACAGCATGCGGATCCTGCTCAGCCGAGCTGGATCCAGGACAGCCGGGGCCCGCGGCGGTACGGAGGGCACCCCGCCGCGAGTGCGTAGTGAGAGCGTGGCATGCTGCGCCCTGAGGCCGGCGGATGCGGCGAGTCCATTCCTCATGCCGGAAGCTGTAGCCGCGTCGTAGAGGGATGCCTGGAGGTCCCGGAGACCCTTGATGTCATGGCTCGCTTGGATGGTGAGCCGCAGCGTCTCGTTGACAGCGTGGGACGTCTGCGCCCGATGGGAGATGTCCAGGAGAGACCAGAGTCCATCGACGAGTCCCGTCACCTCTTGTATGAGCTGTGCAAGCTTCTTCTTGTCGACGGCCGCCCACCACAGCCGCTTCGGCATCCGATTCGCGGAGCCCATCTTGGACGACTTCTCAAGAATGCCTCTCCTGGTCTCGGTCGAGACGATGCTGGACAGGACGGAAGATGCGGACTCGTCTGCCGCCCCGGAGAGGACCAGATCGTCGGAGCCGTCCGGTGGCGCGACGAGTTCCAGCTTGTACCTCTTCCTGAGAGTCTCGGTCGAGGATAGCAGCTGCTCCAGCTGAAGCAGGATGAGGGCAGCAGGATGCCTGCTGGGCAGGGGCGACGACGGCTGGCTAGGCGGGGAGTCGAGGTTTATGGCCCTGGCCCACTCGATGAGCCGGTACTCTTGCAGGATGAGCTTGGTACGTTCGACGGCCGCATCCTTGTCCATATTCCGGGCATCGGATATCATGACAAAGCCCTTGATGCACCCGGCAAACACCTCGAATGAGAGCGACACAACGGCCAAGGCCGTTCCTGGATCCATGGATTGTACAGAGAAGCGGATACACTGACGAAGCAGAAGTCTGCAAGTTACCTCTCCTCCCTCCCCATCTGTGGACCGTAGTATTATTACTATGTATATCCTGCCTAGAATGCAAGGAGGAGAAATCGAGAAAAAAAAACAAAAAAAAAAACAAGGAACGGGGCAGATCAAGCTTATCCGAGACCCTCTTTGGTCCTGTATCAGTGCGGGGGTCTCATCCGTATATCGGTACAGGTGGGGGCGCATGTGGCTTACAGGGATGTGGGATGCGATGCAGTAGCAATGATATAATTATCATATTGCATCTGTTCCAATGCATATATCATATATCATACGGTAATACTATTATTCAAGGGGTCAGTGTGTTCGCCCACGAAGTCTTGAGGCTTTCCGTATCCCGTTGGCTCGATTCCTTACAATGACATGATGGATGATTTGAGATTGATAAGAATGCAAAGACCTTTGGGGGGGGGGGGTATTCCAAACACATCTACTCCGTAGAGTGACGAATTCAACAGTCAAAGTTCCTAGTTTTCGGCCTTCCGGACTTTGTCAACAACCCACCGGTGGCAGGGCGGGGTGGATTCCGCCTTGCCGTTTCAAGATGTAATGATAATATGATAATACACTATTGATATTTCGAATATCGGGTCGTGCATATATGCAAATGAGATGGCCGTGTAAGCAAAGGTGGATCCGTGGCTTTTGAATATCAACTAGCTTGCAGGGCTGTGGGCGATCCGATATATTTGCCGTATCATTATTACTGCGAGTACGCATGGACCCCCTCGGTACATGCAGTGAGATGCCACGGCTCTCATTCTGGACTCTTAGACTCTTATACACCGGTCCCGCCCAGAGGCGCCATGATATGACAGTCGTTGTTGGGAAAGTCCCATCTACTCTCCCCTATCCCCAATCGGCGGCTTGACGTACCATGGACTCATCATCGTCGTCCGGAAGAAGCCTGACGTCCTTCGGCCCAGCCTCCTCTGACCCTGCCGTCGCCAGACCGTCCGATACCTCAGTTCCCGTAGACGACGATGCCTTATTCACCCCGACAGCCCTGGACTTTGCCTACCGGGCATTCCTGGCCCGAGATGCGGTGAAGACGTCGGTCCCCTCCGTCTTCGCCTCCGCTCAGGCCGTGGACAGCGCCTCGTTTGCCGGGAGGGGCGCGACATTTTCCGTCTACCGACGTCGGATCCCGCGGCAGAAGCCCATCAAGAGGACCGTCAGGCTGGACGGATTCACGGTCGAGATGGAGGATGACCGCAAGCTCCCAGACGTGGTCGCCTACAAGGTCGCCATGATTGACTTCTCCGACAAGGGGGAGGCCGCCACCGACGTGTCGCGGCGGGCCGTCAACGCCGCCGTCATGGAGCTCTACCTGTCGGCGCACCGGCCCATCCTTCGGCACGCCAACCTCGTCGACTTTCTCGGCTTGGCATGGGGTGCCAACCCGTTCGACATGTCCCAGAGACTTCCTGTCCTGGTCGTCGAGTTTGCCGAGTTCGGCAGCCTCTCGGACCTGCAACAGAGGGAGTGTCTCGGACTGGAAGCTCGGCGCAAGCTCTGTCTCGACGTCTGCCAGGGCCTCCATATGCTGCACTCGTGCGGTGTCGTTCACGGGGACATGAAGGCGGACAATGTCCTCGTCTTCCCCGACAAAGAGCACAGGTATATAGCGAAACTGAGCGATTTCGGGTACTCGACCGTCATGGGCACCAGCAGAGACGTCCTCCACCTGGGAGGCACTCGACCATGGAAGGCGCCCGAGGCCAAGGCAGCGGTCAAGGTGTCGGATGCCAAGTATACCGACGTGTACTCGCTGGCTCTCCTCATCTGGTGCACATTTGCCCATGGCCAGAACATATTCAGGATTCTCATCGATCCTGCCAAGCATGGGGAGGAATACTATGCCGAGGCAGAGAGGATGAAGGAGGCCGGGGAGCTAGCAGCACATGCAGCGCACATCTCGCATTGGTATCTGAAGGCGCTCGAGTCCGCCAGCTGCGGCGACCCCCGGCAGCTCGCATCTAACCTTGCCTCCCTTCAAGAGCGCTTGGAGAGGATGCACACGCAGACAGAGACAGAGGACCCTGCAGCTCTCATCGGCCATGTCGAAGACGTTCTCTGCGCCATTCCTACGGCGCATTTCTCCATGCTGGAGGCCCTCCATCCGCAGATTGTGGAGACCGTTCAGAGGTGTGGTCTGTACGATGCTATGCAGCAGGCCGTCGCTATCGGGTTGTCTGACGAGCCAGGACAGAGGGCTCTCGACAGAATCATGGCCGCTCTTGGCCACAGCGGGGAGTTTCCCCAAGAAATGTAAGTGCCCATATCGATCCATGCATGAGCGTCGCCCCGTCGAAGCATCTGCGATGCTGACACCCGACAGGTCGGGATCCGATATGGTATTGACGTCGAATCTGAATGTAAGTCACGACGCCGATACCTCTCCACCGGCAACTCCTGGAACGTCGAGTCTGATATTACTGGGCGTACAGCAACACAAGTTCACCTGGCACAATTGGCCCTCGATGGATCCGTCGGTGCAGAAGTACCTCACGAGGATATACATCCAGCGGGGCCAGACAGAAGCCGCCAGGAACATGATCAACCCGCCCGAGGCCTTCCTTCTCACGTCCCTCTACATCAACGGATACGGCGTGGACCGAGACCTCGAACAAGCGTCTCGATGGCTCTCGGCCGCCTGGAGGGCCGAGCACCCGCTGGCGACAGCCTACGGCTACCGCATCGCACGGGCCATCGGAATGCCCCTCCAAGACCTGGGAGGCGTCGCAGAGTCACTCAAGCTGATGGCGATGCGTGGCTCCAGGGTAGCCCTCGAGGATCTCGCCTCCGTCTCGGAGAGCCAGTACGAGGGGATGAAGAAGTCGATACGAAACGCCCTAGCCGGGGTAGGCGCTGGCTTCTTCTTCGAGCAGGCCATGCTTCACGGGTTCGGTTACGGGAGTTGGATGAAGACATTTGGCAACATCCCCATCCTACTCCAGAATTTCTCTCGTCTGAGCCGCATCGCCGACTACACCGTCAACAAGAGGGGTGACCGTATCCTCCACATGGCCGCAAGCTGCGGCCAGACGGAGGCCATCGAGGCTCTTCTAGATCGGTTCACCGCCCTGCAAGTCGACCAACTCAACGACCAGGGAGAGACGCCGCTCCTGTGCGCATGCCGCGCCGGCCAGACGGGTACCGTCCTGTGGCTCACCTCGCACGGGGCGACGGCGTCTGGAGCAGCGCGGAATGGCGAGTCGACCCTTCACTGGCTTGTTTCGTTCGACGACGAAGACGTCAAGACGGTGGGCGCAGCTCTGATGGAGGCTGGAGCTGAGGTAGACGCCAAGACGGCAAGTGCGATTGCCCATCATGCCGACTTTCCGACGTCTTTGATCCCAGACAGACTCCCCGAGGGTTACCCTATCGCATGGGGTGAGTTCCTCCATGGTGTTTCCTTCTTGATGAGAGATGTAAGATATCTGGCCAACGGGGCAGCTGACTTGCGCCATGTCGACACAGCGACTCATTGTGACCGACCACAGGTTGTCAAGTTTCTACTCTCCAGCATGCCCGATCCCCTGATATGCAGCACCTCATGGCCCCGGGCAAACAGCGCATTGGAGACGGCTGCGTCGCAGTCTCGTCCAGAGTGCTTGAAATTGATGATGCGTGCCATGGAGGCCTTCAATATCCAGCAAGAAGCACCCAACCATCGCGGCATTACCATTTCTGGTCTCCTCTACCAGGCCGTAATGGGGAGCAGTCTGTTTGACATGATCCTCTACAACGGCCCCGGGTACGATCAGGCGATGAAGCAGACGCTTGACTTCTTGCTACCTAGGGCAAACAGGGTCGCCGCCGGCAACGGATACGGCGGCTTCAACCAAACGCTTCTCTACCTTGCCGTATCGCTAGCCCGAGATCAAGTGGTTGAATATCTACTCAACCACGGAACTGATGCCATGAAAGCGGGGCCTGACTACGATGAACATATCCTCCGCTCGCAAGATGTCGGCGGCTTCAAGAAGACTGACATCGACCGGGCATGTGGTGTTGATATGCGCACGCCTCTGCTGGAGGCGGTCAGGTGGAATCGTCCCAAGCTGGTCGATCTGCTCATCGAGCATGGCGCAGATGCCCGACGAGGATGCAAAAACCCCTTTAGCGGGAAGGAGTCGACGTGGAACGCCCTTCATGTCCTAGCTCACTCGGGGCAGGATGACATTCGGCTGATCAGACGTCTCGTTGCCCATGGGGCCTCCGTCGACGGCTCTTCGGAGCACTCGGACGGCACCGAATCTCCCCTTCTCGTCGCCGTCCAGAGCGACTCTTTCCAGGTAGCGGATGAGCTTGTGAACCTGGGCGCTGACCCCAACGCCATCACCCTGGGCAGCGGTCACCTCACCCTTACCCATCCCGCCACTATCCTTGGGCACGTCGTGGCCTCAAACGCACGGAACTCCATCGCCCGTATCCGCTACGTGTTCAGCAGCATGTCGGCCCACAGACGTGTGGACATGATTGTCGAGCCCGAAAGGAGGTGGACTGCCCTCCACCGCGCTGCAGCCGCCCACATCGATGCCTCTTTCCGCGGCACCGATGCCACAGAGCCAGCTCCGCTGCAGTGGGCCGACGTCGATTGGCCTGCTAACCGGGAGATCCTCAACGAGCTCCTCGGCAAGTTCTCCAGCCAAGATGACCTCGATGCCGTCGAGACGTCCGCGGGGCTGACGGCCTTGCACCTGGCTGCTATAGCGGGCAACGACGCCGCCATCAGCCTACTGCTCGACCGCGGAGCTCGCGCCGACATTTTGAGCGGTGGGGGGGACGGCAAGACGGCCGGTGTCATGGCGCTTGGGATGCAGAAGCACAGTCAGGGCATACAGCGCAGCAGGCACGAGGTAGCGGCTCGTAACAGGTGCGTTCAGCTGTTGAATGCAGGTACCGTCCAAAGTGCCGCCTGAGGTCGGAGACTCTTGAACCTCCTTCCGTCGAAGCCTTCTCTGGAGGCAAGGGGAAGGAAGCAGCTGTTGAGACCTGTTGGTGAAGCCTCGATGGAGAAGATGGAGAAGAATGATCCGAGGGGTTTTTGTACCAGTATACCCATCTACCTTTCTGTATTCTACCAAGGTATAGGCCAACTGTTAGGACCTATTCGGACAGTGTAGAAAAGGTGGAAAGGAGCACAAGGATATCAAACGACACGGTCCGGCGAGGCAGAAGCGATGCCAACACTATGGGAAGGCATTGATGACTGGTGTGCGCGTACCCGTCGTATTGCTCCTTGCCATTGAGGGAGAAGGCTCTTCTCTTCGTGAGACCTTTTCGATCCCCTTTGTGCCGCTTCCATATATCCACTGAATGGGTCAAGGAAATGTTACCTTGGAAAGAATGGAGTGAGCAGAGAGACGCAAGGAGGTATACCAGACAAGGGTAAAGCATACGTAACATGGAAGGAATAAGTTGTCAAGAGAAGGATGTAAACAAAGATTTGAGGGAAAGGACGTAGAAGTAGATGGAAAAATACAGAGGAAGTAGGAAAGGAGGAAAGAATGAATGAAGCAGAGAGGGAAGGAGCCACCATCATTGCACTAGACCACTCATCTCAATAGGACAATATGCATCATCATCCTACCTGTACACAGGAATCACCAAGGGGGGGGGAGCAGACGGAAAGGGTTTGAAATCACGACTGGTGGAAAGGGAAGAAAACTCTCGAAAATCCAAAACTCTTCATTCTTCAAACTTGTTATAGATCCATTGCCAGGATCCTGACCGCTAGTGTACATGTAACATATCACTCTCCTTCCTTCTCCTACAGCTTCTGATGCGTCTGCGCATCCTGGCAACTCTTTCGGGCGTCGTCTAAGTAGACATTTATATCAAAAAGGTCGGAGAACTCCTAGTCACCGAACTCATGATCATCTGTCTGCCCTTGAAACTCGTCCCGAACCTCGACCTGAACCTCGACCTGATTCTGTTCCTTCTCATGCTCCGAACTGTGCCCCGAACTCAACTCCGGAGTCAGCTCCTGAACCTGCTCCTCACCCTGAGTCCACTGCTGAAGGAGAAGAATCTTTTCGATGAAATCGTCGTCCGTGAAACCTGCAGGTGGAATCGCGGCTATCTCCTGCCCATCTTTCGGAGCATGCTGTTGAGGTTCCTGCTGCACGACGTCCGATGGCGAGATGAGAGTGAGTTCATCCGGGGAGACAAACTCTCTCTGTTGCTGGGGAAGAACCTCCCACTCAGCTTGCGCCGGTGAACAAGGGTCTTGGGATTCCAGCGTCGTGGGGTCCGACCACGAGGTGATGGGGTAAAGTTCCGGGGAAGTAGACGCTCCTTCCTGCGGTTGGGGAAGCGGCTCTTGCTGAGTCTGTCCCTGAGGTGAGAGCCCCTGCTGCTGCTGCTGCTGTTGTTGTTGTTGTTGCTGTTGTTGGAAAAGGGGTTCCTGTTGAGTTTGTCCCCGAGGAATGGAGGAGCCCTGTCGTTGCTGAGGGAAGGGCTGCTGCTGAGTCTGTCCCAGAGGGAGGAACCTCTGCTGTTCCTGCTGTTCCTGTTGCTTTGGAAGACTCTCCAGGGTCTTGCGCTTGGAAACGGGATCCAGGCATTGTCTTTCTCGCTGTTTGACTAGTTTCTGTTGTTGACGTCGTCGTTGCAGTTGCAGCATTTGTAGTTTTTGAGGGTGCACAAACTCCTGGTGAGTCCTCCAGGGAGGAGTAGACCCCGTTCGTGGCTGAGGATGGAGCCCCTGATGAGCCTCCAGCTCTGCAGTAGGGTCCGGTGGGCTGGCAGTGGCCCGTACCTGAGCCGAGGCGACTTGCTCCGTCCCGTGCTGAGCCTCCTGTCGAGCTGCGGCTGACTTGCGCCTCCTGTTCGCCTCAACCCAGGGCACAAAGGGGAAGACCTGGCAGTGCAGGAACTTCTGTTGCCAAGGCATATAGAGCTCTCTCAGGTACCTCTCCTGGGCTGGCAATGACTCGAGCTCGCGGACAATGTCAGACTCCCTCCGCAGGTACGCCTCCAGGCGGCAGAGCTTGGCCTTGAGGGCGTCCGGGTTATGGCTGTATCTTTTGTCTAGCTTCAGCTCATTGGCCTTGCGTTCCATGTACGCCCGGAGCTGCTCCGCCATCTCCTGTTGGCGGTGGGAGTAGATCTTGACGGCAACGTTTGGAGAATATTTCGAGCGCCAAATCGGATGCTTCTCGAGATAGGGCATGCTAGAGCTTGAAATCTGGCTTCCCGGGATGGTCTGTCCAGTCTGAGTGCTGGGACCCACGAGTGTGGGAGCCAGAGCCGGACCTTGCATAGAAGCAGTTCCCATGTTCAGGTTGCTGTTGCCGTTGCCGTTGCCGTTGCCGTTGCAGTTGAAGCTGCACTTGCAGCTATTGTTGTTTGCGTTGGCAGCGTAGGTGTTGGCACTGTAGTTGACGTTTTGCTGGAGCCAACTTGTAGCCATGTTGCTGCTCATGGGAGGCGGTGCGCCTGTAGCCAGGTTGTCGATGCCGACCACGGAAGCTTGCATGGCCATAGGGTTGTGGTTGATGTGGTCATTGGTCACGATACCTGACGTGGCCGTGCCCACGTAGTTGTTATTGGTATTGGCCATGAGAGCTGGCGTAGCTGCGCCCATGTAGTTGAAGTTGTCGTCATTGTTGTTGTTGTTGGCATTGGCCATGGAAACAGCTGGCATAGTTAGGCCCATGTAGTTGAAGTTGCTGTTGCCGTTGTTGCTAGCCATCAGAGCTGGCGTAGCTGAGCCCATGTAGCCGAAGCTGTTGCTGCTGTTGTTGACAAAAGGAGCAACCTCTCGCGCAGACATGGTGTTACCCGTGGGAGGAGCCATGCCGCCAAGCTGCTGGATCAGGCCGCTGTTCATTGTCGAGGACAGCAAGAGCAAGTGATGAGCTGTGTGGACAGATTGGTGTGTTGCTTGACACTTTAACAGAAGTGTAAAGATTTATGGGGCAGGCAATGTTCCGAAAACAAGGAAAAAGAAAGAAAGAAAGAAGCGAAGGGGTAGAAAGAAAAGGGGTGTACTGAGCAGCCAGATGGTATAAGCGACAGAAAGGGATCCGCAGGTAAGTAAACAGAGACGTTCGAACCAGTACAGGACAAGATGATACTTGATGACCTTTGCAAGAGAGAAGAAAAGAAAAAAAGGAGAAGGGTAAGAGAAGGGAAGGGGGGGGTATTTATAATAGAAAAAGGAGGGATGAAACTCAGGGGATCACCACAACAGATACCATCAAGGCCACAAGCTTTGTCCTTTGGGAAAAAAGGTTCATGTATAAAGGAGTCACGGGTCGCGATCTGGGTGTGTACATCTATCTTCTATCCCTTTCTCTCTCTCTCATTCGGTGAGGCTGTCCGAGTCTATGAAATTCTGAAACTCGGCATCATGTGCAGGAACGAAACAAGGGTAGAGGTAAAAATGTAAACAAATCGTGAGAATTCTCAAAAAAGGGGGTGAGGGTCATCAAAGAAAAAGGGGCTGGCCGAAAAAAAAAGGCTATACCTGGATCGTAGCCAACAGCATTCCGTCCAAAAAAAGAAAAGAAAAGGGGAAACAAGAATAATCAATGATCCTATTCAGAGACCTTCTCCTCCATATCACGGTGAGTAGACATCGTGTTTAGTCGACTGATATAGAGAATAAAAAAGTAAAAAATAAAAAACGCCTTCTTCTCCGAATAACTCCAAGGGTATCAAAAAGGTGATTGTTCAGCTCGTCCATGTGGCTCGGCGGTTCATTCGGCTCCCTCCCTCCATATCAGGAGGCCACTATCACCAGAGTTTCCCCTGTCAGCCTCCTTCGGCTGACGTCTATCGGAAGCCAGTTGGGACTAGGAAAGCCTGGGGGGAAGTGGCGTGCCTGGTTGCTGTACTTCTCCTTCCCCTTCTCACATGTTCTCGATATCACAGAGTTTTCTTGTCTTCGAAAGGAACGAACGAGCGTCTTCCGAGGAACCTGTCAGAGTCCATGTGGTCTGACGTACTATTTTCGACGTCATCATCGTCGCTGTTGTCACCGAGCTGACGTTTGGCCGCCACGTCTCCCCTGTCGCCAGCCCTAGCGACGGACGCTCTGGCCTTGAGGATCCCCCCCCACGTGTCGAGGATTGCCTGAGAATCCGTAAAGAAGATTATGCAGGGGCGCTGGAGGAAGATGAACCTCATGGCATCCGCCATGTCGAGTCCAAAGACAGCCATGAGGTATGCGGCCAAGACAAAGGCAGACTGCATCCTGCCCGTCTCGCATGTGATGAGAACCTTTGCCCGGGTCGGGCAGGACGCGCGGCCGCCACCACGACACTGGGCGTGATGAACGGACAGGACGTGGTCGTTGATGATCCGGACAGCTTCGTCCAGTGACTTTCTCAGCATCATCTGAGGACTGTACATGTCGACGTAACGACCGACGATGCCGAGGGTGGCAGCGGCCCTGTCCAGGCTGGCAAAGCTCTTGGTGAAGATGTTGGCGTTGCGGACGACGAGAACCATGGTGATCCCCGTGCTCCGGAGGAATTCTAGATCCCGGATAGCGTGGTTGGGTCCCAGGTAGAGGTAGTCAAGAATCCTCTGGGGGGTGTCGCGCAGGGGGAATTTCCAACCGGCGACGTTGTTGTACGCCGTGATCCGAGACTGGCCCTCGGGGAGCAGGATGGCCAGCTCTTTGGGCGTGAGCATACGCGGATCCGTCTTCTCGTACTTGGTGTCGAAATAGACAAGTGGTTTCCCATACCTGCCGTGACTCTCGTCGATGGGCGTCAGGGCGTCCAGGTCGATGGGGCAGGTCTGTGGCATGTTGGGCATCCCGATCGAGTATGGGGCACACCGAGAAACGGTATTTTCCACACCCAGATAGGTCTCATCTCTGTCTGTCCTTTCCGTCATATCGTCCATTCAATCTCTCATCTTCGTCTCGCTTTTTCTCGTCCTTTCTCCTTTTTGTTTTTTAGCGGAAAAAACCTCACTGTCTGCTGATTTGAATGTGTCAGAACAATGCTATCAAATATTTTCCCGCAGAACAGGGAGGGAGCAGAAAGACTGGAATTGCCGGGAGAAGAAGAAAGACGTGACATCCGATGACCTTCGAGCTCCGTAAGTGAACAGATCGAATAATATGTTGAAGGGTGATTGATCAGCTGTATGGGGATATATTGTTGGAGAATCGATCTGAGATGACGATGGGATGGTAACTTTTCTGCGGGGGAAGGAGGAGCGATTTTGTGAATAAAATCGTAGAAATTCACCTTGCGCATAGGGAAGGAACCACCGGCACTGTGTGAGGCCCTCGAACAAGGAAGAAGAAAGAAGAAGAAGAAGAAAAGGGTCCACCAAGATCAGATGTGGCTCTGACCCTGAGCACGGGGTTTCTAACCCCAAACATTGGATTCAAGCTTCAGAGAGATGCAGAAACTTGGAGTATTGGCCCTTTGTTGCTTGAAGATATATGGCTGTGGCTTTCTACAGGCAATGGTCACTCTCGCTCCGTATAGTGTAATCGAGCAATACGGGTAATACACTCAACGATGACAGATTCACGTGAAGCCTGGTATCATCATGTTATCACCGTGGTCATTCTCATGGCAGGAATTCGGTACATGCATATTCATATGTAGACACATAATTCCGAGACGAGTGCATCATACTCGATCCGAAGAGTCATAACGCCACGGCATCATACATAATACGGAAATGGTCATGTGTATTTATGACTAGATACCGATATATAGATGTCAACCCAACCAGTTGATAAAACGCCTCTCTTCTTTTCCGCGGGGAGAAGGGGGGAGGGAGAATGACTGTACGCTGACTGAAACAGAGTGATTATCCAACTTGTGAATTTTTGAGTACGAGTCGCCCAGATTCTATTATTCTATTCATACAAATTCCAGTAGTTTTAGTAGTAGTAATACAAGCATATCGTCATGGTAGTGGTAATACAGGTTTTTTTTTTTTTTTTCAAAAAAAAAAAAAAAAAAAGACGTTCCCCAAGAAGTGAAGAAAGGCTTCAGGTGACAAGACGTCACCGTTCGGTCCCGCGCACGCTGTGGAGGTATGACGCCTGTTTCGATGCTTCCACCATCTCATCCAGAATCTCGGCATCCTCTTGGCCCGTGGTAGCAACGTCGGCGACTTCGACTTCCGGGGTGCTGTCCGCGATGGCTTCGCCGGCATAGCCGTCCGCACCTTCCTCTTCGCCGTCCAGGGGATCGAGGTTGATCTGCTGCATCTGGGCCCGGGCACGCTCGATCCGACGTCTCTTCTCGAGGTCCTTGTCCGTAAAGTCGAGACGGTCGAGCAGGTCCGAGAGGCGCTGCTCCACGAGCGTGCGGATGTGGAAGGCGAGCCCCTGGTTGCGGAACATGCCAGCGTAGCGGTACGACAGCCACACGTACTGGTTCACGGCCGTGTGCAGGGCCTCCATCTTGGCGAGGTACTCCTGCGCCCGCTTCTTGGTGTCCGACATGTCGATCTCCAGGTACTCGAGCGGTATCTCCCGGATCGACAGCAGGTCGCCCACGTCGTTGTTGGCGATGATCTCGGCCAGAGCCCGCAGCGTCTGCGTCGACGTCTCCGTCTTGATCCGCACCGGCATGTTGCACAGCGTCAGCTTGTCGTAGATGGACAGCGGGAGGTCCTGCACGATGTCGGCGATCTGTAGGGAATCAGCCGTCACGCTCAGCCGGAACCGCTCGCCCACCACGGCCGCCGTGCGGATCCGGTTCAGGATGAAGGAGAGCGGCGTCGAAGGGGGGTAGTACGACGCGAACCGCTCGACGATGGCCGGCGGCGGCGCAATGTACGCCACCTCCAGGTCGTCGACGTCGCGCCTGAACGCCGTCTGCACGCTGCGCAGATCCGCGTACTCCATCGTCGTCACGTAGCCGACGTTGGGCTGCGACCCGTCCGAGCCCTTGCCGTCCGGGTTGTTGGCCGACCTGTACCGCCCGGCGCGCCCGCCGATCTGCTTGATCTCGGGGTACGTGAGCCGGCGGTTGCGCGAGCCGTCAAACTTGCTGACCGAGTCGAGGATGACGCGCTTGATCTCGAGGTTGAGCCCCATGCCGATGGCGTCGCTGGCCACGACAAAGTCGTAGTCGTTGTCCGGGTCGTTGAACAGGGCCGCCTGCTGCACCCGCACCTCGGGCGGCAGCGTGCCGTAGATGATGGCGCATCGGCGGCCCGTGTACTTTTCGATGCTGCGCTTGAGCGCGTGCAGCGAGAGCCGGTTGAAGGCGACGACGGCGTCGCCCTTGCGCAGCTTGCTAAAGTCGTTGTCCAGCGCCGTGTCCATGGTCCGCAGCGGGCTGAGCCTCTCGTACCGGTGGACGATGCACTCGTCGCCCACGCTGGCGCACAGCGACCTGACCAGGTTGACGGCCCTCTCCTCGCCGCACACGTGCACCTCGTCGGCCTGCACGCCCAGCAGCGCCGTAGTCCATGCGCTGCCCCGGTCCGGGTCGCTGAGCATCTGGATCTCGTCGATGACGGCCACGTCGAAGCGCGAGTTGAGCGGTATCATCTCCACCGTGCAGCTCGAGAAGTACCGGTCCGTGTCCTTGGGGATGCGCACCTCCTCGCCCGTCAGCAGCGCACAGGGCAGGCCCTTGGCGGTGAACCGCTGGTACACCTCCGTCGCCAGCAGCCGCAGCGGGCCGGCATACACGCCCCTGCGCGACTTCTCCAGCGCCTTGATGGCGTTGTACGTCTTGCCCGAGTTGGTCGGGCCGACGTGCACGTGGACCTTGCGCTGCATCTCCCGCGTCCCCGGGAACCATTCCTGAGGGAAGCGCAGGTCCAGCAGTCGCTGCTGGTTGAGCTCCAGTCCCTTGCTGAAGCGGTTGCGCACCATGAACGACTGGAAGGCGTACCGGATCTCGTTCGTCACCCCCTTGGCATCCCGCGTGATGAATGCCTCTCGCAGGTTCCAGAACAGCGGGTTCCTGCCGCGACTCGAGATGTTGCGCTGCGCCAGGAGAAAGGCGTCGTCGAGCGCGTTCATAAACAGGCCCGCCTGCCGGTTGAGCTCGTCGCGGCTCACGCCCGTGACCGAGAACTCGGCACCCTCCAGCTCGCTCAGTACCGTCTGGAAGCGTGCCAGCACGGCTTTTCGGAACTGGTCGTGTCGGCCAGTGTGCTGGTTCATGGCCAGTCGGATGCGCGTCTTGGGATCGTGACCGTTGCTGACCTGCATAGGAATCACATCGTATCAGCACCTAGCTCCTGTACGGAGGAAGAGAGTAAGCCATCCTTGTATCCTTACCGAGTCCACACGATCTCGGTCCTCCAACCTGGCATCCATCTTGGAGCTCTGATTCCGCGTAGGTTTTTTGGACTTGGAAGGGGCACCATCGGCCCCACCCCCCAAGAAGAGAGTACCGCTACCCGACTTCTTGTTGGTGCCGCCACTGTTGGTGGTCCTCAGCACGGGTGCGCTGGGTCGTATATGTAATGGTGTCGTGGTCGAGAATAGTCGCCGTCGCCATGCCATGGTTGCGGCTGTCGTCGTCATCGTCGTCGTAGCAGGCACCAGATGTCTCATGGCAGCGGCCGAATCGACAATGTGAAGCGCATGCTTGGTCGAACAGATGAGCCCCGCAAGGTTCCCAGAGACGACAAACATGAGTCGGCGGGATTCGGCCTCATAACCAGGCTGCTTGACCTTGTGTTACTTCTCCTCGATCTTACTTCTACTCTCTCTCCTTTACCTTTCTTCTTCTGTCATTCGTACCTAATGCAACGTGACGTTTCTTCTTTTTTTTTTTTTTTTTTTTTTGTTTTTCTTTTGAGCGTAGTGGAGAATCCTCTAAAATCGAATCACGTGCCCTGCTGGCAGAGTCTGACACGACCTTGTGAGCCCAGGTTCCTTAGAGCTCTTGAACTCGGCCGTCAGCCACATCCTTTCGTTTTGTCTTGCCTACGGCGGCATCAGTACGGATCGGCAGATACGTGACATCGTGGCCGGGGACGGAATGCCAGCTCTTATTGACTAATGGGGTTCGCCAAGCTGTGAGGGAAGCGGCTGCGGTCATTGCTCGGTACACCACCAGACTGGCGTGAAGAAATGCTCTATATTACATCCAGGATGAAGCACGGCACGTACTCCCTCAGCAAGTCTCGTCAATGCTCGGAGAAGGCAAAACGGCATCGTCCTGATATCACAATCTCAGATAAGGAGGGAATTATAATGAGAGAGGTCCGAACATCTAGTGATACTCGCAGAATTAGCGTCGCAGACATACGACACTCTTGTACAGAGTACAGATTTTCAAGTACCCACACGCCACCATGCACTAGCCACAGGGGGGTGAGACAGCTTGCTTACGCCACAAACCCCGAGAGCTGGAGGGAATAACGATGCTGTCACTGCATTCTTGTGGCGCGACAATCATCCCACGTCAGTCATCCATCATCAACAACGAGAACGAGAGAGCTACGATCAGAGCGGACAAGCAGGCCTGGCAACTCTGTCTCATCATAATCATATTTACGCTACGAAATCTACCCTCCTCTGATCAACCCTCACTCGCCTCGACAGGCAGGAACAGCAACGTCGTATCACTGCGGCATACCGCGAAACGCTTCGTCACCATGGCGTCCTCTTCGACCCCGTCCACGCCACTCCTCTAGTACGTTTCGCTGCACATCCGCAGAGGAGAAGAGGGGGATTTGGAGAAGAAGACAAGAGAGAGCAGCGATCGGCTAACAAGACTCAGCTCCTGCATCGCGCACCACACGACAATCCTAGCAGAATGCACCACGTCAGCGTCATCGCAGACGTCATCGCTGGCGTCCCTGATCCTACCCAAGATCACGCACGCCACGTCCCAGAAGCTCACGTACACGCACGGCCAGCATCAGATCCACTACATTGCCGACTCCGCGTCGGACCACCCGGCCCATCCGAGTGCCGGCGGTCTGACCTTCCTGGTGGTAGCGGACGCCTCGCTGGGCCGCCGCGTCCCGTTCGGCTACCTGTTCGAGATCCGGCGGCGGTTCCTGGAGCAGTTCCCAGCATCGTCGACGGACCTGGGCGACATGCCCAACTACGGGGCCGCCTCGTTCAACGCCGACCTCCGGTCCCTCATGGTCGAGTACGGCGCCACGGCGGGGGGGCAGAGCGACGCCATCGGCACGGCCAAACGCGAGATCGACGACGTCAGGGGCATCATGACCAAGAACATCGAGAGCCTGCTCGAGAGGGGTGAGAGGCTCGATCTGCTCGTCGACAAGACCGACCGCCTCGGCGGGACGGCACGCGACTTCCGCCTCCGCAGCAGGGGGCTCAAACGTCAGATGTGGTGGAAGAATATGAAGCTCATGGCCCTCCTGGGCTTCGTCGTCTTCATCATCATCCTAGTCATTGTCATGTCCGTCAAGGGGAACTGATTTGCCCCGTAGCTTTTGTTTTCCATCTTTCGCCGTTTTTGTTTTGTCCGATACCACTTCACTTGTATATGATAATCCTAGGAACTTGAGCAATTCTCAATCGACTGAAAGGGTGCAACGGTGTTTTTGTTTTCTTTTGGGGCTTTGATCTCTCTTACTTCCTTTCCAGGGGTAAGTGAAGGGGGGGGGGACTGATTATCCCTGTTCTGCTACTCGTTTTCTGTTTTCTCTTTGTTCCTAACTGCTGATATATATTACCGTCTCTCACAATGAAATTTCTCTTTCTTAACCTCTCGTCTCATCCTTCATCATACCCTGACTGTTGAGAAGGAAACATTGACCTTTGGCCAAACGATATACCTTCTCTTCTGTATTATACCACGAATGATGAGAGGCATCCGCGTGATCCACTCCCCTCACACAAGAGAATCGAACCAAGTAATAGTAATATCATATCATTCCCTATCATTTGACGTCAGTTTCTGAATTCCCCCCCCCCCCCTAAACCCCTCTCCCCCTTCCAACCATAACGTAGGAGATGGTCCGATCGGATAGCCTACCTATCTCACAATCTCGGCACTCTCACCCCTCCATCTCGGTAGGCATACCCATGAGCGACAGGGCTTCCCCCTCCCCACGACGTCGCCACAGTAAGAGGTGACCTCCTCAGTTTATCCGTGAAGAAAACGGGATGCCTGACCGATGAGCTGTGCTCCTGCTGCTTCCATGCTGGCTGCTGCGCTGACGGCGGTGCCGGTGCCGGTGCCGGTGGGAGACGATTGTCGGTGCTGTTCCAGGTTTCCTGCATCTGCGCGGTGTGTTGGGCGGTGACGTCCATGATCATCCGTCTTCCTTCTCTTCTCCTCAGTCCTTCTCCCAGCCTCGTCATGACCGATGTCGATGTGCAGATGAGCTCGAATTGGATGAAGAGATGAGTGGGATGGAAGAAGAAGAAGAGGAAGAAGAAGGGAAGAATGGGAAAGAAAGAATATTACCTCCGTAATCGCTTCTCCTCAACTCGATAAGTCGTAATACTTTTTGGCCCTGGAAGATAACCTCGGACGCCCCCGCTTCTCATGTATCATCTATACGCTTATTGGTCCGTCCGGCTGCCTTCGCTTGCATATGCCGACGTGGACGATATTCTACTTGTAATATGGTAAAGACTTTCTTGGATAAGACGAAGACGCAATTGTAATTGATGCATGTACATCTGGTGAGCAGTAATACCCTAGCAGTACTACAATCTTCATTATCATGACTACCTTAGCTGACAGAATGTGATCAAGACTTTGAAATGCTTTCTTCCTCATCTTGTTTTTTTTGGGGAGGGGTGAAGTGGAAATATACAGGCTGTATAGTACACATGTGATGTTCGCTTGTCTATCAAACAAAACCCGGCCGCCCCCTATTTTCTTGATCTATAAATCTGACTTCGTGTCCGACTTTTTACTGCTCCTCTTCTTGGACGGCTTGGACTTTTCCTTTTCACTCTTAGACTTGCTACTCTCCTTGTCCTTCTTCTTGCTCTCCTTTTCCTTCTTTTCCTTCTCGTCTTTCTTCTCCTTCTCTTCCTTCTTCTCCTTCTCATCCTTCTTCTCCTTCTCATACTTCTTCTCCTTCTCCTCCCTCTTCTCCTTCTCTTCCTTCTTCTCCTTCTCTTCCTTCTTCTCCTTCTCCTCCCTCTTCTCCTTCTCTTCCTTCTTCTCCTTCACTTCCCTCTTCTCCTTCTCTTCCTTCTCGTCCCTCTTCTCCTTCTCCTCCCTCTTCTCCTTCTCTTCCTTCTTCTCCTTCTCATCCTTGTTCTCCTTCTCATCCTTCTTCCTAGATGAGGAAGATGCCGATTTCTTGGAGATGCTCTTAGCGTCGTCGTCATCCGTACTGGCATTGGCGGCAGCCGCCTTCTTGGCGGCCGCCCTCTTCTTCGCCTGGGCCTTCTCTACCTTTTCAATCAGGGCGTCGCTCTCCTCCCAGAGCTTCTTGGCCACTTTGTCGTCCCTGACCTCTGACCTGGCAGGGTCGACCTGCTGGCACTCCTTGATGAGCCTGGCGCCCGGCCCGCGGCCAAGGCTGGCCTCCATGGCGCCGTACAGGAAGGACTGGGCCCCCATCTTAGGGGACTTGAGCAGGAACCAAGGGACCAGGTAGAACGAGAGGTAGACGGCCAGCCCGGTGAGGCTGCCCCGTGTCAGCCAACGGCGCATGCCTAGGGTGCGGCACAGGCCCGGGTCCACCATGACCACGCGCGAGTTCATGGGGAGCCCGTCGGGACGCTTGTACGAGTCCAGGTGCTTCTGGTAGGCGTTGGCGAAGACGTTGAGGGCCAGCTTGCTGCGCGCGTAGGCCTTGGTGGGGGTCCAGTCCTCGTCCGTGAACGGATCCTTCAGCGACGGGGCCCCGATGTACGACGAGCACGTGGCCACCAGGATCCGGACGTCTCTGTCGACAGGCTGGGCGCGCAGGGCCGGGCTCAGGATGCTCAGCAGGTGGAAGTTGGCCAGGTAGTTGACCATCCACGTCTCCTCGACGCCCTCGTCCGTCAGCCTGCGCTCTCCGCCGGGGGGGGTGAGCGTCGCGGCGCAGAGGATGACCATGTCCAGCCGGCGCGGCGGCACGTTGTCGATCCACTTGGTGGCAAAGCGCCGGATGTCGTGAAGGCTGGCCAGGTTGACCTGCTCGGCGTAGATGAGCTGATTGTCGTGCTTGTCGCGCAGGTCCTGGATGTACTCGGCCAAGAACGGGTCCGAGGGCGCCACCTGCGTCAGCAACACCAGCTGAGCGCCCCGTCCCGCCAGGTCATCCACTATCTGTGCTCCTATTCCCGTCGTGCCGCCCGTTATGATGATCACCTTGCCGTGCAGCGGCCGCTCCGACTTGTTGCTCCGGCCCGCCGTGAAGAGCTTGAGAAAGACGAGGGAAGGGACGGCCAGAGCCGTGTAGGCCAGCTCCCACGCGTGGACCGTCACCCATTGGGGCGGGCCATTGCGGATCGTGTGGAATATGAAGGGGAGAGGCATCGCGGGTTCGTCGCGCGCAAACTTCCTTTGAAGGGAGGGAGGGGGAGCCCGGCGAGTTCAGGTCTCTCTCTTTTTTTAAATGATAGCCGGCATCTGATGCCTGGTGTAGATGGTCGAGCCCGAATATGAAGGTAGCTCTGTCACCGAGGTACCAACGTGAGCGAAATGGAGCGTGGGGAGACGAACTGAAGCTGTTCGGGATGATGGGCAGAGGGTTGAAAGTCGGTCAAGAAGGCGGAAGACGCGCGAGGAAAAAAGGACCGTAGCCTCTCCATTCATGTACAGGGATCTACGGAGAAGGATCCAGGGGGTCCACACTTTCAGGGATGCTTTGCTTCCATGGCTTGCTGGCAGCAAGTGGCAGGCCTCTACGAGTACTGAATGTAAGTAGGTACAGCATCATTGCAGGTACAGAGTACAGATTACTCGTACGCTGTAATGGCGGATACTCGTAGGGGACTTGGGTACGACTACACGTACGCTCAGGTGATAATTCTGGTGGTGGAGGCTTATGGACAGGGATTAGGGGGGGGGGGCCCCCTATTACCCATTTCGGAGGGGGGGGGGGGGGGAGGGGCGCGGACGATTTCATGCCATGCTCATGCTCCCTCCCTCTCCCTCCCTAAGTCACCTAGAGCCTAGAAGCTAGCTGCCCTAGAGCCTAGAGGCTAGTAGTACCCGGGAGTCCGAGCTGCCCCCTAGTAGAGGCCGGGAGTCCGAACCAATCCTGTGTGTGCGTGGCAAGAATCCTAACTCGCTCTTTTCTTTTCATAAGCTTTGGGCGGTCCTCTCATTCTGGCAAGTGCCCACGTTCATCGGGAGGATAATGATACCGTCGCAACTTCCCATTCACATGCTGATAATTCTTCCTGTTGTCAGCACCACATCTTGTCTGCCTCATCACCAATCAATCTCATCGGTCATAATCTCCTCTACCCCAGATCAATCCCCACGAGATGATGAAATGCGAGTGTCAAGAAGTCAAGGCCCAAACGTGCAAATTTCACCATGTCCCATGTCTAACTCGGACCCCTGCGTCTGCGCCCCCGTATTCCCTCTCGTTTTTTGTGCGAGTACAGATTACTCGTAGATGATTTCCGATGAATCCCTGAGCTTCCCTTTCTTCCCCATCTCAAGTGTGTGACGCTGCCTAAGGGCTAAGGGGCCTGTTTCCAGAGGCCAGAGGTGACGAGTAATAATAATACCAGATAGCCTTGTCGAGGGAAACGACGATTCCTATCCATACTTGGCATACATCTGTACTTGATCGTTAGGAAATTTACTATCTGTCGGCGGCCCGAACACTCATGTCTGGTCGTACCTTGGCAAACCACACCCCCCCCCCCCCCCCCCGCAAAGGTACGACCAGACACCATAAGTACTTGTTCTCTGGGACAGGGTGGTGTCGAAGGTGACGCCGTGGTAGTCGATTTCACTTATAGCTGTAGATTTGTAAATTTTAGCAGACTTGTAATATTGAACTAGGGTAGATCGATGACACGTAGTGCCTATCGCGGTGGCACTGCCTACTTCTTTTCATGGATCCGTCCGAGATATTCGTCCCTCACAGTCAAGTCGCTATCAGCATCCAACCGTACCTCCTTCCCGCATATAGAGCCCGCATATGGAAAGCCTGGTACGTGATCATGGCAAGCTCGGGACCGGCTGGCTGCGGGAAGACTGAGCTGCACCCATTCATGTGCCAGACGACGTCAGGAATGAGGTGCTTGGATGGTTACGAGCGGCCCTTCGATCTGTATCCGCAACGGATTGTCTAACGGCGGCGGGTGGTGAGCAGGCGCAGGGGAGCGGTTTCAAGGCAGAACATAGAGCGGAAGAGCCCATGGAAAACATGGTTGTATCGTTGAGCGGTCGGTATCACAGACTTTGACTACTTGTCACCTCTGGTATGTTTTTGAAGAGTAATATCGATAGAACGCGTATGTATGCATGCGGATGGAGGAGCTTGGCCACTCTTCTGAATCTGGTAAATGTGTGAGTATTAGTCATCACAAATAAACAAAAACCGTTGCTAGGGTCCAGTCTCTTTTTCCACCGGATGACATCAGGCATCACAGCATACACTAGGAGTGCATCTACGTTTGGCAGTTGGAAAGACGGCGCAAGGCACATTCAATGTTCACTGCAGAGTATTTACTACATGAAACGGACTGGTGATGGATGAATCACACATCTGCCAGCACTAACATCAGAGACTCTAGGCCATCCTAGTGGATCAGGTGTGCAGGTGCAGGTTACAGTCCATCTCATGTACTTCATCACTACAGCTGTGGCCATCACGTCGAGACCCCAAAGGAGGCAGGTGGTCTGTGGTGATCCGGAGAGATAGTTGAGAGCTTGACCTCCGCATTCCAGACCAACCACCTATCCCATCTTGGCCTCCGTCAGTGGGCGACACCCTAGAGGCAGGCAGACACATGCCAAGAGAAGACGGCTTACCATGAATGACCTTGACTTCGGGGTCGTCTCGGATTTCTTCTACGACTGCGGCCTTCTTCTCGTCGCAGAGGGAGCCATAGTAGTAGACGAATCCGATACCTGCCTTTTCCAGCACGGTTCCAAGGACTTTGCCCGTCATGGTCCATTGGGTGAAGACTAGGGGGATGGGTAGGCTATAGCAAGCATGGGTTTCCTTCTAACATGGGGTTGGTTGCCGTCATAGCTATAATCTCCCCGTCCGGACAGCTCCTCTGCCGCTGGAGAATAATATCCATTGCCATGGTCGTCTTGGAACTCGAGGGTATCTGAGACGTCGGTTCCGGTAGAGGCTGTGAAGAATCCGCTACCAGCGTCCACCCAACCTACTCTGGAGCCGATGGCATCCATACCAGGCCGCTCCTAGCCTATAATGTAGTTGCTTTCTAAGGCGGTATAGAATTTATGATCCCTCTTAAGATTATCTCTAGCATTCTTATCTCCTCATAACCCTTTTTTCCTCCGCTTAGCCACGTCTAGAACATCGGCGAGGGTCAATTCTTATTCGGGGGGGGGGAGGGGAGATTGAGAGCATTTTTCCTTGGGGAATTATTCGCCATTCTGTCAATTGCAAACGTTCGGGTCATTATCACGGCCAGAGAACACATCGGGTTTCCCCCTGAAAGAAGGCAGGCTCACATTGGCGGAGGCATGAGCCCAAGCACGGGGCCCCAGGTCCTCTTTGAAGAGGCAGGAGAAGCAAAACGCATGCTCGCACTTGTTTCGTCAGTCATCGTAGTCTTTCAGACTGTGAAGGACAAGACACTCCACCTGAATCGACTCACTGTGGAATTAACGCTGATGTTTGGTTTAACTTGGACCGACTTGCCACAGATGGCGCACATCTCGTCTCAAAAACGGACTTCGCTCTCGGCCAAGGACAGGACTGGATTCACCTCGAAGCGGCCTCCAAAGACACTCCCCTTGACATCTCCTTGACGCCCCCCCCCTCCCGAAGTTCTCGAGGAGATTGGTCTTGTTGGGGAGAGAACCGAGCTTCCCTCGGGTCATGTTGGTCTGGTCTCCCTTGAGTGTGGTACGGAAAATTGACTAATAATATAGGCCAAAGAGATGGGACACGGCCTGACAGAGTCTCGTCATCACGGGGCGTCGAACCTGTCCCATTGTGTTTCTCTGAAATCCTCCTTGACGTCTTTCCCGTCACCCTTTTCATCTCTTCTGACTCTTGGAAGAAGACATCTGTAGTGAGTCATTGGACGGCCCTGTATTTCAGTTGGGCGTCAGTCGCCGTGGCAGGAAATAGTACAGATGAACGACCTTCCCTACTTGTAGATTATCATCTCCTCCATATAGAGGGGTACCCGTATGTCCATAGACGAGGTATCTGGGAAGTCAACAATGCGACGGCCGAGAAATGAGTCCGCGTGTGTCCTTTGGTAGGGTTAGTTACATGAGACCACCTGTCACACAGCCTTGTCCACGTACCTTCGGTACATGCTCGGCGAGTCAAAGGCATCAAAAGTTGGCCTCAGCCATGCCCTGCCATGTCGGCAAGTCAGCAGGCAGGCAAGGGTGCGAAGAGCGACAAGAACGCACGCGTCTGACGTAGATCTCGTTAAACCGGACCTTGCTATTGACAAACGGGGCATGCGAGAAATTTTGACGTAGGGGTACTATTCTAAGCCAGGAGCTTGTCAGAGGGAAAGGGGGGCCTGAATAGAGTGGTATAACACGTAGTATCAATCATACCTGTCGGTGTATCAGCCAGTGGCGTTCCGCTGAGGTCTCATCAGAACCTGACGCTGAGGGATCAACAAGCTAAAGAAGCCAAGTACGTGTAAGTGTCTTGTCAAGGTGTCTTTCGTGCCGAGAGCACCGGGATAAGAGTACTTACTGCGGCCCGTGACGTTCCTGATGCATTGAAGATCATCCAGGATGACTCCGTGCCAGATATGTAAGAAAGGAAGAAGAATGGGCAGAGGTCAAGGCAAAGCGAGTTTTGCTGTCTGAAATGGGAACCCACCATGTGGGATGGCAAGTATGAATAAGATTCCGAGGAATTCCAAGGTGTTTCGTGCACTCGGTGTTTTGGCACCAAGTTGAGAAATCCGAATGTGAGAATACTGCGCACGCTGTCATCGCCGCAGCCAGAGACGGCGTGGACAGCTTTTAACGACAGCCAAGGAAGGAGCGTCCTTCCACGAAGGAAGAAGGAAGGAGCGTTACAGCAGAGAATTGGGGCTCCTCAGCTCACTATATTTTTAAAGTTCCATGATATCTACTGCTAGTAGTACCAATAGTAAGGCCCAGTAGTATTTCCTGAACCAATGCTTCGACCTCTTTACCATCACCGCTTCATACTCATATATTCAAACAAGTACAAGTCCGGTAGACAATTACATCGACAGCAACAGGTACACATCCCGAGAGTCCCCACTCTCTCCCGAGACCGCCACCACCTCCCCCTCTGTATGTGGGTCCCTCTGACCGGGACGAACACCGGGGGAGATGCTGTCCATCTCCACCACGATGGGGACCTGTCGTTTCACTTAGTTCTGTCTTCTCCCCGATGCGGTAATGTTTTCTTGTATCAATCATACTAGTAGTAACAATATCCAATACTGGATGTGACGAGGTAGTCTTACAGATCCTGCTCTCTCTGATACACTTACCCCCGCTTGCACCCCCCCCACCGAAGCCACCAGCATCATTCTACATGTTATCACAAACATTGATGTGGAGATAAAGATCAATCTGTGTGTGTTTTCGTCAACTATAAAAACGACGTGTCCATCGCACATGCACTCCCCTATACACAGTACGTTTCAGCGTGGACCGTCGACGGCATTCCCTACCTCTCCTCTCGATCAATCGTCTCAAAAAAAAAAAAGAAAAGAAAAGAAAAGAAAAGAAAAGAAAAGAAAAGAAAAGAAAAGAAAAGAAAAGAAAAGAAAAGAAAAGAAAAGAAAAGAAAAGACTCGACAAACAGAGATATGACGTCCGGAAATCACCTGCTGCGCATGCTGAGATATCTATTCTTCCCGTGCTACGGGGTGCGTATATCCTCCGATCCAATCGAGTCGATACGGATACGCAGCCGCAAACCAATGGAAACGACCGAGATAGACGACACGCCGTGGATGGGGTTGCAGCGACGTGGGGACCGCAAGAGCTTTTGAAAAGAAAGGAGGGGAGGGATAGAAACGATGACGGAACCGCCACAACTTCAGCTTGTACTTCACCAGAAGATGGGATGATATCAATATTCACCGGAGCTATCTCGTATTGAACAGGGAAGGAGATATAGCAACACTGTCCTGTCTTATCCAGCTGAAAAGGAAGTGAAACATGAAATCGGAAAACCGTGTAAACGCCTGGAACGCCATACTTGCTAAGCAGAGAAGAAGAGAATGCATGAAAGATTGAATTTGTCAAGGCCATGCTCCGGGGAAGACGGGTGAGAAGGGAAGGGAGAGGAGTGAGTGTTGGGTGACAGCGATGATGGTGCGTCTGCGAGACCTCAGACGATGGAACTGGGTGCAAATGCCGACTCGGGACGCAGCGACTGGCGATCCTGCTGCTGCATCTCAGCCATGCGCAGCTCTGACAGCCAGGTTCCCAGGCGGCGGTTCTTGTCCTCGGCGGCCTGCATGCCAGCCTCGTAGCTGGCGACAGGGCTCTCCGTATCGTCCTCGCTCATGCTGTAGAGGGTGAGATGCTCGAGGAAGGCGAGCAGGGCCGAGATACCAATCTCGATAAAGGGGTTCTTCCAGTGCCAAGAGCAGGCGGCCGAGAAGATGAGGATGAAGGTATCCATGGCGTCGCTGAGGAGGTTGGTGACCAGAGCGCGGCTCACCTCGCGAATCGACAACATGTCAGCCGTGTAGAGCAGGCCGCCGAGGAGCAGGTCGCGCGATCCCAGCAGACTGCCGAGCATGAAGGAAGCGCCATTCTGGGGGATTTCGAAGCTGGACAGGAGTATGGCGGGCCAGGCAATGAAGCACAGGCCGCGCAAAAGGCGCACGAGAGAGAAGAAAGTGATGGCGAACCGCTGGAGACGGCTCAGCGGTGGCGGAGGGTCATCTTTGCCAAGCAGAGGGTCTGTCTCCATAGCCATGGCAAGTCTTGCTTTTTGGCGAAGTGTGCCTTCCAGGATATCAAAGCCAGTCTCAGGAGGCGACGTCTGAGAGGAAAACCCCGTACAACAGTGCGAGGATATATTTTCAGAGGGGGGGGGAGGGGGGAAAGAGAGGGGAGAGGGGAAGGAAGTGGGTGGTGCGAAAAGGGCGAGAGATTATCGTCAAATACAAGTACGGCTATGTGTGCGTGACGAATGAAAAGGTGGGTTACATGGTGAGTTATCCGACCCAAGACGTCTTACCGTAGTACTGTGCTATCTGAAGGAAGCGGCGACCGACGACGGCTTCAAGTCAAGGTGGAATGCCGAAAGAGGAGGAAGGAGGGAAAAAAGTGTCTCAGTACTCGGTACACCGACAATGATGGCATGACCTCGTTTCCCACCCACACTTCTTCGCAACCGAGCCACTTTAAACCCGGGGGACTGGAGGATGGATGACAGCTGTTGGCCAAGGGGATGTTATCGCGAGCCACCCACACTCTAAAAGTACATACGAGGCTAGCCTGTCGGTCGGTCGCCTGCATGGACTGAAAGTCTAGCAGCATGGTGCGAAGATCTTGATCCTCTCGGTTGGACGCCCCGTTTCTTTTGGTCTGTCGCCTCAAAAGAAAAAAAAAAGATTAAAAAGAAAAAAGAATAGAGAACAAAGAATAAAGGGGGGGGGGGAAAGGCCCAGCCTCTCTGCTCTTGTTTTCCGCGCTGAATCGCCCCCCTCGCCCAAAAGAAATCGGCAAAGGGGGCGAATATCGCCACGGAACAAGAAGGTAGCCTCGAGGTCCGGAGAGCTAGCAAAAGGAGGGGCTGGTTGATGGATGGTGGCAGTGAGAGGAAACTGGATGGATTGCGCATTCTGTAGCTGTCTCTGTTGGTGTTCTCTTAGTGGCGAACCGATGCGACTTGCATCCATTGCGTAGTCGTACTGCAGATCGTCTGGTGGCTTACAAGTTACATGCGAGCTCCATGCAAGTTGGGTTCCACCGCAGTGCGAGACATCGGAGCTTCTGAAGAAGGGGATGGCGAACCTCATCTTTCCTGGCCCATGTAATATCTCTCACCTGTGCAGAACCAGAACCCCTGTCTATCACTGTCATTTCTCTCTGGGTCTCTTGAAAAAAACCAGGTCTCGCATAATGTGGTGGACAATCATATCGCTCCCAAGCGCCAAGCTAACGGTATTTTTTTTTTGGGTGTTTGTTTCGTCCATGACGCACTCCATAGCTCGAATCGGATCTAGACTCTGACACGACCCATGAGCCGAGTAAGAAGAAATGCAAAGTGAAATACGTGGTCAGCATGAACCGTCCATGTCGTAGGGAGGAGAAAAAAGATCAAGTCACCTCGTGCCGTCTATGCAGGCGGTGTGATTGAAGTTTGGGGTGGTGTGAGACGGGAGTCGTTGTCCCAGCGTCTCACCCACCAATGCCCACCACCCCTCCGTTCGGAAATACCTCTCGCAGCCGGAAATACCTCTCAGTACATAGAATTAAATATATTCTACTACCCTACTGCTCGCTTCACCATCATCGTTGTTTTCCGAGTCTGGCTGGCCAGCGTTTTTGGATGAAGCTAGAGGATCGTGGCAGATAATGTAACAGAGCAGAGAGAGGAATCGTGACAAATAATGTAAGAGAGTAGAGGGAGGAGAGTAGAGGGAGAGGCGAGTCAATGAAGAGGGTGCGGGGTTCTACCCTCGGTCTATGACTCTATGGCTCCTTCAAGTTCCTTATACCTTCCCCCGCGAAAAAAAAAAGAAAGAAAAAAAGGAAAGACCGTTGCCTCATTCCTTCCACAAACTCACGATGGAGGCGAAACTCGAAATACTGGACGCCCATTCCATTAATAATACCGTAGTACTGTATCATTATTATACTATCACTGCTACTGTGGTATCGATCCTCCATCTTCCAGCACCTCTCCCTCCCATGTCATGTCACTCCCCTCATCTTCTACATATATAATACGCACATGCACCCTGCAGCCTCGACGCAGCAAATAGCATCTGTCAGATGCAGCATGCCCAAGCCACAATGGCGAAACTGTAGGCCAAGGTATCCAAGACAAGCGAAACGTTTATTCCCTCTTTATTTCTTTTTCTTTTTCTTTTTCATTTTTTCATTTTTTTCATTTACAGGATGAGTGGGGTCTGGTTAAGAGTCTGCGCCTGCCAACAGCACGTAATAAGTCGTTATCTGTGGAGAGGGTTCTAAATAAAGTCACTCGACTTTGAGGCTGCATGGGAGGGGAAAACATGCGGCCTCATGGGAAGTCTCACTTTTTCCCAACTCCCATGCCTTTGTGTTTGTTCCCTTACCCTCCATTCATCCTCTCTAATTTGACGACTCATGCATGTATTGATATACATCTCCGGTGTGGAGAGCCTACCACCTGCAAGCCATCGACCTCGCAGGAAGAGGGATCCCTTCTACAAGCTGGATGGGCTTTTAAAATACACATTACCTGTACATAACTGCAATACCAAAAGTTGTTCAAATTGGAAAAAAAAAAAAAAAGTAAAGGCCGTTATACAATAGCCGTCTATCTCGCGTCGTGTTTCACCCGCGACGGGAATGTATGCTTCCTGTTGGCGACAGCTACTGGTACGCCTTGGGCCGATGAGTGTGTGTCTGATTTCTTGATTCTTGAAACGGAAGAAATCTGTCGAGTAATAATATCTATGAGGTTATTTACGGGATGTCAGTGTGTGGTAGCAACCTCTAGCTGCTTAGTCATGCATAATTCGGTTGCCACAAATTTTGAGCTACAGGGTATCAAAACATGGAGATAGCAGCAATGTGGCATGAGAGGGAAAAAAAAAGAAGAGTACAGGATATTTATAATATTGCGAATATATACAACCATTTTTATTCTTATTTTATTCTCCATTATAACTAATCACCCTCATAGAATCCTCACCTCCTCCCCTTCTTATTCTTTTTGCTACCGCTCCCCTCTGCATCCTCATCTCCCCTGCTCCTCTTCTTCCTCCCCTCATCGAGCAGCTTCTTCATCCCCTCCGTAGCCTTGAACTTGGGGTTGGACGGGTCGATGGCAAACTCGTGACTGTCAAAGACGGCCTTGAAACGGTCGTCGGTGACGTCCATCTCGAAGCCCTTCTGGAGGTTGCCCTGCTTCTCGATGGCCTCGACCTTGGCGGCGGCGCCCTTCTTGCCCTTGCCCTTGCCCTTCTTGCCCCTGTGCTTCTCCGCCTTGACAATGTCGTTCATGTCGAAGTGGTCGAGGTGGTCGGCCTGGCCGGCCTGATCGGTGTCGTCAGCCGCCATGACCTTGGACAGGCGGGCCTTGTACGCGGCCGCCTCGGCCTCGGCCGCCTCGCGCTCGGCCCGCTTCTTGAGGCGCTCCTCCTTGCGCACGGCCGTCTTGGACTTGCTGCCCGCGGCCGTGGCGTCGTCCGGCATGGTGAAGAAGGGGTCGTCGAAGCCCAGATCTTCCTTGCCCTCGTCGCCCTCGCCGGCAAGCATGGCACCGCCGTCCTCGTCGTCGTCGTCGTCACCGTCGTCGTTCGAGTCGGCATCGACGCCCGCATGGCGGCCCTCCCGACGCGCCTTGGCCTCCTGCCTCTTCCTCTCCTTGCGTTCGCGCTCCTTGCGCTTATACTTTTCAATCGTCGTCTCCTCCTTATCCTCGCTCTTGGACTTCTTTGTACCCGTCAGAGCGGGGGTAAAGGTGATTTCCATACCGCCGACTGGCCCATCTTTGGAATCCTTGGCTGTAGGCTCATCCGTCAGACCCAAGGCCTCGCGCATCTTTTTCCTCTGCAGCTCCTTCTTGGACAGCTTAGGGGCACCCTCCTCCCCACCCTGTGCCTCCTCCTCCTCCTCATCATCGTCGTCGTCGTCGTCATCGCTGTCGTTATCGCTGGCCAGGTACGCCTTGAGATCGTTCTCCTCAATCTCGTTCCTGGTTCCGCTGAAGGCGCGGTTGATTGTTTCCTTGCGCGAAATCTCCTCCGGGTGCATGTCCCAGGTAAGCTTAACCTTGGAGCTCTGCAGGGCGTTTGTGACGAACTCGACGGGTCGATACGACTTGGGCAGGGCGTCGCACGAGTCGCGGGGCTCGTCGTCAAAGTCGACGTCGTCGGGGACGAAGCGCAGGTCCAAGAAGTTGGACGAAGACTGGAATTCGGTGCCGTCGGTGGCGTCGTAGATCTTCTTGGCCGCCGTGGCGCTCGAGCACTCCATCACGGCGTAGTAGTATCGTAGCCTGTCGAGCTGGTATGCGCGCAGGGCGTCGTGGTCGAAGTCCTCATCGTTGCCCTCCTGGATGAGCTCCTTCTTGATCTTCTCATCGTCATCATCCTCACTGTCAGAGTCGGAATCGGAGTCGGATTCGGAGTCAGAATCATCATTCCTGCGGCTCTTGAACAGCTCCTTGGGGGGTCCCTCCACCTCCTCCTGCTGCATGCGCTCCTTGCCGAACTCGCTGGGGTAGACGGACACCTTGTCGACCTTGTCTCCCGTGCCGGGGGGGAGGAAGCTGGAGAAGAGGGCAAACAGGTCCGTAGACTTGACGTGGTCCCAGTCTAGGTTGACGATGGCGATGCGCTTCGTCACCTCGCCATCTTCGACATTGGCCTGCTCGTCCTGGAATCTCTGCATGTTGGTCGACGTAGAGGCAGCGGCAGCATCGTTGCCGTCGTCACTGCCCTGCTCCTCGTCGTCCGAGTCGCTGTCGCTATCGTCGTCCGAGTCGCTGTCGCTATCGTCGTCCGAGTCGGATGCCGACGAGAAGCCACCGCCTCGTGCGGGATCATATTTTTCGTGAGCGGCCCTCAATTCCCTCTGAACGACTTCGTCATCGTCGACCTCTACCTCTCTATCCCGGTCGGAGCCTTCTTTGTCCCCATCCTCCTCCTCCTCCTCCTCCTCCTCATACAGCCTCTGAAGAGCCTTCTTCTTAGCATCCGACTTGATTTTGCGGCCGTATCGGTCCACGCGTGCTGTGGTGGTGAATTCATCGTCGTGGAGCATGCGCGAGAAGCGCTTGTCAATCGTTGTCTTGGACTTCTTCTTGGACGGTAGGCGAAATCGAGGGTTCGTCTCGAAGCTGGCAAATCGAGGGTCCGATATGTGGCTGGGACCCGGCGAAGGGTCGGAACCCTTGGAATTTTTGGCGTCTTTCTTCATGACGGGTGTGTGTTCTATTTGTGTGAGAGAATGCGATCTCTAGAGGTGGGAGAGTTGATTGTCGCATCTGAACATTTTCAACTTTTTTTTTCTTTTTCTTCGATCTGCTCTTATCTGGTTATCGGTATCTAGTGGGTCCGTCTGGCAGGTCGGAAGAGACTCTACTCTTGTTTTGCCAGGAACCACAACGACAAAAGATAAAAATATTATTGTTTTGAATGACCCCTTAAACTGTTTAAGAAGAGATTGATCCTGACAAGGTCCCAGTTATCAGCTTCGACGAGAATTTTGATCCGTTGGACGCTGTTTAAAGTGAAGCAGTTGAGTATAGCGGCTCAATTCCGCCTCAGTAAATTGCCCCACCACAGGGCGGAAAGGTAAAAAAAAAAAAAAAAGAAAGAAAGAAAAGAAACCGCCTCGACATTTATTCTTCCTTGCATCTGCCATACAACATTCGCATCGTCAACCGAAGTCAGCAGAAGACTCCCCGCCCACCACAAAAACAAAGGACCGAACCTCGGAACCTCGTATGACACACATACACACACATACACACACCCATACATGTCTACCAAGGCGGCACGATCCCCCGCGGGGAGGTCAAAGCCGGAGCGGCCTGCCAAGCACGGCAAGACAGAGCTGCGACAGCAGAAGCGCAAGCGTGACCAGGAAGAGGTCGAGGCCCTGCAGCAGCGAGTGGAAGGGCTTGTAAGTTCTCATAAATTCTTGTCCTTTTTTTACATCTCTTTCAATCTCTCCTCCACGTCCTTCTCCGTCATGCTCATGCCACACCTGTCCCAATGGCTGGAAACTTACCTTTTGAGGGGAACCAGGATCTCAAGTCGGACAGCTTCACACGCTTCGCGGACCTCCCGCTCTCGGAACCGACAGCGTCGGGTATCAAGGCATCGCACTTCACCAGCCTGACAGACATCCAAGCGCAAGCGATACCGACGGCGCTGAAGGGCAAGGACATACTGGGGGCGGCGCGGACGGGCAGCGGCAAGACGCTAGCGTTCCTCGTGCCGATGCTGGAGAGGCTGTACCGCGCGCGGTGGACCGAGTATGACGGGCTGGGGGCGCTGATCATCTCGCCGACGCGGGAGCTGGCGGTGCAGATCTTCGAAGTGCTCCGCAAGATCGGGCGGAACCACGTCTTCTCGGCCGGGCTGGTGATTGGCGGCAAGAGCCTGAAGGAGGAAGCGGAGCGGCTGCCGCGGATGAACATTCTCGTGTGTACGCCGGGCCGGATGCTGCAGCACCTGGACCAGACGGTGGGCTTCAACGCGGACAACCTGCAGATTCTGGTGCTCGACGAGGCAGACCGCATCATGGACATGGGCTTCCAGTCGGCCGTGGATGCGCTGGTGGAACACCTGCCCCGGACGCGGCAGACGCTCATGTTCAGCGCCACGCAGAGCAAGCGTGTGTCGGACCTAGCACGCCTCAGCCTGCACGAACCCGAGTACATCTCGGTGCATGAGGCGGCAGCGCACTCGACGCCGTCCAACCTGCAGCAGCACTACATCGTCACACCGCTGCACGAGAAACTCGACACGCTGTTCGGCTTCGTCAAGGCCAACCTCAAGAGCAAGATGATCGTCTTCCTCAGCTCGGGCAAGCAGGTGCGCTTCGTGTACGAGAGCTTTCGCCACCTGCAGCCCGGCATCCCGCTCCTGCACCTGCACGGCCGTCAGAAGCAGGGCGCCCGCCTGGGCGTGACCAGCAACTTCCGGTCAGCCACCCACTCGTGCCTGTTCGCTACCGACGTCGTGGCCCGCGGCATCGACTTCCCCGCCGTCGACTGGGTCATCCAGGTCGACTGCCCCGAGGACGCCGACACGTACATCCACCGCGTGGGCCGGACGGCGCGGTACGAGAGCAACGGCCGCGCCGTGCTCTTCCTCGACCCGAGCGAGGAGGCTGGCATGGTGGCCAAGCTGGAGCAGAAGAGGATCCCCATCCAAAAGGTCAATGTCAAGGAGAAGAAGAAGCGTAGCATCACCAACCACCTGCAGAATATGTGCTTCCAGAACCCGGACCTCAAGTACCTGGGCCAGAAGGCCTTCATCAGCTACGTCCGCGCCATCCACCTGCAGAGGGACAAGTCCGTCTTCGACATGTCCAAGCTGGACCTCGACGCCTTCAGTGCCAGCCTCGGCCTCCCGGGAACGCCGCAGATCCGCTTCCAGAAGGGCGAGGATATCAAGAAGATCAAGAACGCCCAGCGCCAGGGCATGTCGAGCGGGTCCGAGTCCGAGATGGACATGGACGGCGCGAAGCCCTCCAGCAAGACCAAGAAGAACGCCGTCCGCACAAAGTACGACAAGATGTTTGAGCGAACCAACCAGGACGTCCTATCGGAGCACTACTCTAAGCTCGTCGGCAAGGAAGACGAAAAGGCCGACAACGGTGATGGAAACGGCGACGATTCCGAAGAAGACTTCCTCTCCGTGAAGCGCCGCCTCAACGACGACGACCTAGACGAGGAGTCCAAGAAGGCCCCAGCCTCGGGCGCGATCAAGGTGGTGGACGGCTTGGTCATCGACTCCAAGCGTCGCGAAAAGGCCCTCCGCTCCAAGAAGAAGATGGCCAAGTTCAAGGGCGGCGGCAGCAAGCTCATATTCGACGATGACGGCAACGCCCACGCCATCTACGAGCTCACCAACGAGGACGACTTCGCCGGTCAGGGTCCCGCCGACGAGCTCCGCAGGCGCTTCATCGAGGAGGAGGCCGCGCGCGTCAAGGAGGCAGACGCCGACGATAAGATGGCCGCCAAGCAGAGACGCAGGGAGAAGAAGGAGCGCAGAAAGGAGCGGGAGGCTGCGGAGGCTGCTGGCATGTACGGTCCTGGCGACGACGGTGGCGACGATGTCGCTGATCTCGGTGGTATTCCGGCCATTGATGACGATCAGCTCGACTTCATTCGCTCCCTACCTATTGCCGGCCAAGGAGGCGGTGATGCGTCAGACAGAGACGGGGACGATGAGCCTCCCAGGAAGAAGAAGAAGAAGTGGTTCCAGCAGGATGAGGATGATGACGACGACGGCGACAACGACATCAACAATGCAAAGCCCAAGAAGAAGGGTAAACCTGGTGCCAAGGTATTCGAGGTCGACGAGGAGCCGCAGACTCTGGAGGATCTTGAGGCTCTGGCTACTGGTTTGCTAAATGGGTAGTATTGTCATAGTCATTGTAGTAATTGAAATATATATATATATATATATATATATAAATATTAGATGAAGAGAGGAACACCATCATGTATACTAGCCTGGTATTAGGAAATTAACATTTGTACTTGAATGTGTCACAATCACGTTGCAACTTGTCATTGACTTGATATAATGGTATGGCAATTACTACTAGTGATATATGCTCATATACACAACGCCTTTGTTCAAATATAGAAAAACCCACAGGGTATTCACACACATCCCTTTCTCCGTTCCCTTTTTTTCCCCGCTTGCTCTCATGCGCCGATCGACATCAAATTCAAAACAGGAATAGCAAAATAAAACGAGATAGATATAAAAGGTAGGGGGGGAAGAGCATAGAATAAGACAGAGGAAATTACCGACTATGCATCTACACGCTGCCCATATAACCTGACTCGGTAAAAACACGTATGATGGTTCGCTCCGTAGTTGCTCGTCGCCCGCACAACTACCTGGTCTGTCTCGGCCCGCAGGGCAGCGAGCTCGTTGCTCAGTCGGTGCACGTACACTCCGTCATGAAGCTCGGCACCCTCGTAACGGAACTGTCCAATCTTGACGAACCGTGGACCCAGGTCGGCCGGCATGGCATTCCAGTCTTCGGTTGAGGGATCCTGGTCCGGGAATCGCGTCTCGCCAAAGTCACGGATGAGTTCGCGCTGCGCCGAGTCCTCTATCCGGGCGTAGATCTCAATGTCGCGCGGCCGCGCACCGGGGTCCACCGTTGCACCAGGCAGGATATGGTCGATGACGACGTGTTCCGGAATGATTTCGTGACCGAGTATGACGGACAGGGTCACGCTATGCGGATTGCCACGGTAGTTGGTCTTGCGCGCCGCGCACCAGCAGTCGCCCTCGTCGGCCCAAGGCTTGAGTGCCTCGGTAGGCGGACGTGGTCGGGCAGCGACGACGCCACGCGCGTACCGTTCGTCCTTGGGGTCCATGCCCTTCTGGTACGGATCGAACGTGGGTGAAGACAGCTTGGCGTCGACAATGGCCCCGGCGCCCTGGCTGAAGTAGTTGACCTGGTTCTTCAGGTCGGCGTCCCAGTACGCGTGGATCTTGCCCTTGGCCATGGCTTCGAGGTTGGTGTCGGCCAACGCCTGGCGGAGAAGGCCGTTGACCAGAATTGTGACCTCTTCGCGTGTCATCCCGGCGGGGCGTCTATCGTCCTTGGCGCTGGCCGCCAGCTTTGCCATGTCCTCCATGAGCCCCCGGATCCGTGGCTGGAGTTCGTTGAGTTCTGCGCGGATTTCGGACCGGTGGACGGTGAACTCATTAGTCAGGTGGCGTAAGAACTCGCCTCGTGTCACCACAACCCCCTGGGTCTGTTCGTCATGGAGCTGCTCCTTGACAATTTTCTTGACCACGTCGCTGAGTTCTCGTTCAGAAGCAGCCGACTTTATCCGGTCCAAGGCCGACCCCAGAGTGCTCGAAATCTTGTCGTCGTTGTCTTTGACCCATCCGTCCCAGAAGCTCGTCATCTTGGCGTTGATACGCCTCTCAATCCCATCCATGGTCAGATTGAACTTGGATGTGAAGGCCGGGTCGGATGCCAACTTGGCGGCGATGGCTTTCCAGCCATGCTTCGGGTTCAAGACGACATCACCCTTCTTCTCGTCGACCGTCAAGAAGCTGTCATCATTTTGTAGGAGATCCCGCATGGCATACCAGAACTCGGGAGCCACGACGGGCTTGCCATTCTTAAGTTCCATATGCACCACCTTGGGGACAACATTCTGGAGCTTCTCTAAAGACGCGCTGTGCAGTTTTTCCGCTTTCTTCAGCAATTGGAAATCACGGTCGTACTTCTTGAGGTAGTCTTCGACCTCGTGAAGACCCTCGTCACCTAAATCAAAGAGACTGCCCAAGTCATCGCTACGGCCGAAGCGGGGAACGATGGATGAGGCATAGCCGCCGATCAGGGATGCATATTCTTTCAAGTCGGGCATGCTAGGCATTCGAGGCACCTCAGAGGTGATGGTTTCTATCGAGTCGCGTACAGAGGAACCGAAGCCAGGCTGAGAGATGATCACTGAGATTGCTGTAATGAGCGCACCCATGCCGAGCAGCTGAAGGAATTGTCCCAAATCAAAGAGAGCGATGGTCAGTTTGAAGAAGCCAGAGAACCAGTCGTTGAGTCTGTCCATGAAGCGCCAGAGGGCATCTAGATGCGACCGAGGGTTGAGAGAGTGCCACCAGTGGGCGGAATGGCTATCTTGATCATCGTCTTCTTCTACCTCTTGTATAGAGTGGCCACGTCCTCCCTGAAGGATCTCTGGTCGTTGCTGGCTGATCGCACGCTGCCGGGCGGCTCGGAATGGCGAGATGGGGTTTATCTTCAGCCACCTGCCACGCCACGACTCTTGTTCTATTTCCTCGACAGCTTCGGTTTCGGAAGCCTCAATCTCCCGCTGAATCGCGTCGTCCGCCTCGCTGTAGTTAGAAGCAAAGAAGCCAGGATCTGGCACGCTTCTGGGAGAAAGACCAGTGTGCTTTGACGTGTCAAGTACAGGCGGGCGGGTCCTGTGCGAGGCCACATCCGCCCATGAGTCTGGGGGCGACCGCCTGAGCCGTACGCCCCTCTTAGGGGACGAATGGAGGCTCTTGGGGGGTGTCTGCTGTTCGCTCCTGGGAGATGTATGGTCGTTTGGGCTGAACTGGATCCGAGGCGGGCTAAGAGACCCGACTTGTGGCGGTTGGTGACGTTGCGGAAGTTGCGGAAGATGGATTTCTTCAGACTCTTCCCGCTCGGCTACCGACTCCAGCGCAGGATGCGGGTTAGAAAACGGTTTGAACTGCACAGCTTTCCGTGGCGGCAGCCCTGGGTTCACAATGGGAGATGTGCCACTAGTGGTAGAAACGATGGTGGCATCTCCGTAGATGTCGCTCTCGGTGATAAAGCTCCTATCGTCCCGCATATCTTCGGAGGATTCGTGATTGGGCAATGGGGGTGGTGGCATTTGACCGGGCGACGAAGGATTGTCCTCGACTTCCTCTCTGCTCAGCAGGTTCCCGACTGCATTACCCAAGTCCAGAGGCTGGTCTTGATGACCGCCCCTGCCAGGTCGGGATGGTGGAGGCTCAGCAGCTGAACCGTAGGTGTATTGCCTCCTGGCGGCCGGTGTGCCGGCAAGTTTGGGTAGGCGTGGGACCTGCAGGACTGGTTGAGTGTTTGGCGACACGCTGAAGTCAAGCTCACGACCTGTGCGCCGTGATCTGCGAGCGGCTCGAGGAGGCATCTCGAAATACTGGCGTATACCAGGGTTTGTTTCTGCTTCTTGAAGGATGTGGTGGGGGAGGTATCAGAGTGAGGATGAGAAGAATAATGCCGGGTGGAAGAAAAGAAATCTCATGCGAAATGATGATTGCCCAGCTCCTTCTCACAAGAACAATGTACAATGAACGGCCTTTTATTCCCTCGACACACTCTGCACGGAGCAGATGGAGACAAAGAGCAAAAATAGCCCTCCCACCCTCGTCGACGCCGTAGGTTTGGATGGTCGGCGCCTTTTGGGTCCGACGACGGAGGTTGGCGACCCGATGCGACGAGGTGAGGTGCAACTATTGCGGATGAGGTAGGGGGTTCGAGTTCAGTAAATGCAGCCTCGGCCCTTTCCTCTTTGTCTTGATAAGTGGAATATAGAGGACTCCCGGGGGGGGGGGGGGGGGGGGGCAAGGGACAAAGGTGTAAATATGCAGGTCGATCAACAACAGCAATGGGCATCAATGAACATGGTGGCGTGGCTATGATGATGGTGGTGGTGGGGTGTGGTAGCTCGGACCATTGCTGTTGATGAAGCGCAATCCTCTTCTCTTACGTCTCCCTCTGTCTCTGTCTCTCCCTCTTCTCCGATCTCATCTAAGATAAGAGGGTGGGTATGTAAGAGTGAGTTGTCGTCGTCGTCGTCGTTGTGAAATCATCAACTCACCACAGCCGTTGCAGCTTGAGGCTTGATGAGGCGCATCTGATTTCACTGCTACGGTAGGGGCGGTCGGTAGCAGCTTCCCTCCCTGTATTGACAATTGTCGGTGGCTGGGACGGAATCTTGTGGGGAGGGTCCTTCCTTTTCCTGGCCGAGTCTCTTCCAACAAAGAAGCGCGACAGTCAGTGGAAGTGGGTCGGCTCGCGCCTGCCAACAACGCGTTGCATATTGTATGGATGATGAGTAATTCGGTCACATGACTCACACCAAATTGTGCCGTATGCATACATACTCTCTCTCTCATCTGAGAGTGTCGCGGTGATGGATTGATTGAGTCAACTTTTTACTGCACCCGTATATCGTTTTTTTTTTTAAAAAAAAAACCTAAAAAAAATCACATAGGCTAAGCCGTAGATACTTTCCTACGTTGTATGCTTTGTCCTTTTCTTTGACCCTTTTTGTCACATGAAGATTACCATTATTGCCAGGGCTGTTCTGCCCCCCCAAAGCCTTTGTCGATCAAGCCGCCTCCTCCGTCTTCATCTCGCGCTCTATTCCATGCTTGACGGCATCCAACACGGTATCGACAATGATACGGGGTTTATACGTCGGTTCGGTGCCATCCCGATAGACGCCCGTCTTGACCAGAATGCTATACCAATCGTCCTTGCTGACCTCGTTGACAGCGTTGGTCCCGCAAATGTCGCTCTCGGGGGTATCGCCGACAAAGTAGATCGTCTTGGGCGGAGGCACCAGACCATGCTCCCGGGCCCTCCAGTTATTCATGAAGCGGGACGCAAACTGAAAGGTTGAGACCTGCGGCTTTCCAAAGGCGTGCGTGCGCAGCTTTCCCTTGCCTTTTGTCAGATCCTTGAAGATGACTTCGAACATGCGCCGCAGCGCACCCATACCCAAGCGGACGTGCTGGTGTGCGGCCGACCAGACGATATCATTGTGCGAGAAGTATACGGGCGGGCCCTCGTCAAAGGTGTCGCTGACGGTGCCGACGTGACCGGCCTTGGACATGGCTAGGTCGACCATGATCTGGATGTCGGAGGCCCAGTCGCGCGAGTCAGCAAAGACGAAGATGGCGTCGATGACAACGTTCTCGAAGTCTCTGATGCGCGAATTGGCGTACTCTTCCGGAGTGAGGTTTCGGAAGGGGGCCGTAGCAGAGTTGAACTTGATGATGTCACCTGGGGTGACGACGTCTTCGAAGCCGTAGCTCTCGGCCACCTTTCTGCACGCCTCGCCTTCGCCGCCGACGACCAGCACTGTCTTATATTTCTCCGACAGTTCTCTCATGGGCGTGTGCCCGCAGATGAACTGTGCCGGGTCGATGGCGCGTCCCAGCTGCTTCGAGAGGTCCTCGCATCTCTGCTCTTCTGATTTGCCGCCTCCATTGGTTAGGAAGATGTGTGAGCTGCACTCGAGAGGTGTTAGCAGGAGGCACGCTGCAAGCGGCGACGGCAGCCGTGGTAAGCCATGGGCTATGAGATGTCGAGTGCACCTACACGGCAACGTTCCATTCATTTTCGCCGTCGAGCATCTTCATGGCTTCGATGGCCTCGGGGATGGGCTCGCCCCCGCGCACCAGGACGCCATCGATGTCGAATGCGAAGACGAAGCCCTCGGCGGCAGCCTTGCCCTTCTCCGAGGCGATGTCAATCCCCTTGGCGATACTGTCCCTGTGTTGGCTCAAGGCCTGGGCCTTGGATTCGGCGGTCTCATGGCTGTCGCTGTCGGTCTCATCTGCGGCCAGACGAGCGATTGAGACCTTGTGGGGGTTATCGAGGACGTCGGAGTCGAAGAATGATGTCGACTGTCCAAGTGACATGCGTTTGGCCATGGCTGTTTTCGTTCATTTATGTCTGTGTGTGCGTATGTTTGTGTGCGTGTGTGTATTCGTGTGTATGTGTGTGTGTGTGTGTGTGTGTGTGTTATCTCATTTCCATTGAGGTGCGAGATGGGTAAAGGAAGGACGAGGGTCAACGATGAGTGAGAGATGGGCGATTGCTATATTCGCTCTCCTCCAATCCGGCCACTTGTATGACGTTTTCTGAAGTGAGTGACGGCATGTTCGAGAGTAGAAAGTGGGCTTCCTCGTAGGCTGATTAAGAATAGGTCAACATGTATAATACCTCCATTGTGCCGTGAAGTGATGCGATCCCGTCGGTGTCGAAACAAGGCTACTTCATTCTCTAGACAAGCGGTCCGAACGTGGAGACATGGGCTGGCTGCGGGAGGGGTCGCAGGAAAGGCTTTCTGAATGTCGACTAAACTGCCCATCTTCTCCTCCTCATCTTCTTCACGATTGATTCTCGTCGAGAATTTTGGGGGAGAAGGGACGAGTTGGAAATCCAGCTCTCCCCGTGGGACACGTGGGTTTACACTAGAGGCGGCGGTGACGGGTGACGTCGTTGATCTGACTCGGCTGGTGACACTTCGTACAGCAGACGAATGATGCGTACTATACAAATATTTAGCCGTAAGAATTGGAGCCTCTGATAGCCGTCATTCTCGGGGAAACAGAAAGAAGCCATCTACAAGTCACGTAGGAGATGGGGGTTATTTCGGTAAGTGCAAGCAAGCCACGTTGGTCCTGAGAACGAGGCAATTCTGGAAGCACCGTGTCTTGATGATACCTCGTGCGCTCGGTCGTAATAGTATGATAACTTCTCATTATACTCGTCGTATGAACAGTAAAGCAGCTGAGGACTTGGAGATGGGACTCTTTTGACAATCAGCCTAGTCCAATTGAAGAATTTTTTTTTTTTTTTTTTTCTTTTCCTTTTCTCCCCCCCCCCCCCCAAAAAAAAGGTGATCGTATCTAGAAGCATTTCGATACTATATTACCGACCGAGGCACATCTGTAGACTTGGATCCCCTCTGAGACAAAACGAGCATGACTCATTGGATATTACTACGAACAGATATCTAGGTGATATATCCAGTCCTACAAGCAAGTTCAAGTACGGAGAAGTACTAATGGTAGGAGGCATGGTCCATCTAAAAGAAGACAGACAAAACGAAAGAGAGACGAGCTGATTTCATACTCGTACGAGCAGCTCGATGACGACAGCGCCATAAATAGAAAGAAAGCTCAGAGCATGGAAGCTCAAAAGTCTTGGCGATGGTCAGCCGGCCACGATGCGGAGGCCAGAAGCGGGAGCGGCAGAGCGCGGCAGAGCCCCCTCCCCCCCATTCGAGGCAGGTCGGCAATGGAGGCTCATATTATTTCGTGCGTGTCGGCTGGAAAGCTGCGTCTACATTGCAAAGATACGTCGTACGGCCACGGTATTATTACGAGTACATCATCATTACTCGGTGAATATGCTCGATATCCATGATACGATGAAGCGGACAGGAAAAGCTACTGCCTGCAATCTGTATTGCAGATTACAGGATTAGTATCCTCTCAATCGAGAAACGATCTACCCCATACCGTGTCTTATCTAGCGATACTCGTACTTTTCGGCAGCCTTGTTCCTTCATCTGCATCTCAAGATTGAGCAGGGACTCGTCCTGTATCTCATTCGTGCAGTGATGGCCAGCGACAAGGAAGGAGAATCCATACGGGATGGATGGGAAGGAAATGATATCAATAAAAAGTCTGCGCAGCAGAAGCGGGCGCTTGTGGGAACCGACAGAGTCGTTGGGCCATTAATTACCTCGCCGCCGCAACGGAATAGATGCCGACAGTGGGGATCACCCGTACAGGTAATGATCATAACAGTCATCTGCAGCATCGATACCTGTACGAGTAATACGGACGGCCTAGCAGAGATGGCCATGGTCTTGCCTAGTCGATGGTCCGGCCGCTTCCTGGCTGCTGCTGCTAGCATGAGTAATGATTCCTCATCCCACCGCACCGATGGCAGTGATGTGATGGCAAGAAAGAGCGACAGAAGTGGCGCTCCTTGCCTTCCCTTGCCTTCCGCCGTGTCGAGGAATTACAGCCTCCCATGTCGGCCTCACGAGCATCCAGCGCCACGTTCCACTCGGCCCTGCCACCCTAGGGGAGGGGGGGGCTCCGGGAATGAAGGAAGAGGGGCCAGGCAAGAGGATGGGTCTGCATCAGTGCATCCGCCATCAGGTGCATGATGGTAATACCGGTTACCAGGATGTTAATGGCTGTCGGCGTGACGGTATCGTTTTGTAGTAATCTGCACTCGGTATTATTACATGTAATATCATATACATGTAGGGGAAGATGAAGATGGTCATGAAATGACGATGGTGATTTGGACAGTGAAGGGGGGGGGGGGGAAAGGTTAAGTAAACGCAGTATTATTATTGCTTATTATTGCTCTACATAATATACGTGTATGCATATAATCTGTACAGATTATACTAATACGAGTAGCATTAATAATAATAATAATAATAATAATACTGTATTCATCTGTAGTAATGAGGAGATTCACGCGTGCTCTGCGCAGGGACATGACAGCTGCCTCGAGAGAGTCAGTAGCAATATTACTATCATCATCACTACTACTAGACTCTTCATTACTCACTAACAAAGGCAGAGTTACAGCGTAATATCGCATCAATCAAAAAATTGAACCCCCTGAAAGACATTTCATAGCTAAAAAGGATCCAAACGACTGTCTGTCTATTCAGGTAGTGCCCCTCGTCGATCTCCTCTAGTGCCCCGCCATTGACGCTCCTCCTCCTCTCCCCCCCCCCCCCCCCCCTTTCCCCTCCAATTCCACCACCAAGGCCTTCTTCTCTACTCTCTCTCCTTCATCTTCTTCTCCCTTCTTTCTCACCGTACTCCTCCCCTCCGAGCCCACCACTTCCTCGTCTTACTCCTCATTCTCCAACCCATATACACCCATCCTACCTTTTGTCCTGTACCCTCCAATCTCCTCCTAGACAGACCGTCACAATGGCTGTTGGAACCGTCCTCGTCACTGGGTAAGCTGCCTGTCTAACCCCTCGTTTTACTACCACACCCCCACCTTTTTTCTTTTTTTGCCTCCATCCCTCTCTTCCCTCTCTCTCTCTTCCGCAGCGTCCTACTCTTCGCAGCAGCAGCAGCAGCAGCAGCAGTCCCCACCACCGCTACCACAATGCTAACTTGACCGTCCAGCGGCACTGGCTACATCGGCTCATTCACCACCCTCACTCTCCTTGAGAACGGATACGATGTCGTCATCGTCGACAACCTGTACAACTCGTCCAAGGTGGCCCTCGACCGCATCGAACTCATCTGCGGTCGTCGCCCCGAATTCTATGAGGTTGACGTGACGGACGAGAAGGGTCTCGATGAGGTCTTCCAGAAGCACCCCGCCATTGACTCTGTCATTCACTTTGCTGCTCTCAAGGTATGGTTCATCCCTAGCAAGACGAAGAAGAAGGATGAGAGAGAGGTGGAGGGAGAAGAAAAGAAGAGAGAACGGAGGAAGCGACGCCGCCGGAAGCAATTGGAAACATGATGGGGAACACCAGACTAACAAAGAAGAAAAAAACTGTCTAGGCCGTTGGTGAGTCTGGCGAGATCCCTCTCGAGTACTACCGCGTCAACGTCGGCGGCAGCATTGCCCTCCTCCGCTCCATGGAGCGCAACAATGTCACCAACATTGTCTTCTCCTCGTCGGCCACCGTCTACGGAGACGCCACCCGCTTCCCCAACATGATACCCATCCCCGAGAACTGCCCCATCGGCGCCACCAACACCTACGGCCGCACCAAGTCCATCATCGAGGACGTCATCAACGACCAGGTCAACGCCCAGCGCACCAAGCTCCAGAAGGCCGGCAAGCCCTTTGACCAGTGGAATGGTGCCCTGCTCCGCTACTTCAACCCCTGCGGTGCCCACCCCTCTGGCATCATGGGCGAGGACCCTCAGGGTGTCCCCTACAACCTCCTGCCCCTACTCGGCAAGGTCGCCACTGGTGACCGTGACAAGCTTCTCGTCTTTGGCGATGGTGAGTTCTGACCCCATCTTCCCCCACATCATGATACCATGAGCTCCAACATCGTCCCCCCCCCCCCTCTTTCACCCAAGCCCTCCTTTCCATCCTCCAACATGCACATACTGACCTCGGACACAACCAGACTACGACTCCCACGACGGTACCGCCATTCGCGACTACATCCACGTCGTCGACCTGGCCAAGGGCCACCTTGCCGCCCTCAAGTTCCTCCGCGAGAACAAGCCCGGTGTCAAGGCCTGGAACCTGGGTTCCGGACGCGGCAGCACCGTCTTCGAGATCATCAAGGCCTTCAGCGCCGTCGTCGGCCGCGACATGCCCTACGAGGTTGTCCCCCGCAGGCAAGGTGACGTGCTCAACCTGACGGCCAACCCGTCCCTGGCCAACGCGGAGCTCAAGTGGAAGGTCGAGCTGTCTATGGAGAAGGCCTGCGAGGACCTGTGGCGTTGGGTAGACAACAACCCCCAGGGCTACCGCCAGGACCCCCCTGCCAGTATTCTCGATGCCCTCAAGAAGTCTTCTTAAAAAGATCCCACGAATAGTCGGGTAGAGGGAAAGGAAGTAGAGGAAGAAGGAATTTTTTTTTTTAAAAAAAAAAGGGAACGGCACCTTGATTTACCCATAATTGTTATTAGAAACGAACGAGTCATGTTTGGATTTTTTTTTTAGGAGAGGGAGGGGGGGGGGGGCTGGTGGGAATCTTTCACCGAGTTAGGAAGTACGCCAAATAAAGTACACCAAAATAAGAGCCCTTGAACCAAGATTCACTAAAAAGTACTATTACTGTGAACGGTTCTTTTGTGTGGATACGTCAGTTGCCAGTCTTGTCATATCTATCGATTGAACGATCAAGAGTCAAGAATCTAGTCACTAGTCTTGAGGAGGAGCTTTCCGGTCGTCTTGCGAGCGGCAATGTCCTCCTGGGCCTGGGCGGCATCCCTGAGAGGGTAGACCTTGTAGATGTTGATGACCAGCTTGCCTGTGGCCACGAGGTCGAGGAGCTCGCTGGTATACTTGACCAGCTCCTCCCTCGTTCTGATATATCCGTTCAGGGCCGGACGCATGAGCTTGACATTCTTATCTGTGAGTCTGGAGATGCTGAGGGGGGGTACAGGGCCAGACTGTTATTTGTCAGTGATGTACCGATCGAGAAATCAGAACGGACCAAAGTCAAGGTCAAATGAGAAGAAGAGCAGAGAGCGGGGAGATGAAATGTGATGAAACGGGGGGGGGGTAGTGAAGAAGGGCAGCATACCGCATTTCCGAAAGAGATGAGAGTTCCCTTGTGGGCAATGATTTCTAGGTCGGCATCAAAGGTATCCTTGCCGACGCCGTCAAAGATGGTGTCGACGCCGTGACCGCCGGTGATACGGGCCACCTCGGCGACGACGTCGGCGTTGCTGTCGACGGTCCACTGGGCGCCATGCTTCCTGGCGAGTTCGAGCTTCTCGTCGGTGCTGGCGGTGCCGATGACCTTGGCGCCCACATGCCTGAGCATCTGGCAGAGGAGGAGGCCGACTCCGCCGGCGGCGGCGGGGACGAGGACCCACTGGCCCGCCTGGACGGCGGCGGCCTCACGCACGAAGGTCCAAGCCGTCAGGCCCTGAAGGAGGACGGCGGCGGCCTTGTCGGTGGACAGGCCGTCGGGGATCTCGACGACGCGGTCGGCCGGGACGACGGTGTACTCGGCGTACGCCTGATGGTGCACGTAGGCCACGCGGGTGCCCGGGGCGGGAGCGCCGTCGGAACCGTCCGACCGCACCACCACGCCTGCCCCCTCGCGACCCAGCGTCAACGGGAAGCTCGGGGACGGGTACAGGCCTGAGCGGATGTAGGTGTCTATGAAGTTGACGCCGCTGTACTCGTTGCGCACGAGGACCTGGCCTGCTGCCGGCGTGGGCACGGGGACGTCACGATACCGAAGGACTTCGACGCCGCCGACCTCGTCTATCTGGACGGCTTTGGCCTGCTTGGGGATGTCGACGGGGGCCATGGTGGTGGTGGCAGTCGTGGCGGTTGTGGAGTAGAGCGATGGTGTCGACAGAGATGCGATCTTGAACGTGGGACGGATGGCGTGGATTGTCCGGAGTGAGAGTCTGGGGATCATTGATTCAGGTGAGTGCGAATATGTGTGTGCGCGCGTTGCATGTGCATACACGTATATGAGTATATATATATATATATGTATATACCTGTATGATATACCTGTATTTTGTATATATCACTCGGTGTATCTGTATACATATAATCCAAGCACAAAGGTATAGAAGAGGTGAGTGATTACAGGCATCTAAGGCGACATCGGTTAACTTGCTTGCTTTCCCCGCTTCCATACGATCTAGGAAAAGTCGATTGACATTCTTTTTGACGGGAATCTGTCGTGCGGAGATGGCAGCCGGTAAAACAATAGAGAATAGGCATGGCGTAATCCTGGGCGTTACTGAGATGACTGACGACATGTCCAACATTTCCGTACTGCTACCACTGTACCACGTAGAATAATGCCTTTTTTTCTTCTATATCATTTCCAGTGTTTGGTCAATATACATAGGTATGAGGAGGGGTCGAGGCTGAATAATGTATCTGTTCTTACCAAGCATCGTCATTGTATTTGTCAGGAACCAAAAAAGAGCAGAGATAAGGAAGAAGCCGAGTATTATTTGAAACTCAATCGGAGCTAGGGTTTTAATTAAAATGCCATAAAAAACTAAGAAAGTACTAGCTACTATAGATTCATGAGAAAGTTATTAGAGGCTATAGTTACTAAAGCTGTAAAGAGCTACGTTGCTGTCATGGTGCGTAGCGTTAGGTAATACTTCAGACTCGGCTATAAAAGTGTCTAGTCCGACAAGACCAGTAAAAGATGAAGGGCTTGGCACCTAACCCACCTTTAAAGTGAATTGACTGTGGCTTGAGCGTCGGTAACCCGTCTTGACACCCAACCCACCATATTGCTTCATCTGCCTTTACTGATCGCTAGCCTGGATCTATCCTCGTGGTCTCGCTTGTGTCCCGCCTCGACACCGTTCCTGTCAGATGCCAACATTCTCTACGGCTTGACTGGCTACCCGGGGAAGAATCATGACAAGAGAAAAAAAAAAAAGAAAAAAAAGCTTCGCCGTACGCAATGTCCCAGTCATAGAGTGCAACTCGCAACACTCCCTTTCTCTTCCTTTTACAGTAGTAGCAATGATAGCGATGACGAAAACAGTCGATAACAATGACGATAGTAATAACAGTAACGACGATGCCTGCGGTAGCAATCGAGCCGGATCTGATGCGGAATCACGCTGACTTGCTTTTTCTCTAATGCTCGATGGTATATTATTCATCAAAGAGAGAGATGAATCACATATGCAGATTAAGTGGCTTTTGCAATTGATGCTAGGGTTCTCATATCAAAGATGGCCACCTAAAACTTTTTTTTTTTTCTAAAAAAAAAAAAAAAAGACTCTACAATACATTGAAAAAGGGAATGAGCAGGAAGGAACGACTGTCAGTCGCAGCTTCCGATAGTATCTAGGAACGATTGAGTCTCATTGGGTGACAGAAGGGAGGTACATTCACTAATAAATATCTGACTCAGAATGAGCTCATGACATGTTTCATAGAGGGAAGAGAGTATTGGAGAGGAGCATTCCTCAACCTCTTGGTAATGTTCAGTGACTTGCCAGGAACCAGGAACCCTCCTTGTCACAATCATAGGGATCAACCAGGTCACTCACTCACTAGTGGTCATCTAATAATAGAAACTTCCCCGTAGTTTCATCCGAGTTGCTACACATCACTCATATTACTAGTCGTAACGACAACACCTGCTAACACTATGACTGCTGTAATCTGTACTGATCATTACTACTAATAATAATAATGAACACTGCCCAGTCGTAAAGCTCGTACGAGTTGGTACTTCTACCCGCCCCTACGTGAATCAAGCGAAACATATCCAAGGTCGCGCATGCGTGGCGGTGCAGGGCGACATGGAGAAAACTACCTGCAGCCATCAGGGGATTTTTTCTCTCTCGAGGATCAGATGGATCGTCCCATGAGTTGAGAACATGGACTGGAAAAAAAAAATGTGGCCCGCTCTCCCCAAAGGCCATGCATGGATGTATTGATTCCCACCTATCCGCGGGTGCTGTTCTTCTGTCGGTGAGGTATTGTTGATTGTTTCCTTATGTTTTCCTGTCTGACATGGTTTTTTTTTTCTTTACCTGTATTACTACGAATAATACTGTGCAGATTACATGTACATATGTTTGTGCAGTCCCCACACTGTGCTTCTGCTAAGCTTTGGCGGCATATTATTATTCAATAGAGGAGACAAGAGATGGGTGTATTTCGAGGCTGCTCGTAAATCATCTGATGAATCGTTCGTTTTCCTCTCTCTTTTTCAGTAATAGAAAATAATATCACTTAGCTCCTTCTTCATCATCCCTGTCAATTTACTCCGCACCTGTCTCCTCAAAAGAAAAAAAGAAAGAAAGAAGCCTAAAACCAGCCGCATGCTCTCCATCCAGTGGCAGTGTCCGGCTTTGCACAGCCTCACGCACATCTCCCTAGCCGTACAGTATCTTTCTCTCTCAGAGAGACACTGTGCGCTGTCTCTCATACAAGTCTCACATCTCTTCTCTTGTCCAATTCCGCCCAAATCGATTGACAATTTCCTAATCTCTATTTATTCAATAATACCACATAGAGAAGAGTCCGGGCTGGGAGGTACTCCCTTATATTAACAGGTTGAGTTCTGAGGTGAAGGCTCAATACCCAAGACACAAGACATCAAGGATCGTTCGTGACTGCCTGCCTCTCTCATCACATCACACTCATCTGGGTATTATTATGACCTCACTTCCATCGTCATCACCACCGACCGCATCGTACCATCCTACCGGCATCAACACCAGGGGAGATTCCCCGCACACGCACACGCAATGGCTCAGCAACGGGCCCCCAACCCCCGCCAACGGAGAATCATCCAGCTCTCCCAGAAATGGGGCGTCACCTTACCCCCGGCCGCGTCCCGTCTTGAGAGGCCCTCTCACCCTCCCTCGTACCGCACCCCGACGGACGATGAGACCGCCGAGGGTCTCCTCCAGCGCCATGCCGTTGATGTCGCGCAGGTGAACCGCCGCCGCAGCGGCCTCTCGCGAGCCTTCTCGACGAACAACCTCAAGAAGGGCAAGAATTGGGACCCCCACCACGTACTCGAGGTCCTGACCACGTACATTGCCCACTCGCACTCGGGGACGGCCGGCGTGGTGGAGGCCCTGATCGCCCAGCTCGAGGCGTCGGGCGCCGACCTGGGCGCCATGCATATCCAGAAGTCGGGCATGCTGAGCAGGCGGAAGAGCCTCGAGGGCGTCGTCGACCGTACAAAGATGCTCACCACGGCCGTGCAGAACAACCAGCTCGAGATGGTACACGTCCTCCTCCCGCACGCCGACCCGCTCTCCCTCGACGCAGCTCTCCCTCTGGCCATCAGGCAGGGCAACACCCCCATCGCCGAGCTCCTCGTCAGGTACGGCGCCAACATGTCGCAGACGGCAGAGGGCCAGGACGCCTTCCGTCGGGCTTGCAGCGTCCCCGTCCTGTCCGACATGATCGGCGTGCTCGTGCAGTCCGAGGGCCGCCCGTCCGACACCTTGGCATCGCAGTCGATGGTCGACGCTGCTCGCGTAGGCGCGCTCGATACCGTTCTCCAGCTGAGCCGCACCGTGGCCGACGGCGACTACAACCACGCCGAGGCACTGCGTGTTGCCGTGGCCCAGGGCCGTGGAGACGTTGCCGTCGCCATCGTCATGGGCAACAGGCCGCCCAAGAACCCCGGTGTCAGCCAGGCTTTCGCCATGGTGAGCCACAGCCAGACTACGACGCCCTCCACGAAACTCCAGATCGCAGAGCTGCTGCTCTGCGCGGGCGCCCAAGGTGACGTCCTCTCCCAGGCCCTCCAGAAGGCATGCGACTCGCACTTTTACGAGATGGCTAGCCTGTTGGCTGCCTACGGCGTGTCGATAGAGTATGACGGCGCATCCGTCCTCAGGACGGCCATCATGCAGGGCCAGCTCGACCTCGTCTCGTCTCTGCTGAATGACTCCTCCACACTCAGTCCCGAGCTTGCTTCGGGCTGTGTCGGCGCCATCCCTCCGCAGATCAGCAACCCCGACAGACACCTCCTTCTCAGCCTCTTGCTCAAGAAGGGCGCAAAGGGCGCCCCGCTCGACGAGATGCTCGTCGTCGCCGCCCAGAATAACGACGTGGCATCCGTCGAGCTCCTGGTGAGCCCCTACTTTCCCGAAACCGGGAGGGGGACGGGCCACAGCCAGGTCGGTCGGAGACATGAAGTGGCTTCCCCCGATTACAAGAGCGGCGAGGCACTGCGTACAGCCGTGTTGCGCGCCGACACCGACATGGCCGGCTTGATTCTCTCGGCCCAGCCGTCCCCCGAGACGCTCTCAGCCGTCTTCCCCCTGACAAAGAATCTCCCGACCGGCGAACGCTCCCAGATCATACGACTGTTCCTCAACGGCGCCCTATCCGGGCCTCCACTCCATGCTGCGCTGCAGGACGCCCTCGCCGAGGACCCATCCACCCGGGACGACAGCCTCGTCAAACTGCTGTTGGAGCACGACGCCGATATCAACTACAAGAACGGGCCCGGACTGCACGCGATCATCATGCAGGGCGACATCCGCCTTATGGAGCGCCTGATGCAGCGAGCCTCCCCCCAGACTGCCGCGGCGCGTATCCCGGGCATCATGAAGATATCGGACCACCGCACGCGCCACGACATGATGGCCCTGATGTTCCGGTCCGGGGCGGCCATCGGCGTCGAAGAAGTCTGCTCGGCCCTCGTCGACACCCTGCGCGAAAAGCCGGTAGACATGTCACTCCTCAGACTACTCCTCCAACGGGGGAATGCCGACATAAACAACCCCAAGTACCCCGCGACACCCTACGCCGTAGCCAACCCCGACCCTGAGGTACTCGAGTTGGTCCTCACATTTGGCAAGCCGGCTCCCGAGACCATCAGCAAATCCCTCGCCGAGATCGCGGCCCTGCCGCCTACCGACGGCAAGACCAGGAAGTTCAAGGTGACGCTGGGTAAGGCCCGGCGCAAAGAAGACCTGGGCGGCCTGCTGGCCTCGGAGGTGCGGTCCATTGTACAGAACAGCGCCCGGCAACCCGCGACGCTACTATCACTGCAGCTCCTCCTCGAGAGGGGCGCCGACCCGAACGACTACCAGGGCGCGGCGCTGTGCCACGCCGTCGCGGCAGCCAACGCTCCCGTCTTCGACATCCTGCTCGAGTGCCCGCGCCCCCCGACGGCCGAGTCGCTGGGCGCCGCGCTGCCCCACGCCCTCAAGATCACCGACAGCATGGACCGCATGTCCTTCACCAAGAAGCTCATCGACGCCGGTGCGTCCCCCCAGGAGGTCAATAGGGGGCTCGTGCACTCCATAGCCAACTTCACCGACGACATCTTCCTCATCGACACCCTGGCCAGCGCAGCCGACATGTCGGACGGGGAGGCCCTCGTGCTCGCCACGTCCAAGGCCTCCCCGCCCGCCGTGGACAAACTCCTGTCCCAGACCGAGAAGCACACACCCGAGGCCAAGGATACGGCCCTCCAGAAGGCCATGAGCGTGCGCGACCGCGCCGTCCGCCGCAGGCTGTGCCAGAGCCTCCTGGTGGACGGGGTGTCCCCGCACGTGGCGTCTAGCGCGCTCCTGGTCGCCGCACGGGATGGCGACCTCGAGTTGGGAGACATCCTCATGCTCCACGGGGCGAACATCGCCTCCAACGGTGGGCAGGCCATCATCGAGGCCTGCCGCGGCGGGTCAGCTGAGGTCCTGGAGGTGCTCCTGCGCAGCGAGAAGCATCATCCCGACAAGGGCACTCTAGAGCGTGGGTTCCAGGCCGCTACCGAGGTGGGCGATCTGAGTCGGAGGGCTGTCATCTTTGAAAAGCTGCTGGACAGGGGCGTGTCCGGCGAGGCTGTCGACGTCCAGCTCGTCTCCTCCGCCAGGTACGGGGAGCAGGGCCAGGACGCACTCAGGGTTCTCCTGGCGGCCGGGGCGGATCCGAACTACAACGGGGGTGAGGCTGTCGTTGCAGCCACGAGGAGTGCCTTCATCGGGAACCTGGAGGCGCTGCTGGGGTTGTGGGATGCAGAGGGGAGACAGGTATGCGTTCCAGCCCCTTTGGGGGTTCCGATGGCAGATACACTATTTACTCACAATACGTCGTCCGCAGCGAAAACCATCCCACCCAACACTGGTCAAGGCACTCAAGTCCTCGTGGAACCTGAGCCGCGACACACGCCTCCAAGTCGTCAGCAGCCTGTTCAAGGCTGGGCTGCAACCAGCCGACGACGTGCACATCGCCCTCAACTGGGCCGTCAACGAGGAAGACCCGGACGAGAGGCTGGTCAAGCTGCTCCTCGACTGCGGCGCCTCACCAACAGCGAACGACTGCAAGACTGTCGTTGATGCGGTGAAGAACTCGCTCGCCTCGCCTGCATCCAACGCCACGCTTAGCCTGGTCATCAACGGCAATCTCCCCCAGGAGGCCGTCGACAAGGCCTTTGTGCGGTGCTTCACGGCCGACAACTTCCACGATTGGTACTGCGAGTCCGGCATGAGTGCCATGGAACTCCTACTTGGCAAGGGAGCCGGGGGGGGGGCCCTGAGCGAGCTCCTCGTCCTGGTCATGAAGGCGCCCAACGACACGGATGAGACGCATGGCCTGGCAAAGGACTTCTTCGACATCATCGTCGCCCACGGACCCGACGTGAACCACAACAGCGGCGAAGCCCTACAGCTGGCAGCCTCTCAGGCCAACACGGACTGGACGGCCAGGCTTCTCGCCTGCCGCCCCTCGACCGAGTCCCTCTCCTACGCGTTCCAGCACATCTTCGACACTCGGCTCGACCAGACCGACGCGCTGCAGCTTTTCGAGATGTTCTCCGCGTACCGCGACGGCGAGACGGCTATCGACGTCATGGCCCAGCAGCCCGGGACCCAACCGGTGCTCGTCCGCGCCATGGCGCAGTATCCCCGGTCCACCAAGATCCTGCAGACGCTGCTCGATGCAGGCTTCTACCATGACCAGATCACCTTCTACAGTCTGCACGACGAAGAGGAGGAGATGACGCTTCTGACGTGGGCTGTTGCGCAGCCGCAGAAGAAGATAAGCTCGTCTCTCATCGAGCTGCTTCTTGCTCGAGGTGGTATGCTGAATCTCCCTGTTCTCTCTCAGAAGCAAAACCCCCTTTCGTGATGATACCTGCTGACGTGAGAACAGCCAAGGTCAACGTCGCTTCGCGTCTCTCCGAGACAACGCCGTTGATGCTTGCCGTGCAGAACCGTCGGCCGGACGTGGTCAAGATGATGCTCCTCGAGGGTGCGGATGTCGACGTAGCCGACTGCCTGGGCCGCTCCCCGCTGTCGATGGCCACCGACATAGGCGGCGACCTGGCCATCGAGATGATGGGGTATCTCCTGGCGGCAGAGCCCTCCAGGGACGACGGCTCGCTCCACAACGCGGCACGGGAACTGAACCTCGCGGCCGTCAAGATCCTCATGCAGGCAGGCCATGACCCGGACTTCCCCAGCCCGTGCCACGACGGACGCAGCGCCCTGGGGGAAGTGTGCCTCAAGGGATCGGCGTCGTACGGCGACCTGACTGCGGACCGCGAAAGGGCGATGCAGAAGGTAGTCGGGTACCTGGTGGACCAGGGGTCCGACCTGACCATCAAGTTCTCGGGCGGCAAGTCGCTCGTGCACCTCTCGCTGCAGTCTCCCGACGCGGTAGCGACGACGCGCGTCCTCCTCAAGGCGGGCATGTGGAAGCACATCAACGACCCGTTCAACCGATACGACGACGGGACGAACACGTACTCGCCGACCATGTACGTCAAGAAGCTGTACCGGGGCGACGGCAACAGGGAGGAGCTCCTGCAGCTGCTGTACGCCAACCGGGCGACCGACGTCTTCTACGCCAACGAGGGTCGCCAGCCCGCCGACGCCGTGGGCATGCCGCAGGACATTCAGGCGGCGGAGCGCGCGCGCAGGATGCGCGAGGAGCGCCTGGCCGAGGAGTCGGAGGACTTTGCGCTGGCGATGGCGCGCAAGCGCGAGCAGGCGAGCGTGGAGAATCAGCTGGCCTCGCAACGGGCCGAGCTGGAGGACGCCCGCCGCCGCAAGTGGCAGGCAGACGACCTCTCGGCGATCCGGTCGCGCGCCCAGCTCCAGGAGTCTCTCGAGATGGGCGCGCACAACCGCCGCGTGTCGGAGCAGCGCGCGCTGACCGAGTCGGCCGTCGCGCGCGCCCGCGCCGTGTCCGCTGCCGAGATCGACCACAGGCGCAAGATGATTGACTGGGATGCCAGGGCGGGCAGGGAGCGCGTCGACAACGAGCGCGCCCTCGGCGCCGTGCGCGTCGAGGAGAGGACCGAGCTCGACAGGCTCGAGAGGGCCGCCGACGAGCGCCTGGCCAGACGCCTAGACGCCCAGAACAAGGTCATCGAGAGTCAGGAGAGGCTGGCGAGGAGTATCGCTCCTGGTCCCGTGGGGGCTAATCAGCGGAGACAGATTGGTTATGTGTCTGAGGAGCTTAACTGATTTCTCTCTCTCTCGCTGTCCCCTTTCCTCTCTTACTTGCTTTTCTTCTTGAGTAGCATTTCTACCTGTTATTTGGCGTCGGATAATGAATAATGAATGTCTATTTCTCTTACATATATATATTGCAACAGTCACTCTTCTTCCATCGCTGTACCCTTTTAATGTTGTGAAATAAGAGCCCCCAAGTTTGATATAGATAGTGATAAAACATATATGAAGCACTCCCTTCATAATGAGCCCTTCTCCAAGCACAAGCAGTAATAACAAAACGAGACCCCATCAACACCGAATGATCCTTTCCCATCGCACTTGTCCTCTGACCGTCTAGAGTACATGGTGATGGTGATATGAAGAAGAACAGAAGGAAGAAAAGCAGAGAGAGGAAGAAAGAGAGAAAGAAAGATAGTTACAATGGTCGGAGAGATATGATGAGAATGGTGGTGAATAGATGCGTATAAATAAGCAGACAAAGAAGCAGATGGGAAATATAAAGAGGAGGCGATGAGAAAGAAACTGAAGAAGAAAGGAAGAGGAAAAGAAAGAGGATAGCTGGAAATCACTCCTTCCTAGTCATGGTGATGCTATCCGCTCCCGTCTCGACGACGCGATACCCATCAGCATCGCCTTGACCACTGGCGGCCCGCTCATACGCCTTGTCTGACCGATCGCAGATGACGGCCAGATCCTCCTCGCTGAGGATGCCATCCCCTCCGGAGGAGTGGTAGACCTGGCCGTCCTTGAGGAGCAGGGAACGCAGGGTGTCCTCGTCGAGGTTGCCGCGGAGGTCTGCCATCTTCTGGCCCATGGTGGAGAAGGTGCCCTTCTGGATGACGAGCTTCTCGAGGCGGCGCTTGGCGTCGGCCGAGCTGAGCAGGGCGTCCTCGACGGTGTCGCGCGTGGCGAGGCGGTACACGATGACTGGGCGGGTCTGGCCTATTCGGTGGCACCGGTCCTGGGCCTGCAGGTCCTGCTGGGGGTTGAAGTCGGAGTCGAAGAGGATGACGGTGTCGGCCGAGGCGAGGTTGATGCCCTGGCCGCCGGCGCGGGTCGACAGAAGGAATACGCGGTGCGAGGGGTCCGTGTTGAAGTCGCTGATCTGCGCGCGACGGCTGTCCTGCGGCACTGACCCGTCTATCCGGCACGTCTTCCACCCGCGGAGCGTCACGCAGTACTCCTCCAGCAGGTCGAGCTGCGTCGTGAACTGGGAGAAGATGAGCACCTTGTGGTCCGCCGCGAAGAGCGCAGGCAGCAGCCGGTCTAGCATGAGCATCTTGCCCGACGCCGTCACGATCGTCTCGTCCACCGCCAGGTCCGGGTCCAGAGCCCAAGGGTTGTAAAAGTTGTGCGGGCTGTTGCACACCAGCCGGAGCTGCGCCAGTGGGTTACCCAGCTTCTTGCGGCCGATTTGTTTCTCTGAGGGAAAAGGGGGGGGGTGTCAGTTGCAGCTTTTCTTGCTTTTTCTCTCTCAAGTTGGAAAAGATAGGAATTTGATGGATCACTTACTGGCTAGTTCGAGGACGCTGGCTCTCTTTGCCTCCTCAGGGGATAATTGAGCCTCTGCAGACTTCTTGTCGTTGTCTGAATCGTCATGGGCCAGTTCGTCTGCAAGCCTGGCCTCGAACTCGTCATCCGACATCCTTTCCTCGTCTGAGTCGGCCTCCTTGTACGTCCGCGAGTGGCGTGCTCGGCCGTTACGGGTGCTTCCGGGGGTAGAATGCCGGCTTGACCGAGCGCTCTTGTTGTCGCTTTGGACGGTGGTGCGACCATTCTTTCGTTTATTGCCGTTCGTGGCGGATGTGTCCGTCTTGACGGGAGCAGGAGCGGGAGCCTTCTTGGCGAGTATTGCCTTGTCCCTGTTGCCATTCGCGCCACGCTTGCCCATGAGGAGGCTGAAGGCGTTCTTAACAGGTGCCTTTGATGTCTCTTCCTTCAGAGTGCGCTTCACAACCTTGGGAGTCAGGCGGACGGGCAGGTCGTCGAACTGCGACGATAGGGCGGTAGATCCTGACGGCTTCTGAGGGGTTGATCGGCGAGGGGTTGTCGCTGCTGCGCTCGTAATCTTATCAGCCACCTGGTTCTCGAGAAATGCCCTCGTGTCGATCTTCTTGTCGCTGATGACATTGTACAGATCTGTCTGCTCCTTAGTCATGGGAGCAAAGAGGACGTATTCCCTCTTCCTAGGGAGATAAGCGGCGACGTCTTGCTTGACACGGCGCAGGAGCAGCGGCTGCAGGATAAGGTGGATTTTCTTGACAATATCGTGCTTCATCTGGTCACCGATGAACTGCTCGGTGCCCTTTTCGTCCTCGAGGTCGGAGAAGTCGAACCATGATTCGAAGGCCTCCCAGTTGGTGAAGATGGTGGGCAGCAGGAAGTGCAGAAGGGACCAGAGTTCCTTCAGATTGTTCTGCAGTGGTGTTCCGGTGATCAGAAGCCTTGTGGCCGATGAGAACTGTCGGAGCTGCTGGAACAGCTTTGCCTCGGCATTCTTCATGCGGTGACCCTCGTCCTGATGGCACAGTCAGTCGAGTGCAGAACAAGGAGACGTCTGGGGGGAAGAGGCTGCCTCACGATGATGATGAATTCCCAATTGATCTTGGACAGGCTGGCCTGTTCCCTGAGGACCATCTCATACGAGGTACAGACGACGGGGAACTGCTCTGTGGGACGGCCATTCTTCAGGTTCCTCTGCATTTTGGTGGAGAAGATCTGCTCGCGCTCCTCCTTCGTCCCGTGGAACATGACGACGGGGATGGAGGGGACCCATTTGTGGAACTCATCCATCCAGTTGGACAAGGTGCTGAGAGGAGCGACGATGAGGTGAGGCCCTAGGTAGTCCTCCTGCTCGCGCAGCAGAGCTATGAGGGAGATTGTCTGGACCGTCTTTCCCAGGCCCATCTCGTCTGCCAGGATGCCGCTCATGCCCTGGGAGCAGATCTCGAACATCCAGGTCAGGCCCTCGAGCTGGTAGTCGCGCATGGTGCCGCCCACCATGCACTTTGGCTGCTTGGCCATCTCCAGGTTATGCTCACCCAGCGTCTTACCGTCTAGGCTGCTTCCCACGCGGCCCAGCACCTGCGTCTTCTTGGTGAGGATGTCACTGAAGGCGGCGCTCTTCATGAGAAGCTCGTCCAACTCGCGTGCCTTGCCCTCCCTCTCGGCCTTGGTCTCGACTGCGGTCTTTGCTTTCTTGCGGCCAGGGCCACCCTTGCGCTTCTTCGCCTGGGCCTGCCGGCGTTTCTGCTCGGCCTCATCATTGGCTCGCTTGGCCTCTTCTTCCTCTTTCACCAGCTCTTCATCGGTAAATCCGGCTTCATCGCTGTCCTCCATTCGATCGAGTGAAGAGCTGACCTTTGACGACAGCGTGCCGGTGGCGATGCGGGATGACGATGGCATGATACTCGTTCCAGAGAGAGAAGAATGGATAAAGAAAAAACCAGGCACAGAATCAGCAGGGATAGCCCAAGAAGGGCCGATCTAGAACTGAGCGAGTACCCGGTCACAGGAAGATCTGGTCCTCAATCTTCACAGTAGAAAGGTTATGAGAAAGAAGGTGGCAAAGAGAGGAGGGAGCCGGAATATAGAGAGACGGTGAACTCGGTATTAAGGGAGGTAGAGAGAGAGTCAATAGGATCGTTTAATTGGTATTGTCGCTTCCCTAGCAAAAGATCAGATTGAATGAATGAAATGAATGCATGATGCATGCATGTGACCTAGAGAGCGCGAAGGAGCGCGTCACCACGCGTAAATTGAATTTTTCGGGGGAATCGTTAGTGTTTACCATAGTATTTCCATGGCATTGCCTAACACTACTATCGACGCGAAAGAGGAGCGCTGTCACGACCAAGTCAAGCGGCATACCCTATATTAGAGCCCGTGCGCTTCCAGTGGGCGACAACACACGATGGCCCGTAGACGCAAATACGGTGGCCTCTGCCTACGTATACGGTCTAGGCTGATAGGTGTGTGTCTAGTTGATTGCTTGTCAAGATCTCCAACACTCATCATCTACGATCAGGAAGACAAGCAATACTCGTAATACTCGTAGATACCATCATATGATTTAACATGTCGTCTAACGTCTTGGCTGACTAAGAACGAATTACAGCACCAAGCCATCAAGACAGAAGAACCCCACCATCGATAACTTTTCACCCCGCCTCTTCACCCCGAGCTCTTACTCAACCTGTTCTCCATTCAAACAGACTATTGATACCTGAAAGTAATTTCATAAAGAGTCCCAACAGTTTTCCCTCGAAATTAATTTTTCGCAGGAGAACCAGTTTCGACTCTCTTTGCTTCTTCCTCGAAACTGCATTCCCTCCGGACCCTCGCCCCCCGGCGCCTGACCCCTCTCCTCCGCAGAGTCTCTTCGTCCTCGTCCATCATCACCATGGCCGCCTTCACCTCCCAGACCTACACCCCGACCGAGGAGACCGAGATCCAGCAGTGGCTGACGACGGCGGAGCGCCTCAAAGCCGCCGACAAGGACGCCCGCAGCCCTATCCTCGACGCCCTCAACGCCCACTTGTCCAGCCGCGCCACCCTGCTCGGGACCAAGCCCAGCACCGCCGACGTGGCCGTCTACGAGACGCTCGCTCCCCTGGTGGCTACCTGGACACCTGAGGAGCGCTCCGGAGAGGCCGGCCACCCCCACATCGTCCGCCACATCGACTTCGTCCAGAACTCCCCCCGCTTTGGACTGGCCGTTGCCGACGCCGACAAGGTCTCCGTCGACCACGATGACGTTCGTCATGTCAAGAAGCCCGTCGACGCCAAGGCCGAGAAGGAACGTCTGAAGAAGGAGAAGGCCGCCGCCGCTACTGCTGCTGCTGGCGCCACCTCTGCTGGTGCCGCTGCCGCTGCCACCAAGGAGCTTCCCGACCGTACCGCCGCCCCCAAGAAGGAGGGCGCTGCCGCCGAGGGCGGAAAGAAGAAGGAGAAGAAGGAGAAGGCGCCCAAGCAACAGAAGCAGGCTCCCGCCCCCGCCCCGCTGTCCCCCTCCCTCATCGACCTCCGCGTCGGCCACATCCTCAAGGCCGTCAACCACCCCGACGCCGACTCCCTGTACGTGTCCACCATCGCCATGGGCGACAAGGCCGGCGACGACACGACCGAGTACGAGGGCCAGGTCTGCCGCACCGTGTGCTCCGGCCTCAATGGCCTCGTACCCCTCGAGGAGATGCAGGGCCGCAAGGTGGTCGTCGTCTGTAACCTCAAGCCCGTCAAGATGCGCGGCATCAAGTCGTCCGCCATGGTCCTCGCCGCCTCCCCCCGCCTCAAGGAGGGAGAGGCCGACGACCACAAGGGCCCCGTCGAGCTCGTCACCCCGCCCGAGGGCGCCGTCGCCGGCGAAAAGGTCTTCTTTGAGGGCTGGAACGGCGACGCCGAGGGCCAGCTCAACCCTAAGAAGAAGGTCTGGGAGACCATCCAGCCCGGCTTCACCACCACAGACGACCTCGAGGTCGCCTTTGACGCTGCCGTCGTCGAGCAGCTCGGCAAGTCTGGCCTCGGCAAGCTCGTCACCCAGTCTGGCGGTGCCTGCACCGTCAAGACTCTCAAGGGCGCCGTGGTCAGGTAAAAAATCATTGTACATTTCTGGTGCTTCATCACCATCTTTGCTAGACAATGCTAGATTCAATATCCCCCCCCCCAAAAAAAAAAAAAATCCAGGTACAAAACCATTAGTCTTCGCTACACAAGTCTTCGGTAGGCGTGCGTAATATTTGCGATTATTTGTAGACATCATACAACTTTATCTTTACTCGTTTCTTCTTCCTTTCTTTATATCCCCTCTTTTATACTCCCCCAAAAGCAAAATGCCCTTTCGCTGTGTGCTTGTCGTAGTACATCTATAAATACATCAAACCGAAACCAAGAATCAACAAGTTTTTAATATACAACGCCCATGAAAATGCGGATAGAAAAGAAGAAAATGAAAGAAAAGAAAAACACCTGTGAGTTCTGAAATGCCGCGCCAGAATGCAGTGGCGATGATGCAAATGGCGCGAATCAAGAGAAGAAGTATTTGCTCTCTCTCAGCCTCGTGACGTCAAAGTCGCCCTGGTGGTGGATTGTTAGCAGGGTATTCATATCAAGTTGGGACAGACGGGATGATAAGACAAGATTGAAGATACCTTCTTGGGAACCTCGGGAAAAGTCAGGGGAAGCCAAACAGGCACAGTAGGTCGGTTAGACTTGGCCGCAGCGGGCTTAGAAGCAGGCTGAGCATCCAGGTCATCCTCGTCATCCATGGCGGGGGAGGACATGGTAGCGGCAGCGGCATCGTCCTTGATATCCGGCACAGCACCAAGTTCAATCTCCCTGACATCCTCGAGGATACCGACGTCCTCCTCTGTGGCAGCCATGTCCTCGTACACCGATGCGGGCGTGACAATCTGCTTGGCGGCCTCGAGATCCCAAGGGTTACCGGACAGACGTAGCGTGTTACGCTTGTGCTCGAGTAGTAGCTCCTCCTTGGGCGAGAGGTTGCTCTTCGCGCGAAGCTCCTTGATCTTGCGAGCGACGGCGCTGTCCGGGTCGATGTTGGCGAGGTAGAGGGAGCCGTGGTGGCGCGTCTTGAGCTCGGCGGCTAGGCGGCCGACAACGTCGTCCTCGTGGATCTTGATGAAGGCGTCGCGCAGCACGCCATTCATGACGTCCACGTCGGCCGCGTGCGTCCAGAACGAGTCGTGCACGGCCGCGAAGCTTAGCCCCAGCTCATGGCACTTGAGCGCCGAGAGGAGCATGTGGCTCGCGTCGAGGGAGTGGATGAAATTGGGTGGGAATCCTTGCAGCTGTTTCTTGCGGTTCACAGGATCGGTCTGGTCGGTCGTCGGGTACATGACGGCCTGGAGACACGTGCGGATCTCCTTCATCGTGCCCTTGCGGTACGGCTGCACCACCGGCATTCGCAGCGGCGTCGTCCACACCACCGTCGATCGGAAGTTCTTAGCCAGCTCGTCAAGTCCGGCCTTGACGGCCTTGCTGCGAACCGCCGCACCCGCCTTCTTCGTCCTCTTGCCCTTTCCCTTGGACGCACTCGCCGCGATGGGCTCCGCTGCCCGGAATTCCTCGGCGATGTGATCCAGCTGCGCAGGCGTCAGAGCGCGGCAGATGCGTCCGCCTGCTTCGCCAAGCCAGTACTGGATGTCGTGCGCACCCCTGAACATGGTCGCCAGAGCCATGAAGATGTGTCGAGCGACGTAGGACGCGAGGACTATGTTCTTGGTGTCATTGTCCCGGCCGATGGTCGGGTACAGAGCGTCAATCTGCTTGCACACCTGCTTCCTGGCTCCGGCAAACGTCACGCCGTATACGTTGGTCATGACCGTCTGCTTAACCACCTTACGAGTGATCTTGCCTTGCATGATCTTGGCCAGTGGGTTGTTGTTGGCCGCGTCTTCGGCAATCGTCTCCTTGACCAGCTGCGCGACGGCAGAGTACACATCGGCAGGTTTGTCTCCGGGTTCCAGGTTGACCTGCTTGGCACCCCAGCTGTCACCACCTAGGGCCGCGTAGTGCTGGAGGCCGTTGCACGTGCCATCCTGCTGCACAGGCAGATGTGACACATACTTGGTCGGGTCTGGGAGGTCAAAGGCAGCCTTGAGCTCGAAGCATGTAGCAAGGCATTGCCACGGCTCCTCGGCCTTGAGCCACCACTTGTTGCCGCCCAGCGGGTTCGTGGCAGAGTCGACGATGTTGGCGACGTTCTCCATGGCAAAGGCCTCACGGTCGTCGAAGCTAGCCTTGTCAAGACCGAACACATTGGCCAGGTGAATCTTGAGCCAGCGCAGACCCCTGGCGCCGAGCTCTTTGCCGGACGAGAAGCTTAGAAGTCCGCGCGTGTGGTCGGCACCCATGTGATTGAGGTAGGTAGGAATGGGATACGCGCGGCCGCGATAGTCGACGTTGTGAGGGAAGTATAGTGTCTGGTTCCGGAACGCGCGGGCAATCTCGAGCTGCAAGTTCATGAAACAGCGCTGCGAGTGGAGTCCAGCCCGGTTGTTCTCGATGACTCTCACGGCAGCCACCCACTGACGATGAAGGTCTGGGTGCTCCGTTGCGTCTGGCTCGGTGGGGATCTCGAAGTTAGGGTTCAGAGGAGGCATGTTAGCAATCTCGACGCCGTTATTCCAAGCCTCCATCATGACGGTGAGCACGTTGTTGTTTACGCGCCAGGCCGTCTTGCCGAGCACGTCGAGGCCTTTGAAGACGGTGTCGAAGTCTCCGCAGCGGATGGCTGCCTTGGTGTAGAGCTTCTGCTCAACATCGCCAGGCTGCACGCGGATAACGCTCGACTTGCTCTCGAGGAAACCGCCCTCGGTCAACGTTTTCCACGGCTTCGGCTCCACAATCATAGGAAGGTGCTTGGCTAAGTAGTCACCCATGGGCTCTTTCTTGAGATGCTCGACTAGGTGAGAGTTCAGGATCAGGACGCCTGTCTTCTTGCCCTTGCGGATCTGCTGCGTGTGCGTAAAAGCTGGCTGGTACTGGCTGACCCTTTCCTGAGTCATGGGGTCAACCGCGACAACCCTCATCTTAGCATTCTCGATCAAGACCTTGGCCAGGATAGAGCCGACCTGCGTCCTTGCCTGCAGCGACCAGCCCTTGTTCTCATTGCGTGCCTCTTTGTCCTTGGACGTGTCCGTCCCCCCCTCAGTTTCCAGAATTAGAGGTGTGGCAGAAGTTTCCGACGGTGTCGGCTCAGCCGCTCCCGTGTACTGGACTTTTCGTTTCTTCCTGAATTGTTCTTTCATCTGAATCTCGATGTCCTCCTCGGCGTTTTTCGAAATATTCAATATAAGCTTGCTCACGGGGACACCCTTGTCTGCGCCGGTCATGGCACCGATGTTGAGGGCCGTGAGGATGGTCACAGCAGCAAGGCGTGCTGGATCGGCCTGCCGGATGAGGGGGCCGTAGAAGCAGCGCTCCAGATCAGCATCCGACTTGCCAGTCTTCTGCTCCGACGCCTCGATGAGCTTGAACTCATCTTTGAGGCGGTTCTCCATCGAAGTCAACCATGCAGCCATGTGGCTGGGGAGTGAGTTCTCGCCAAAACCGCCACCGGTGATGGCCGAGTTGATTCCACGCTGCTGCCTGTTCTTGTTCTCCAATCGCCACCTCGAAATCGCGGAGCCGATGGAGTCTCGTTCCAGCTGAATCTGAATATCCCGCTGGTCCTGCAACGGGAGCTTCGACACGTCGACGTCCTGAATGTCCCGTAGGAACTCAAGACCCTTGCGCAGCGACTTGAGACCCTCGCCACGCTGGGGGGTGGGGATGAGCTCGGGGCCCAAGCTTGATGTTCCCTTGCCAGGCTCGATGCGGGAAGCTTCCTCGACTTGTGCCTCCAGCTGGCCCTCGACCTCTTCGGCCTCAGGCACGTAATTGTACATGGGGCAGGTGTCTGTGATGACACCAATGTCCTGGTCACTGAGGATGTCGGCCATGGACAGCACCTTGAGACCGGATTCGCCGGGTGCCATGCCCATATACCTCTTGATCAGACGCTTGAGCCTTCCACCACGCTCGGAGAGGAGCGAGGCCTTGAGCATGCAAGCGACCGTCTCGGCGGTGTGGGGGAGCCCACAGTTCCGAATCTGCAGCTCGTACCACTGGTGGAGGTGCTCAAGTTGCTTTGGATCAGGAGTGACACGCATCTGCTGCAGGTTGGAGCGGAGGTACATGTTGTGGAGGAGGATGCGCTCTTCGTTCGAGATGGACGGGTGGGCGTTGACACGCTTGAGGACGAGGCTGGCCCGTTCGAGCTTCCCAACACGGAGGCAGGCCTCGAAAACGGAGATGAGATCCTCTGTGTCGCCGGGGATACCATTCCTGTTCATTCTCGTCATCGGTCGGGATTCGGTCGGCTCGGGGAGGATCAGGGGCATCGACGGGTCGAAGCTTTGGAAGCTCTGGGAGTAGAGGGGTTGTGACTGGAAGGGCAGCGGACTCGCGTGACCCATCTGGCCATACGGGAGGCTGTCAAAGTTGACATCTCCGGCTGCCGTAGCGAGGCTACGTTCGCGCACATGACGCTGCGCAGCATCTGACAGTCTCCTCCGCACGGGTCGAGCGTGGCCGGTGAAGACACATCTATGCCCGGCTGTGGTCGTTGCCGTGCTCTGATGTTGTAGTATCAGGGGACTTCTCGTGAAACATCTCGATAATGTGCGGAGCGATGTCGCTTGCCTGACGGAGAGGCTCTGGCGAGCGTGCCGCGAGATCATGATGAATGAATTCGCGACTGCACGCGACAGTCGTATGAGGGGGGTGGCGAGAGATTAAAGAGAGTTGGGGAGTCAAAGGCTCTCAAAAGGATATTGCCGCTCCTCTCCAACATGGGAGGAAAGGAGGAGGCCAGGAAATAATAAAAGAAAACTGATTAATTAATTGTACAAGAAACAAATCGCTTTGAGATAGGGGAGGAGTAGAAGAGGCGGAGAGAAGGCCCGAGCACAGGGATTTTTTCCCTTTCTCCTGGGACATGGATGCTGTCTTAGTACTGGAATGGATCTATTGGACGGCGGGCCGAAAGTGGAGAGTAATCAGATTTTACAGGCGTTTGGTCTCGTCTAAAATCAAGTCACGTGCATACGCTCCACCGAATTGAGCTGCCACTATCTGGTGGTAATGACGACTTCAGCGCTGGATACATTCATTCATCATACAATTGAAGAGTGGTAGTATATACTATCAGTTCCCCCTTTCGCCAACCCTCTGCCCCGTGTGCCTGCGGAAGATGGCTTCCCGTCCAGCGTTCACGGCCCTTGGCTGTCTGGGTTGCCGGACTGCAATGTGCAGAGCCGTCCTGAGCCCTACAGCACCAGTAGCTCTTCGCATGCTGCCCATGACCATCACACGGAGAAACCAGCGATTACAGCCTGTTGCCTGGAGGCCATTCTCCTCGGCAGGCAAGGAGGCTCCGCCCACCTCCGCCGACCATGAAGCAACACTGGAGGCTGAGGCTGAAGAAGCCGAGGCTGAGACCTCACCCGAAACGACCCCGTGGTTCCTTGACGAGGCCCCACCGCAACATCCTCCTAGCCAACACTCTGCGACGCTGCCGACGCCCCCCGAAGATGCTCCTGCTATGATGGGGTCGATGATCAAGTACATATACGAAGATATGGGACTGGACGATCTCTCCCTTCTTGACCTGCGCGACCTGGACCCGCAGGCGTCCCTGGGCCCCAACCTGATTATGCTCTTCGGCACGGCCCGCAGTGAGAGGCACCTGCACGTGTCGTCGGGACGATTCGTGCGGTGGGTTCGGCGCAACTGCAATGTCGGCGCGCGGGCCGAGGGCCTCATCGGCCCGGGGGAGCTGAAGACAAAGCTCCGTCGGCTGAGAAAGAAGGCCAAACTGATGGGTCAGAACACGGCCATGATTCCCGGTGGCGATCACGGTATCTCGACGGGATGGGTGTGCGTCAACTTTCGCGCCACGACAGAGGGTAGGAAGGGTGGTGATGTTGAGGCGGCGCGCTTCGACGAGAGCGGCGCTATGTCTGGCTTCGGCTCCTCGGAGCACGGCACCACCATTGTGGTCCAGTGTATGACCGAGTCGCGCAGGAACGAGCTCGACCTCGAGTCGCTATGGAAGGGCATCCTGCGCCGTAACCTCGATCAACAGGCCAAAATCCGCGGAGAGAAGGTCGATGCCGCACAGCTGGACGAGCTCCTCGCATCCAGGCTGCAGCTGCACGAGGCACCCGGCACGTCGCAGTTTGACGCCATGAAGCGCGCGTCGGAGCAGCACCGCTACTTTTCCACCTCGGCCAGACGGCGGGTGCGGACGAGCGGCACTTCTGCGATATCGAACGATCCCATAGTCTTCCTGCAGCAGAGCGATGCCAACCCGGAGACTGATGCTCTCCGCCGCGCCATATTAGACGTCCAAGTTGGTGGAGCACCCATGGACCACGGACGGCTGAAGGACCTAGTGTCGGCCATCCTCTGCGCTGGCGACGAGAGCATTTTGGCCTCTGACCGTCTAAGCCTGGTCGACCAGATATTCCAGACAGCCAGTGAGCGGGGTCTGGACGTGCGCTCTCGCCCTGTGTTGATTGCCACGATCGAATCCCTGCTCGACTCACCCGTCTACGGGCCTGAGCTGAGCCGTGCCCAGCAAAACATGGAAGTGCTACTTACGGAACTCGATTCGGCCCCCACCGTGTCCGAGACTGCCCGCCTCATGGGTGCTTACGGCCGTCGCAGCGACTGGTCCCGCTTCTGGGACGCCTTCCGCACGCCGTCGCGGTTCAACGAGGCGCGCGCCCCCGTCTTGTACGAACTCGCCTATCGCACAATGGCCTCCACGGCCGATGCAGCCCTGTGCACCGACGCTCTACGCTGGGTGTACCCCGAGATGCTCATGGAGAAGACGCCTGTTGAGCTGGACGCCAAGCTGTACCACGCTCTCAAATCTTGCATCCTCGTCGCTGACCCGGCGGCTGAGGAGTTGCTGGCTAACCCGCCGCCGGTGGAGGGCCTGTCCAAGGTGCAGAGGAGAGCCCTTGAGAGGCGCGAGTTTGTCAGGGTGCTTAGGGAGGTCGAGGCGCTTCGGATGAATGCCAAGCAGTGAAGGGGAACAAGGAGATGAACGAAGGCAAGATGTTTCCCGATGCGGAGGAGATGTGTATTATAAGGCGATTCATGTGTGCAACATACCAGGGCGGATGCCCCATGTAACTTTTGTATCATTACATCTGACTATATCAAAGTCGAAGACTACAGATAGCGCCCAAAGTCGCCCCTGATCTGACCAATGTCCACCTTTGGCTCATGCAGCATCTTGTACCTGCGACACGGTCCTTGACGTGCGCGACGGGTCTCGGTGCCATCACACTCTTGGTTTGAATGTTCTAGTGCTTCTTAGCATGCGCCCGCCTCGGGGGGCACACAAGCGTCGTCTCTTCCGACACTCATAGTGCTCACCTCTTCTCGTGAACCTTGAGCGATGCATCCCGCAGAAGCGGTGCGACCAGTTTCCTGCTTCCACTGAGCTTGTACTGGCGCCACCCCCTGCGGTCATCTCCAGCATCTAGTCGTCCTTGGCAGTACGTCTCGAGCTGTAGCTCCTCTGTCGAGGCGTGCTGGAACTGGCGCAGAGCGGCAACGCCGCCCGGTGTCCGGCCCCAGCCAAACAGGTGACGCTGAAACTCACCGCCGGGGTGCGACGTGGTCATTACGACGGCAAAGTCGAGGCCACGCTTATCCGACCATCTGCCCACGGCCTCGAGGAATTTGTCGACCGACCCCGCGGCTTTCTCTTCGACGAGGTAGTCGAGCCCCTGGACGACGCAGCTGACGCCAAGCTTGAGCCCCGCATCGGTCCACTCTTTGTAGTCCTTGCGGAGGATGTCGTGCAGGTTGAGCTTTGAGATGTCTTCCTTAAAACCCTCAATCTCACGATAGTAGGCGTCGCGGCTGTAGGCTGCACCACTGGCGTCACCCTTGAGCTTCTCCTCGAGGAACGCAGTTGCCGCGCGGTCCTTCTCGCGCGTCTTGTCCTTGGAAGTCAAATTGGTGGTGTCGATGAGGATGGCCGCCAGACCTAGTCGCGCCAGCTTAGCCTGCTCAGCTGCCTCCTCCCAGATGCCCTTAGTCTCCTCGATGACGAGGCTCATGCAGCTGCCACAGTTCTCAATCACACGCGGCAAGGAATCGGCTGGGACTGCACCCTCATCGACATGGTGGTCAACGCAGCCGGTCACCCGACTGGCAAACTTACTCAGTGGGCCGGTGAGCGAGTTGTGGTCGACCAGCAGCCAGTGGGTGTTGTCTTCCTGGAGGTCATTTGGAAGCTCAGTCAGGGTTAGGAGATCAGAGGGTGTCAGGCCTGCGTGGCTGAGTGCGGCCGTCACCTCTGGACGCAGTGCGAGGTCTTCGCGGGGCAAGTTGGAGAGGGGGATGTGCAGGGTTTTGGGGTGAGTGTGACTGCGAAGGTAGGCCAGGACGACGGCAGAGCACACGGAGTCAATATCTGCCAAGTATGGCAATTTCCAGATCAGCATCATGTGAGTCTATTGGTGGCCGTTTCCCCGCGGGGAAGAGGGGGTGTTGGTCTCACCAGCGGCTTCGTTGCCAACGACAAACGTAAGCGGGCGGGTGCAATTTGCGGCTGGAGAGGCCAGGGCAGCACGTGCCGCAGCCAGAAAGCTACGAAGGCCCATGGACATGGCGAAAGGAATGGCGTGGCCGTGAAGGGAGGTCAATCAAAGGACTCTGGTGCTGCAGAAAGATGGCTGTTCCATTTCCGCGTTTGATGGTAACGACGTGGAGTGCATCGGATTGGTGGTAGTGGGTTAAATGGGAATAGGGAGCTAAATCCAGACATTGAGGGCTAAAAGTTCCTCAGCAGTGAATCAGTGATGAAGTGCATTGGCGTCAGGCAGGAGCAGCTGTGTTTGGTGGCACCTGCCTTTTGTCTCCCTTTCGGATTTCTGTACTTCTATCTTGTTTCTTCTCTTCTCCAACCTTTTCGTTTCACGGCTTAAACGAAACAATGTGGACGCAGAATAAACACTAATATCATCAACTTTTACTTCGTACCTGTACACGCCTATGATCCCTGATCGTCTTACAGGTTCCTACTTTGTTGCGTCTGGTTAAAAACAACAGAAATCACTTACATTGTTGCTTCTTAGCTTACGTCGGGACGCCACACAACGCTTTGGTTTCTCCGGAATCTTGGTAAGAGGACAGTTTGGCCAGCTGTGCGGGGTACTCTGGTACGGTTGAGACTGACGCCGACCGCCGATCAAGCGGTGATACATTTGCCAATATTTCGTACAGGAAGCAAAGACAAGACGGGTACGGCGTACTCCACATGCAGAAACCTTGACAAGGCGTCGTGTGTACCGCATCGCTAACCCTCTCCATGGCATATCCCAGATGGGGTACGGAGTACAGAGTACTATTGGAAGAAGTATCAATTGATGCCTCTGGGAAAATACAAGCTATGTCTTTGCATGGCCTGACTCTCGTCAGAAACGTCGAAGCTCGGGAGCTATTGGCGTCGTTATAGGAAGAGAACCCTGTCAGTTTGGGCCGCAAGCGGAGTTGATCGACGCCAAGAGTCCACCTGGGGACACCGGACGACGAGGCGGGGAGTGTCCCGTCCGTGTACTCGTGCATGCGAGCTTGGTATACTCGTACGAGGGGAAAGCATTGTTATGACGAGTACGCCGCTGGAGATCGGAGGTATATTAAGCTGCTGATATGCCAAATTGCCCGCCGTTGGGGAGAACTCGGTCCTGTCAACAGCGCCGCTTCGAGCTACGTCCATACGACGTTTCCTCGGCTGCCTATTGAAACACCTTTCAGCATTTGAGGAAGTACTTCTTCGCCATGTTCAGCCCTGGGAATTTCTTCCTGGCGGCCCTGACGGCTACCGTTGTCCGTGCACTCTATGTCAACGGCAATGTCACAGCACCATGCGACTCGCCCATCTACTGTCATGGCGACATCCTTCGAGAAATTGAATTGGCTCGGCCATTCTCCGATTCAAAGACATTTGTCGACATGTAATATTCCCTCTGATAGACATGTTACGAGAAGGACCCTAGCTAATCACCAGGTCCAAGGCCAGCAATCAAGTCACTCGAGGAAATTCAGGCCGCATTTGACAAGCTTGACAAGCCCCTCAGCAACAATTCGGCTCTCAACGATTTTCTCAGCGACAACTTTGCGGATGCAGGAGGCGAGCTTGAGGAAGTGCCGAGCAAAGAACTCGACACAGATCCTGAATTCCTCAACAAGATCAACGACACCGTTATACACGAATTCACGCAGAAGGTCGTCGACATCTGGCCTGACCTCACCCGTCGCTATAGTGGTGAGCATGCTGGCAACTGCACTGATTGCCCCAGCAGTTTTATCCCCATCAACCGCACCTTTGTTGTAGCTGGCGGTCGCTTCCGCGAACCCTACTACTGGGATACCTATTGGATTATCCATGGCCTGCTGCGCACCGGCGGATCCTTTATCGACATCACGAAGAACACTCTTGAAAATTTCCTCGACTTCATTGAACAGTTCGGCTTCGTCCCCAATGGCGCCCGCCTATATTACCTCGACCGTTCTCAACCTCCACTCCTGTCTCATATGGTGCGCGTCTATGTTGAGCATACGAAGGATACTACTATCCTCGAACGCGCTCTGCCGCTGCTGGTTAGGGAGCACGAGTTCTTCATGACGAACCGCACGGTAGACGTCAAGATTGATGGCCGCACCTACAAGCTCAACCGCTACGCCGTGGAGAACAACCAGCCACGTCCCGAATCGTACCGCGAAGACTACGAGACTGCACGCAACTCATCGTACTACTCCGATTCCGGGATCATCTACCCCGAGGATAGAACACTCACCGATGATGAGGTTAAAGAGCTATACGCCAATCTTGCCAGCGGCGCCGAGTCCGGCTGGGACTATACCAGCCGCTGGATTGCGACGCCCGAGGATGCTGTGAACGATGTATACTTTCCTCTGCGCTCTCTCAATACCAAGGAGATTATTCCCGTCGACCTCAACTCCATCCTGTACGGCAACGAGCTAGAAATCTCCCGCTTCTACAACGAAACAGGAAACTCGACGGGAGCTGAATACTGGGGCAAGCTGGCAGCCAACCGATCCGAGGCCATGCACACCGTCCTGTGGAATCAGACACACTTTAGCTACTTTGACTACAACCTAACGTCATCATCTCACAACCTGTTTATACCGGCCGAACCCGATTCATCCCCGCTTGACCTGCGATATGCGCCCAAGGGAAAGCAGGTGGTCTTCAGTGTCGCTCAGTTCTATCCATTCTGGATGGGGGCTGCTCCTGACTACCTGAAGAACAATCCGTACGCCGTGCAGATGGCCTACCAGCGCGTGTCGGACTACCTCGAGCTCCGAGCCGGCGGCATACCGGCCACCAACTTTCGAACTGATCAGCAGTGGGACCAGCCGTCCGTGTGGCCGCCTCTCATGCACATCCTCATGGCGAGCCTGCACGGCGTACCTGCGACGTTTGGTGAGGATGACCCTGCCTACTTATGGGTGCGCAAGCTTGCCCTCCGCCTAGGTCAGCGCTACCTCGACTCCACGTTCTGCACATGGCGCGCGACGGGCGGCTCGACATCGGAAACTCCTCAGATTCCCGGCTTGGGAGAGGAAGATGTCGGCATAATGTTTGAAAAGTACAGTGACAACTCGACCAACGTGGCCGGTGGAGGCGGAGAGTACGAGGTGGTCAAGGGTTTTGGCTGGACAAACGGCGTCCTCATCTGGACTGTCGACACGTTTGGAAGCAACTTGACGCGACCGGATTGCGGAGACCTCCAACCCGCCGATGCGTCATCTGCGCGGAGAGCCCGCAGTGCTGTTGAGTTGCACCAGCGGGATGCGCAGCGCACCAAGATGTTTGGCCGCAGAGTCAGCGACGCCGTGTAGCGTTATTTCGCGGTTTATGTGCATTAATGTACTGCTATGTCTACAATTCCATAGAGGGTTATACGTATATGATATAATTAATTACCTGGTATTGCCAAACCCCCTCTTACCATGCATACTCTTCAGCCCCTCCATATTGTATGGCTCTAGTGGAAGGTCACTTGACAAGTCGATGATTTCATTAGCCGCTCAAACTGGAAAACAAATGTCCTTTATATATATACACAACGAATTCTAATTCAGCATCTATACATTACTAAAAGTACGAACGATCAATAAACATGGGCATGGAGTCCTCCCACAGACTATCCGTCAACATCGTCTTGTTAGACCCATCGGCATTCATGGAGATGATCTGTCCATAGGGCTGGAAGGTCTCATCGTAGAGGGCGCTCTCGTCACGGAAACCGTACATGCCGCTGCTGTACAGGATGCGACCATCGGGCGACCAGACGGCGTGGGCGTCGTTGGCCTGAGACTCGGTGAGGATCTTGATGTCGGACCCGTCGGGCTTGCAGGTGCAGATGTCGAAGCGGTCGTCGTCCCAGCTAGGACCGCTGGTCCAGTTGGTCTGGCGGGTGAAGACGATGAGCTCGCCGTCGGGGGACCACCCAGGGGTGTTGTCCCAGCCGTCGGTGATGCGGGTGGTGGTCTCGTCGCGGAGGTCCATGACGTACAGGCCCAGGGGACCCTCGGTCCAGTTCCAGAGGCGGTAGACAACCTTGTTCCCGTCGGGGGAGTAGGAGGGGAAGCCGGCGTTCAGGGTGCCGTCGGTGAGGTTCTTGTAGTTGCCGCTGTCGTCGGCGTTCATGAGGTACAGCGTGGCCGGGTAGATGACGCGGTTGAAGAACCAGACGCCGAAGCCGACGATGAGCTGGGTGCCGGTGGGGGACCAGGTGGGCTGGAAGGCACCGGCGAGTCCGCTGGCGTACAGGGCCGTCTCGGCGGCGCTGCTGTTGATGTCGTAGACGTCGAAGGCGGTGACGGGGTTGGAGTAGTCGGCGTCGGTGAGGAGGACGTTGGACGAGGCGTTGCCGAGCTGCTTGGCCGTCGTGGCCAGGCGGCCGGTGGCGTTGTTGATCTGGGGGAAGACGTCCATGAAGCGGTACTCCCACTCGTGGTCCCAGCTGTAGAGGGGCTTCTCGGCCTGGCGCTGGGTCCACGAGTTGACCTCGTAGACCAGCCTCTTGCCGTCGGGCGACCAGGACGGGTTGCGGATCGTCGCGTTGACGTACGTGTGGGTGCTGTCGGTCGAGGTGTAGTGGATCCCCTGCTGGGTGCCGGCCTTGACGACGTAGGCGATGTTGGCGTCGGTGCCGTTGCTGCCGCCGCCGATGTACGAGGGCGTCACCTTGGGCGTGGCGTCGGTGGTGTGCTGCACGATGTCGGTGCCGGTCTCGACGTCGACGCTGAAGATCTGCGACGTGATGGAGCTCTGCTGGCCGCTCGACCCGTGGACGTTGTACGTGGCCTCGGTCGTCATGTTGTAGTAGACCAGGCGCGATCCGTCGGGCGACCAGCGGGGGGAGCCGAGGGAGTACCCGTCCTGGCCGATGACCTTGCGGAAGCCCGTGCCGTCAGGGTGCGCGATGTACACGGACAGCTCCTGGGTGTGCTCCCAGCCGGTACCGTCACTGTGGCCGGTCCACTGGGTGTTGGCGTCGGAGCTGAAGGCCACCCAACGGCCGTCGGGCGACCAGGACGGGCGGTAGAAGCTGTGCGGGCCCACGAAGCTGCCGACCGACTCGTCGCTGCCGGTGAGGTTGGTGGCCTTGCCGGTGACGAGGTCCTTGACGAAGATGTTGGCCGTGTAGTTGATGGCGGTGCTGACGTAGGCGAGCTTCGTGCCGTCGGGCGACAGGGTGCCCGAGTCCTCGAGCGAGGAGGACGCCACCAGGGTCTCGACCGACCCGCCGTCCGGCTTGACTCGGTACAGGTCAGCCTGGCCGTCGGCCGCCCGCTCGCTGGTGAAGACGATCCACTCCCCGTCAGGGGACCAGTTCGCGTGGTAGTCGAACGGGTCGGTCTGGTTGGCCATCAGCTGCCTGGCGTCGGTGCCGTCCGAGTTGGAGATCCACAGCGCCGACCCCGAGGGCCCGATGCGGTTCAGGTAGAAGACACCCTTCTTGTCGTCGGCCGGGGGCGTTCTGCGCTTCAGGGACGCTGCCTCGGCTTGGGCGCTGCTCTGCTCCTGGGCTTTACCGGCGTAGGGGCATGCGCGAGGCTCTACCGCCTCTACCGGCTTCGCATACGGGCAGGCGGCTAGGGCCTGGCCGGCAGCAGCGGCCAGGATGGTGAGGAGTTGCAACTTCATCGTGCTAGGGCATGTGCGGAAGGGGGGGGGGGGGGGGGGGGGTGGGTTTGGGGGGGGGGGGGGGGGGGGGGGGGGCTTTGGTTTCCTGTCGTGAGAAGGGAGCGAATGCCCTTCCGTACAAGGCTGGTTATATATAGTAAATCAACGGACTTGAGAGTTTTAAATCGCGTGAGGAGGGGCCGGAAACAAGGGATCCATGACGAGCCACACGCCCCCCCCCCCCCCCCCCCCCCCCCCCCCCCCGGGAGGCCTTTAATGTATCTTCTCTTCATTACTCGTATTAGACTCGTCGATGTTCAATGTTCAAAAGTGGAAGTCTCGGCCGCAGAAACATAGGTACAAAGGCCATGTACTCTGTAATGGCGTATAGACAATTTAAAAGAAGAGATTGATTTGGAAGAAAAAGATTTCTAAATAAAAACAGTTTATAGGTGAAATATGCATGCGAATGGGGAAGGGAAACATGTTAACCGAAGGTATGGATATTCAACAACTCCACAAGGGTAAAGTTCGAACACCAATAATCTCGCCAGCTGCCATCCTTTCCGACAGCGAGTGTGAAAAGCGAGAGACATCATAGGCTCAAGGTCTGATGGAGCACACGAGTACGGAGCACGCCGTGGAACGAGGCATAGTGTCATGCATGCACGGAGTAGGTGGAAGACTTTAGGAGAAACGCCCCCCCCCTTAGAGGGGGCCGGGCCACGAGTGGATGCGACAGAAAAGCCTTCAAATACCGTTATACCATTATGCGATGGCTAATCAATTCAAATTTCCTCTCTTCCATCCTCCAAAAGCATGGCCGGGTTGCATACGCATTTCGGTTCTAACACCCCGTACGGTATTCCTCGATTTCCAGGTTCCCCATCGTTACCCGCGGGACCCAGGATGACGGGAAGTCGAGTCGTGCCATGCTGCATGATAGCCCATTGAAGAATGCTCGTACTCCGATACTCGTGGCCTGCACAGCCTCTGAATCTTGCCTCCTACGCATCTTACGAGAGCGAGGGAGGTAGGAGGAGGAGAGATGCTGTTACAGCTTACGCGTTCCCGTAGCCCGGCAGTGCCTATCGATATGTGCCGTACAGCTTGTGGTCCCGAAGACCCATCCAACCAATCGGGCTGAAACTAGCCGTCGAATAGACACCGTTCTTCTTGGCATTGCAGGGGAAACAAAAGCCACTGCACTGCGGCATTTCTCCCTGCTCAGACTGCCGTACGTGTACGGGCCAGAGGCTCTCTGGGAAGGGGAGGCGAAGGACTGGAGGGGGAGAGCCAGAGCGGACCGCTCTGCAAGGCGCAGCTGCACAAGCCATCCACGTGTACGGAACCGACGTGGCGGACGAGTCTCGCTCCGTTCCTAGCTGGTGACGAGTCTGTACGGCGAGCCTCTGTACGAGTCTCCTGCAATACGGATCAACAAGCTTAGCAGTCAGTCACAAGCTCCCGGCCAGTGAGAAGAAAGGGGAAGGCAGAGTCAAACTGCGTCGGCGTCATTGGCCATTGGCCATCGCCAGCTCCCCACGTCCCTCCCATGCGGCCGAGGCTAGGGTACAGGCGTAGGGCTATGCCGGCTATGCCGGCCAGTCCTGGGACATCTTGGCGGCGGCGACGTGGTGGCGGGAGACCGAAGGAGGCATTGCCCGTATGAGGATAGGGCATACAATATCGTCACTGAGATATACCCGATATCGTGAAAGTAGCGAGTCGGCGGGACGAGTTGGGCCGGAGCAGACCGACGAAACGGGACGGCTAGACGTCTTTACCCGCTGCAAGCCTCTGCATATTGAGCCTTTTGCCAGGGAACCGGATCGAGGACAGATAGTTTATACTTAAAAGTCACTCATATGGTTATAATATTGTCATACTAGTGCTAACGCTCCATTATGAGCCTCGTGCCCAGTCCTGTATGGGAAGTGGAGGCTCACGACAGCGACAAAACCCCCTATCATCTAATACTCGTGCCTAATCTGGGTGAAGTCCGGAATCTCGGCACCGTAGTCGAGATGTATTCTGTTTTGTTTTTATTTTATTTATTTATTTTGGTGAGAGTGGGGGGGTGTGTGTTTCTTTTTCTTTCTTTCTCTCTTCTCTGTCGTGGAGAAAGGAGCGGCAATTCCCAGCTTCCCCAAGAAGCAGGTTCCTAAACTGCATCGCAGCTTTCATGAGTTGAAGAAGAACGGGATGGTGTGTATATTACGTGGCCCCGATCGATGCCGGTCGGGAAGACATTCCCCCTCGAGACAAGACTGATACCTCTCGCTTTAACTCATCCGCCTATATATATGCATATATATGCCACGTAATGCACCTTCCATTACTGGCAGGTGTCCCAAGGCAGAAGTCAGGGGCAGTGCGCTCTGTCGACATTGCGCATGGCGATGCTGGGAGCCTGAGACTCGGCCAGGATGCATAGAGAGGTTGCTTCAACCCGTGGTCCAGAGGGGAGGGGAGAGGTGGTGGATATGGCCAAGAAGAAAGATCAAACGCGTAATTGCTAAGCCGGGCGTTACCCGGGTGCCCAAAGACGGACCCATGTACCTCCGTACTCCGCATACTCTCCGTATTCATATTAATAATGATAGTTGATACTTCTAGCCAGGGGTGTGTGTACGAGTCACGGATTACAGATTACGCGTGTACGAGCGAGCAGAGCGGTACACGTTCGATACGAGTACGGATATACACATGTGCCTTCGCGCCCTGGCGAGCCTGCATGATGCCACGAGTCCCACGACAGGGTTCATCCCACAGTCCAATGTACGAGATCCGGCGGCAGAGCAGTCGGCATCACGCACCCCGATCTGAGCAAGTCAGAGTGCTCGTACATGCAGTATGTCTCTAGCCTTGACGGTTCTGCCAGCAAGAGATGGCCGCCATCTGCGATCCACAGAAGGGAAGAAAGAGATTGGGGGGGGGGTGCAAGCTGAGAAGATAGAACGGCATTAAGCTTGCAGCGGCGATGTTGCATCCCGTATACCAACAGACAATGCTATCCATAACAGTAGCGATACTGCCAACTGGTAAGCCCCGGCACACTTGACTTGGGACAGTGTACGGATTACGTACGTGTATGCAGGCGTGCACTGCATGCTGTTTCTATGAATGGCGTCATGTCACGGCGAGTGCATGGCATCGACATCGGCTGACGTCCCCTCAGACTCTCTCTCACTCAGCCCTCCTATGGTCGATGGGTTGCTATGGTTGGAAAGACGTGGCCGTAAGAGATGGCACAATGCTACATATGAAGACCGATGCTACATGTTGAAAAAAAAAGACGCCCAACACATTGTATTAGTAATGGGTGACGCATATCCCTGATCTCTGAATGGGTATGGAGTAAGAGTAGTGCCAAGAACATCGATACTGAATGCCTCCACGCAACCTGTCTGTCTGCAGAGGCTTAGTCTTCATCGACACTACGGAGTACTGCGAATCTGTAGGCAAAACCCAGCAAGTCTTCTCATCAAGAGACATGGACCAGATAATATACCACCAGCTTTGATCCTACATGTACTCTTCTACGCGCTCTCACGTTCCCCTCTTTTGGGGGGGTGGGCAGGTTGGGGTTTCTCCCTCTCCCTCTATTTCAGCCGAGTCGTGCTCCTCGCATCGAGTCCAGATCTCAGATGGATGATCCCCCCTCAACGTCATCGCATCCTCTCGCAGGCATCGCCAGCGCAGCGGGGGAGATTGCCCAAGATCCCCGGCCCGCACATGACAGCAAGCAGAGACACGGCCAGGATTGCCGCCCAGCTTTCCGCCGAGGCCACTGCAGCGCGGATGCGGACGATGCTCGGCTGTCTCCGGGAACTCGCCGCGAGCCTAGTCTCCAAGGGCGATGCGGGATACGCGTACCCCGTGCAGAGATCGATCAGCGGTATCACGGTGCTTACCGATGGAGTCCTCCGTTTCTCCGAGCCCGAGAGACCGCTCCCGAGAGACTGCTCTCGACATCCTTCCTCCGTCCAAGTCGCTGGGGACGGTTGGCCTGGGCGACATGTATCATCGCCCATCCGGCGGATCAAGAAGAAGGGTGGCTTGGATGCTCTCTGTGTCCGTCTTGAAGCTTTCAGGATGTCTGCTGGTTGCATCTTCAACATTCTACATCCTACAGAGGTGCAGACGTCATGTCCATAGCCCCATCTATTCTACCGAAGGCTTACTGCTTCGGGAATGCTGTTTTTGCTTATCCGACGGTGTTGACCGACCGACACGAAACCCTTCATTTTGAACTCACTCCCAACCCAGGACCCAGATCAGATGGATCTGCCAGAAGACGCTCCCGACAACCGTCGATGCCCTTCCGTCCCTCGGCCAGCCTCGCGTTCACCGCCGCCGGGCCAAACAAGAGGACGTGAACCCGTCGATCCACTGCTCCTCGTCACCCGAACCCATGCCTGGCCCGACTTATCCGGTGTCAGTCTTGGGGGATACCCCGACCATATCCGTCCTCGCGCTGGCCGACCTACCCTACGCAGGTCATCTTCAAGTCGCACGGCACCCGTACCGCCCGAAACCATGCTCGACCCAACTATGGAGGACGCACTTGCAGAACTGGTCCGTGTGTCTGCTCGTATCTGTCATCCCATCCTGACAGTCACGGATAAGGACCTGGAGACGGTCATCGAAGGATCGGTATCTCCTGACGGGAAGTCATCTAACCATCAAAATGATCGAGTGTTTCGTAGCCGATCTGCCATCAGTCGCTCAACGTCTCCAAGAATACAACAAATCCTTCGACGGGAAGCGCGAACATGGACGGTCCTTCTACACTTTCCCCATTACGTGGCTGGGATGCTGATATCATCTTTCTCGATACTATCAGAAACTCTTCCGGCACTTGTACATTTTTTATTGACATTTCTCTCGAAGCGTACCCGCCATCACCCAATGAAGTTGTGGCCTACGGTAAGGCTGCGAACAGTACAACGTCTCACTCGGCGGAGCAGCAAGGGAGAAGAGCACAAGGAATCCGGGTGCAGATGTGTATGGTGAACTTCATGACGGACAGGAAAAAGACTATTCAACCATGGTCGTCGCGTGGCCTGAGTCGCGGACGGGTGAGGAGAGAAATGACAAGGGGGACTCCCCCAGTCGCATCAAGGTGTGTTGAACGGAGAGCGGAGAGCTAAAGGGCTTCTCTCATACATGGGATCCCTCCTCAAGCTGCCCCGTATCCTCCTGATGCCGACTACCGGTGGAAAATCTCAATATGCTGGTCGGAGATGGACTCTACACCGAGTTTGAGTTATCGGCACAGGCCCAAGGCTTGGACGTCCCGCCAGCGTCCAACGACTTGATGATGTTGATGACAGCGCCGTAAGTGCCACCGACGGTCAAGAATGTCCCGACGACGACGAGGAACACGCTCCAGGAGACGAGCGTGTACCACTTCCACGTACGCCTGTCCGTCTTCCAGTTATCGTAGAGCCACATGAAGCCGGGTGGCTGGTAGCCCAGGGAAGCCCCCAGGAAGGCTCCAATAAGCGATACGAGGTCGCCAAAGATCGGGATCCCGCTAGCAATCAGGTATGCGATCAAGGTCGTCCCCACGGTGCAGCCAAGCCACGTGCCCCAGTGTACGGCTGTGTTGGCACTGAGATGCCTAGAGCCTCTCAGGATCCGGACGAAGATGTATTTGGCTGGCAGCTGTCAAATTGTGATCCGGGTCAGCATTCATCATTCATCTGAGCGGCGTTGCAGCATCGGCATTTCTCTCCCCGCCCCTCTCTCCCCTCCCAAAAAAAAAAAAAAAAAAAAAACACTCACATGGAGAAAGATGCACGTCGTTATGAGGAGGCCGGGCAAGGACAGCCCGTACGCAACTCTCTTGACGAGAGGACCGGCCGACCCGAGAGCAGGCGAGGCCACATAGGATCCGCAGTAGTAGTAGATGACAACGGCAATGACCAGGTAGATGCTGGTAGAACCAATCTGCGCAATGATGAGAGACCGGGTATATTTCTTCGGGTCGCGCATCTCGGCCACGATGGCAAAGTACGCCGGAGCTGCGGAGCAAGAGAAGATGAAGGTGGACACCGCGGACACTCCTTGGGCGAAGGTAGGGTCTCCAAAGAGTCTGTAGTCGGACTTCCAAGGACCCGGCGGGGCATCGGTCGGGCGATCCTGAACGCCGACACTTATCGTGACCGTCAAGACTGGGAGGCGACCGTACGCGGTCAGAGATGGCTGCTGGGAGGGGGGCGGAAGAGGAAGAGGAAGATGGGAGTCCAGGGTGATGAACTTACTTGCAGCGAGGATGAAAGCCATGCCGGCCCACGCCAGCCAGCTGATCTTGCTCAACGTACGAACGCTTGCCAACGCGCCGGAAGCGATGGCCGCGATGACGACGAACACGGCGGTGCATGTGCCGTGCAGCGATATCGAGTTCAGGGCGATCGAAGCTCCAAGTATACCCGATCCTCCGCAGAAAATCCAGACTGCACCGACAAGATTCAGCAGCTGCACAAACTCTGCTGAAAGTCCGGAGGATGGTCCCCAGACGAGGAGGGGTGGGGGGGGGGGACGAAGGGGGTCTACTCACAGAGACAGAAAAAGGTCCCCAAGACCTCGCGTCCGACCCGGCCAAACATGATGTAGCCAGCATCGTCGATGCCGTAGACGGAAGGGTGGTTGAGCTTGAACATGCCAACCACCCAGCTGGTCCAGGTGGCAATCGCGGCGACGGCAAGGAGAAGCAGAACGCCCGGAATCATGCCGACGTTGTCAAATGTCTGAGGCATGGACAAGACGCCAAGGCCGATCTGGGTCTTCATCATCAGGATGACGGTGCCCTTCCACCCGAGCTACATGATGGTTGATATCGACAGTCAGCCCTCCCACCCCCCCACCGCTCTGGAATCTCCAGGCTCGGACGACGATGCCATGCTCTTCCGGCGCACACACGCAGACAGAAAACTCACACCGCGATAGTTGGGACCGTCGTCCGTGACCTTGCCGAAGACTTCGTCGTACGGAGCGTCATCTTGCCTGGCCACGACCCGACGGCCTGAAGGGCTCAGGCCGAGCTCCTGGCCATCCGTGTCGCTCTGACCCTTGGTCGATTTCTCTTCGCCGAGCACGCTAGCCATTGGTGATGAATATTGCCAAATCTGCAGAGATGATGATGACCGGATAGACAGCTGGGGTAGGAAAAAAAGAAAGAAGAAGAAGAAAAGGGGGGAGAGGGGGGGGAGGGAGGACAGAGGGTATTATTTAGGACTGTACGTGAGTGCGCGCATTGATGATCCCCGTCGGTCCTGGAGCCATGGTGCAGCATGCCCTCGTAGAGAGAGCGTGCCAGGGCTCTTTTGATGTCTGGAATTCGACGATGGATTCTTCGATATTCCGGAGCAAAATCCCTCCGTGTGAGTGTGTCATCGTCTCCATGTTCCATGTCGCAAGTTGACCATGAACCCACGCAACTGACGGTCCTCTCACCGGAATATGCCAATGCGACTGGTGCCATCATGTTTGCCCCCTTCTCTCCTCCGGTACGGGGGAGCAGACATCACCAGACGGGAATTGACGGGCTCAGGCCGCACCGGAGCCGCAGTGAATGTTTCTACGGATGTCGTTTCCACAAACTCTGGCCCCGTCTGTTTCGATCCACCACAGATCCATCCCATGCCGACTGCGGAACCGCGCTGCGTTCAAAAGACGCACGGGCAGTCGCAAAAAAAAAAAAAAGACTGCTAGGCGTTGTCTATTATTACTTGTTTTGATGGGAAAATGCTGTGGGGCCTTGGTTCCGGCACCTGTCGGCCGGGGTCGGGTCGGGTCGGGTCCCGGCCTCCGATATAGGGGGTTTCTCCTATGTGTTCTCAACTCACGAACTCACGGGGGATATTCGATTGTGGGTTGGACATCATAGCTGTTCGTAGATCGGCCTGTATCCTCCTCAAGCAAGACCGTTTCGATTCGAGGTTCGAGAGTTATTCTCGCAGCTTCCTAAGCCTTGTTCCTCACCAACAGCGTATGTATGCGTGTGAGAGACGACAGGAGATCTGTGGATCACCCATACTCGTATGATAAAATATAGTGTGATTTACCGAAACCGAGCATCCGCCTCGTTAGCGGGGGGGGGGGGTTCTTGGGTCGATACCTATGCACAGCCTTATTAGCATGGACCCCATTCCAGGGGTCTTTCTATAATATATTAAGCTCTATTCTCGATGTCGCCATCTTCACTTGTTCTTGCGTATTATGGTTAAAGAGCAAAGTCCCCAGATGGGGTGGACTATATCGTATGCTCCAGGGGAAGGGGCATGGTTCTCAAGGATGGTTGATATCTCTACCGCTGGTCGTCACACGTGTAATCTGTATTTCGGCTCACATCTTAGAAGCTGCTATGCCGGATCTCCTCCCTGGGCCGGGTCCCGCCGACTCGTCTTCTTCATCTGCGCGGAACATTCATGTGGAATATGGATTGATGACATCTATACAGAGTTATGTACGGTTGGATACCACACTTGGTCTGTTGGAATACAAGGCTGACGATGCTGACACCGAGCGGCTCCCGTGGTGGAGACCCGACTCGTAGGTTGAGAGGGGAGAGCTTCGGTACGATAAGTGCTATCTGCATGTACAATGGGCTCATCTGAAACGCTTGACCGTTGCTCTTCACTCTCCTCATCGAAGCCTCTGGACACGCCACCAGTCTTCACCTGGTCACGACCGGGTACCGCTGTCGCCGTAGCGTGCAAATCCCGTGGTCGCCGTCCTGTCTTGGACGGTCCTCATTGATCTCTGTCGGCCAGCTATATCCACCTCGTTGGCGAGAGCTACCTGCCATTCCACACCTCGTGCGTGTCCTCTCTTCCAAGGCTTCCGAAGCCCTCTTCCTGGTCTCGACGCAAGAGCACCCCCTTGTCGTGGCGGAACTGGAGCAGACCCGCAATCACCTCGACCACGAGCACACGGCTACGGCTATGCTGCGCGGTCGGCAATCGGTCCAAAGGAAGCCGTTGCTCCCTTCTGAGTCGCCGCTTCCCATGCGCGGGCCCTCCCACTCCTAGAGAGCAGAGGTCCATGTTGGCGAATGGCCCGAGGATGATGCTGAGCCCATTGGCGAGGATAGGAACGTCAGTCTCGTATCGTCTGACCATGGTCGGCGACTGTGGTGTTCTCCTTTGACTGATGAGCTCATTGATATCGACGACTCCGACATGATCCTGTGTCGAGGTCTCGTAGTACGCAGCTTGCTTTGAAGTCGAGCAAGTCGATCCGATCACGCGTAGATGCGCCTTCTATTCCGGTCCGGCTATCAGATGGTGAAGACTTCTTGATCTGCAAATTCCCAGCTTTCACCTGATGATGGAATGGAGTTTTTGTCCGCCTCCAACTCTCAACCCAACCCAACATACTCGTACGCTCCGCACCCATGCTCCTGCGTTCCCATTGACTCCTCAAAGTCTGCTTTCGCCTTCTGCTTCTCCTTCTTGCTTACCTACTGCTTACTCAGCTATGTCATAGAATGGCAGACGTGTATCCTGGCCAGCTACGATGTTGGCGGTCCCAGTATCCCCTAGAGCTGTGCAGCAAACTGGATAGACAGATCATCAGCCAACCTCTTGAAGATGCAAACAACTCCGTAGGTACACGACCAAGCGAAACCACCTAGATCAATCATGATAAAGCGCAGACGTATGACGCACTCACACGGTGAGAATCCAAGAGGCATTGAGTCAAGATACAATCACCCCTAGAGTATACTGTATACTGTCGACACGGCAGCTACAGGGTAAGTAATATCTAAGCTGGGAGTTGGTCGATAATTGCGTCAGAGCTTCTGCACCGTGCGGCGTCATTCGAAACGCCACAGAGCTTTAATTGAGGGAGCGGTAGCCGTAATTGAAAGACGTGCAGATCTTTGTCCGTTCTTTGTTCAAGCTCGGAAACTAGAGAAGAAAAAAAAACGAGAAGAGAGAGCCAAGAATCTGCGCGACATTCGATATCCTTCCTTTCTGGCTCTCCATCTCAACATGCGCACTTCTTCCAGTCACGTTCCATCATCCTCTTTCCCCTGATTTGACGACATACACGCACACACACGCACACACGCTCAAACGACCATGACGTCTCACGAGCAGCCAGACCCCGGCACCGCCGCTGCCGCTGAAGAGCCACGGTCTTCCCGCGGATCATTCTCGTCCGTCTCGACCACCAGCATCGTTTTCGACAGAATATATGAGGAAGCGGAGAAGCAATCGCTGCACCGGAAGCGACAAGACGACCACGACGGCGACCGCGGCGCGGGGACCGGCTACGCAGACTTGGACGGCGACCAGCAACGAGATCTCGAGACGGGGCCGTTCCTCCAACGGGACGACGGAGGCGACGCACCCGACGATGCCTTCGATACCACCTCCGACCTCCCGGGCCAACAGCACATGGACAGGGGCCTGCGCCGCATCCTCATCATTGCAGGCGCCGTCTTCGTCCTCGGCTGGCTAGCCTCGCTGGGCGTCTTCATCGCCACGGGATCCCACCACCACCTCAGCGACGCAGACCACGACCCGGACGCCGACTCCCGCGGCTCCGGAAAGTCCGTCACCCTCGAACAGGTCCAGTCGGGCTACTGGTCGCCAAAGTCGCACAGCATCAGCTGGATCGCCGACCCGGACGGTGCCGATGGCCTGGTCCTCGAGATAGGCGGCGCCGGAAAGGACTATATTGTCGTGGAAGATGTGCGCGCCGGCCATGACGGCGGCGGCGGCGACGCTGAGGATATCGTCAAGCCTCGCACGCTCATGAAGCAGTCTGTATTCTCCTTTGGTGGCATCAGCCACGCGCCGTCCGTGGTAGAGCCCAGCCCCGACCTGAAAAAGGTGCTGCTCGGCGTCGACCGTGAGAAGAACTGGCGCCGGTCCTACACGGCCTCGTACTACATCCTCGACGTGGCGACGCAAAAGGTCGAGCCCCTCGTGTACCTCGACGCCGGCGCCCGGCTCCAGCTGGCCGCGTGGAGCCCCAAGAGTGATGCCGTGGCCTTTGTGCGCGACGACAACAACCTGTATATCCGCAGGGTCGGCGACACCGACGTGGTGCAGGTCACGCGCGACGGCGGGGCCGAGTGCTTCAACGGCGTGCCGGACTGGGTGTACGAGGAGGAGGTGATTCAGGGCCGCAGCGCAACGTGGTGGTCTGACGACGGCAAGCACCTCGCCTTCCTGCGCACCAACGAGACGGGCGTGCCCGAGTACCCGATCCAGTACTTTGTCTCGCGGCCCAGCGGCGCCCCGCCCCACAAGGGCGAGGAGAACTACCCCGAGGTGCGCCAGCTCAAGTACCCCAAGCCCGGGGCACACAACCCCGTGGTCGAGGTGCGATTCTACGACGTGGCGGCCGACGAGGTCTTCGGCATCGACGCCGTGGGGAGCCAGTTACCCGACGACGACCGCATCATCAACCACGTCATCTGGGCGGGTCCCGGACAGGTGCTTGTCAAGCAGACGAACCGCGTCAGCGACGTACTCCGCGTCGTCCTCGTCGACGTGGCGGCTCGTACGGCCAGGACGGTGCGCGAGCGCGACATCGGCGCCGAGGATGGCGGCTGGTTCGAGATCTCCCGCAGCGCCATCTTCGTCCCCGCCGACCCGGACAACGGCCGCCCCCACGACGGCTACGTTGACTCCGTCATCCACCAGGGCTACGACCACCTGGCCTACTTTGCCCCGCTGGATGCCTCCGAGCCCGCTATGCTCACGTCGGGCGAGTGGGAGGTGGACCATGCGCCATCCGCCGTCGACCTCAAGCGCAACCTCGTCTACTTTGTCGCCGCCAAGGAGTCGCCCACCCAGCGCCACGTCTACTCGGTCAGCCTAGTCGGTCAGGACAATGGCAACGACCAGGTCGGCGGAGAGCCGCAGGCCCTGACAGACACCTCGGCCGAGGCGTACTACGACGCGTCCTTCTCGTCCGGTGCCGGTTACGTGCTCCTGACGTACCGGGGCCCCCGGGTGCCCCACCAGCGCGTCGTGTCGACGTCGTCGTCCCCGGGCGAGACGCCGACGTACGAGCGCGTCATCGAAAGCAATGCCGAGCTCGCCCAGCGGGCGCGCACCCACGCGCTCCCCGTCCTCAAGTACGGCGAGGTAGAGGTCGACGACGGCGTGCGCGTGGCGTACGTGGAGCGGCGCCCCCCCCACTTTGACAAGTCGAAGACCTACCCCGTCCTGTTCCACCAGTACTCCGGCCCTGGCTCTCAGCAGGTGGACAGGAAGTTCGCCGTCGACTTCCAGTCGTACGTGGCCTCGTCGCTGGGCTACGTGGTCGTGACCGTCGACCCGCGCGGCACGGGGTACCGCGGCCGCGCCCACCGCGTCCCCGTGCGCGGCAGGCTCGGCCTCCTCGAGGCGTCGGACCACGTCGCCGCGGCCAGGCACTTCGCCTCGCTGCCCTACGTCGACGCTTCCCGCCTCGCCATCTGGGGCTGGTCCTACGGTGGCTTCACCGCCCTCAAGACCCTCGAGCACGACGCCGGCGCCACCTTCTCCTACGGCATGGCCGTCGCTCCCGTCACCGACTGGCGCTTCTACGACAGCGTCTACGCAGAGCGCTACATGGGCACCCCTGCCAGCAACGATGCCGGCTACGACGCCTCCGCCGTCGCCAATGCCACTGCCTTGACCCATTCCGTCCGCTTCCTCCTCATGCACGGCGTCGCCGACGACAACGTACACCTCCAGAACTCGCTGGTCCTCCTGGATCGTCTGGACCTCGAGGGCGCAGACAACTATGATGTCCATCTGTTTCCCGACAGCGACCATGGTATTTCTTTCCATGGTGCCAACGACGTTGTCTATAATAGTGAGTTTCTTTTTCTTTTTCTTCCCCCCCCGTCCTTGCATCCCATACACATCCACACATACAAATATATGTACATATATATATATATATATATATACGACCTTGACGCATTGGAAGCTAACCAGATCCTCCCTCCCCCCAAGAATTGTCAAGTTGGCTCGTCAACGCCTTTAATGGCGAGTGGCTGACCGTTGCCAATCCTGTACCAAACGAAGGACTAAGCCAGTCCTGACGACTTTCAGTGCACGTGTATACACTTGTTGGGTTTCCGTTTCCGGCGTTCTTTGGGCGTGGATTACATTTGTTTTCTTACTGTAGCGTTTCATAGCAGGAATTGTACGATATATCCCTTACACACAAGACTTCATCAGAAGACGATACTCTTCTGCATGTCGCAACCTGTAGTCTAGAGTGTGGATCGGAATCTGCGTCCAAGCTCTACTCACTCACGCATCGTGGCCAATCTCACTACGCATAGATGACGATGGCAATGGCAGATTACAAGAGATTGACAGATTAGATCGAACACCAGATAGGTCATTATTTTATACGCCTCCCTAGCCAACCTCACCTCGCCATCCTTCTCTATAATTTCCCCCCGGAAGAAAGAAGGAATAGGGGCTAGTAGCCAGGAAGACGGGGAACGATAAGAGACTACCAAATTCTGATGGGGGATGGAAAAAAATAAGACAGGGTTACAAGAAGAAAAGAAACTCAGAGCGATAGAAGAAAGCGAGGAAAGAAATCTTTCCTCCGGAAAACCATTTTCCATCAAACCCCCCAACTTTCTTTCGTAATAGACACAGGAGACAATATGATTACAGGCATTGTTTGACTTGGAACCGAATTGACCACAAAGGGGAAAAAAAAAGAGAGAAACAGGCAAAAGAAAAACCTCTATAGGACTCAGAGCATACATAACACGAGCCTAGAAGCCGTATCCGGTAGGCTGAGGGGCGAAACCGTTGGGCTGAACACCGTACGGTGCGGGAGATGCGGCGGGTCCTCCGGTAATCATCAGACGGGTGCCACCCAGGATAGGCGTGTTGTCTTCTGTCTTCTCGTGCTCCTTCTCCTTGGACTTGCGCGCCTCGTTGTCGGCTTTGAGCAGCGAGAGTTCCTTGGTCTGCTGGGCAAGCATGTTGATCATGTACGGCATGGTGAAGTCGTGGAGCCCGTTGCGCCACGAGAGCTCCAGGATGAGGTCGGGGCGGATCAGGTCGTTGCAGGCGTACAGCATGCCCGTGTAGCACTCGCGGTGACCGATGTCGACGAACTGAAAGTGTGGATGTTAGCAACTGGATACTCGGTATGCTGCCTGTTGGGGGAGGGGGTAAACTTACGTAGCGCAGCAGGTCCTCCACGATGTCCGTCTTAGCAGACAGGGCAGCCGTCTCGATGGCGTCCTTGTACAGCTTGTCCTGCTTAGAAAGGGCGATGGACTTCTCCCAGCGCTTGTTCTTGCGGTAGATGCTGGCGGCAATCTGGCGGAAGAAGATCAGGTCGTGTTTCTCGAGGCGGCCGGCCAGCTCGACGGGGTCATAGTTGTCGTAGTTCTGCACCGAGTCGCGGAGCGTCTTATAGTCCTCCTCCTCGATGAGCAGGTCGTTGACAGCCTCGTTGACGATGCGCTTGTTCTGCGACTGGACGTTGAGCAGGAACGGCTTGATCAGGGGCAGGTCGTCATTCTTCTGGAAGATCTTGACGACGCGGTTGACGTCGATGCGGGGCGTGAGGGCGGCCAGCAGGTCCGTCAGCAGCGAAGGGTGCTGCTCGACGTAGAACTTGAGGGCACGGTAGTAGATCTCGAGGTTGGCCACCTTGACGACAATCTCCTTGAACTGGGTGTGGTCCCAGGAGTTCTCGGGACGCTCAATGACGGTCAGAGCGGCGTTGTCGAACTCATCGTAGTGGTAGTAGCAGAAGACCAGCTCAGGCCAGAGGTTGGCCTCCTCCGAGGCGCGGATCATCTTGGGCATGTTCATGCGCGACCAGAAGATCTTGATGTGCTCCATCAGGCGCTCGGGGTGGTACTTGGACAGGGCGATACCGAGCTCGGTGAACATGCCCATGTGGGCGCGCTCGAGGCCGAGACCCTGCTCGAGCAGGCTGATGAGCTCGTCAAAGTAGCCGTTGCGCTCGTACTCCTTGACAAGCTCCTGGAGCTGCTCGGCGTCGACAATCAGGTTGAGACCGCAGATCTGGGCCAGGCGGAACTCCTTCTTCTCCACGCAGGCCTCGTGGACCTGCTTCCACACCTTGATGTTGTTGGCCTTGCGGGCGCATTCGACGGCGGCCTGGTAGTCGGCAAGGTAGACGAGGGTGGTGGCGAGCTTGGCCCAGTTGGAGATGCTCGAGTAGAAGATCTTGGCGGCCTCGTAGAGACCCTCCTCGTAGGCCTTGTCACCGGACTGCTCGACGTTGGCCACGTTGGTGGCGCGGAGGAAGTCCTCGAGCTCCGAGAGCTGGTCCAGGCGTGCGTACGAGAAGGCCAGGGCCGTGTCGATGGGAGGCTCGCGGAGCGTCTTGCGGGCCATGCGCAGGTACTTGACGAGCTCCTCGTTCTTGCCGGCGTGGGTGGCAATCTCGATGACCTCCTCGTGGTTCCTGGGGTCATCAGCCTTGATGTACGACTCGATGGCGTCCGAGACGCGGAGGCCATCGAGCTGGGCCTTGGCAACCTTGCTCCAGACCTCGGGCTCGTCGACCTCCTCGGCGTAAGCCTGGGCACGGTCGATGCTGACGACATGCTCGACGAGGACGTTGACGGCTGAGGTCTTGTCGTCCGCCTTCTTGAAGATCGCAAAGGCCTCCTCGTACAGACCAACCTCGATACACGAAGCGGCGATGTCGTCGGGGCTGTAGCCGTCGAGCTTGTGGATGTAGTCCATGACACGGGCCTTGTCGGCCTTGGCGGCGGTGAACATGAGCAGGTTCTGGAGGTTCTGGTTGTCGCTGAAGGGCGAGGGCTCGAGGACAATCTTCTCGAGGAGCTCGATGAGCTCGAGGGGCATGTCGTTCTCGAGCAGGGCCGAGACGGCGACGGAGACCTTAGCAGGGTCGGTAGACTCGGGGACGGCCGTGGCCGTGACCTGGTCGACGACGGAGCGGCGGTGGATGTTGTTCTCGCTCAGGACGAAGCGCCACAGCTCGTTGTCGGAGCGCTCCAGCAGGTAGCGGGCCTGGGCCCTGTACATGGAGTTCTCGTTGGTGATGTTGACGAGCTCCAGGTCGTTCTGGCCCTTGGAGTAGGCGATGAAGGCCAGGTTGGGGTCGCGCTTCTCGCAGTACTTACCAACGGTAAGCGTGTCGTACTGGTCGTTCTCCTTGAGGAACTTCTCGGGGTTGTTGTTGGAGTCGATGTAGATCTTGGCCAGAGCGTTGAAGACACCCTGCTGCTGGTTGCCGGCCTGGAGAGTGGCCTCGAGGAAGGGAAGCAGGAGCTTGAGGCGGTTGCGGGTCTCGACCTCGCCGACAAGCTCGTCGATGTTGATCTGCTGGGCGTTGACGGTGGTCAAGAGCTGCTTGATGATGGCCTCGTCGCAGTCCACGTCGAGCAGGCCGCCGACGACGGCGGGGGTCCTGCCGGGGTTGACGCGCTGGACGTACGACTCGATGGCCTGGAACTGCTGCTTCTGGTAGAGGAAGAGGATGAGGTCGTGCACGAAGTTGAACCTGTCGCAGACGATGATGAGAGGCAGCTGCTCAGGAAGGTTGGCCTCCTTGAGGAAGTTCTTGACCTTTTCGGGGTTGTAGCTGTTGCTGTCGCGGCAGATGCGCTCGACCTCGTTGAACTGGCCCATCTTGGTGGCGGCCTCGATGTACTTGAAGTGCACATCGGGGTCCTCGGACAGGTTGACGACGCTGCCGAGGTAGTAGAAGAGGCCCTCGGCTGTCTTGTACTTCTCAAGCAGGTCGATGATGCGAACGGGTCCGAGCAGCTCGGAGTACTTGGTGGCAATGGTGACAACGGACTGCAGGTTCTGGCGGATGTTGTGCTTCATCATGGCGTCGAGGCAGTCGAGGGACTGCTCGACAGACAGCTTGCCGAAGAAGGCAGTCAGCCACTCGGGGTTGAAGTTGGCCTGGCCAGGGATGTTGACGATGACGCGCTTGATGGCCTCGGGGTCCTCGTAGAGCTCCAGAGCCTTCTGGGAGAGGCCGGCCTGCTCGCACAGGGCGGCGATGCGCGTCTTGTCGAAGTGACTGAACATCTCGTTGCCGAGGATGGCCTCGGCGACCTGGGGGGCGTGCATGAGGTTCATCTCCAGGAGGCGAGTCTGCAGGCGGGCGTGCTCGGGCTTGTTGTCCTTGAGGGCGTCGAGCAGGAAGGCGGTGGCCTGCTGGATCATGCCCTGGGACTGGAAGATGTCGCAGACGCGCTCAAGGTCGACCAGAGGTCCCTGCTCGCTGTTGGCCAGAGCGGTGGCGAACTCGGCACCCTTCTCGGGGTTGACGCGGATGATGTGCTGGAGCAGCTGGACATAGTCGGGCTGGTAGCCGGTCTGGGCCGAGTAAGGCAGGATCTTTTCGAACTGGCCCGTCTCGGCAAAGCCGGCCACGACCTTGTGAGGGACGTTGGCCTTCAGGTAGATGACCAGGGCCATGTTGACGTCGTAGGGGCGGACGAGGTCACCGAGCCTCTCGGAGCAGCTGAGCTTGTCCTCCTTCAGCCACTTCTCGAGGAGGTGCTTGCGGTTCTGGGCCAGGACGGGCTGGGCCAGCTCGAGCGTCTCGTGGTCGTTGAGCGAACCCTTGTCGAGGAGCATACCGAAGTACTGCAGAGTGTAGGCCATCTGTCCGGGGGCGACAGGCAAGCGCTTGAACTTCTCGATGGTGGCCGGGGTGCGCAGGAAGCCGCGAGGAGAGTTGGCGGCGATCTTGGCAGCCTCGGCGTAGTTGGCCGAGTTGAAGAGCTGCTCGAACTGCTTGGCGTAGAGGTCATCGGCACCGGGGAGGCCAGCGCGCGAGGCCATCTTGATGGCGATCTCGGCGTTGGCGGGGTTCTGAAGCAGGTAAGGGATGACGGTGGAATCGTCGACGGTGACGAAGAGTACCTGGCCCTTGCGGTTGATACCGACGATACCGGTAGAGTCATTGTCGGTACAGGTGGTGAAGATGGTCTCGCTCGAGATGCGGTTCATGAAGATGCAAGTGCCCGTCTCGAAGTCGTAGAGGTGGATGAAACCGTACTTGGTGACCATGAAGACGACGCCGTACTTCTGCGAGACCTGCAGGGCGACGGGGAAGTCGTTGGTGGCCTCGGGGGGGAAGAAGATGTCGACAGCCTTCTTCTGGAAGACAGGGTTGGACTCAGGGTGATCGACCTCGACGATGTGGAGCTTGGCGCCGGTAGCAGTGCGGACAGCAAAGGTGAAGAGCTTAGTGTCCTGCGGAGCACCCTCCAGACGGAGAGTCCCGAAGGAGGCGGCGTGACCCTCGATGGCCTGGCTGATACCGCGGTCCTTGGAGTACAGCTGCATGGCACCGACGACGCGACCCTGCTGGGACGAGATGCCGACGACGACCATCCACTTGCCGTCCGAGTTGACGCGGTAGTTGATGATTTGGCAGCCCTGAGGCGGGGAGAGATGTTAGTGGAGCTCTCGGGGGCCGGCTGAAAAGCAAGACGCTGCAGGGGAGAGACATAGGTAGGGATCTCAGGAGATAGGTGACGTACGTTGAGGTTGGCGTTGCGCTCAAAGACCTTGACGGGGGTATCCTGAGCAGCGTCGTAGATGTCCCAGTGGTAGACGGATGAGCTGGTGACAAGACCGAGGGTGCTCTCGCTGACCCACTTCCAGAACTGGACGTCCTCGTTCATGGTGCAGGACTTGAGCTTCTTCTTCTGCTCGAGGTCGAAGATCTGGAGGGTGCGGGCCTGAGCCTTGAGGGCAATGACATGGCGGGTCCAGTGCATGATGGCACTATCAGCCTTGATGGGTCGCCTTGTGACATTGTTACCGCTCTTGAGCTCGACGATGACGACTTCGGGGGAAGCATCCTCGCTCTTCTTTTCACGGATACAGACGTAGTGGTCGGATTCGAGTGTCTGTTTCAAGAAGTAGATGGGTCAGCAGGGGAGAGGGGGGAGGGGAAGTGGTCGAGTTGGTCTGGTTGGGGTGGTGCCCGAGCCACTGTCCTCTGTAGAACAGGGCGCGCATGTTGCGTGCACATCGGGTACACAACAGACAAGAGTCAGAGACGAGGGGGTACACTAACGCAAGAGTTGAATCCGATGGATTGCGCTTCCACGCCGCAGCTGGTGAGCTGGACCAGCTCCTGGAATCTGATGGGTAGAGGCGCCATGACGCCAAAGTAGCTTGAGGGGCGGGTTGAATCAGGTGGAAAGAAGGGACCGTCGTCAACCCGATATTTCGTCTGAAGTTATAGGAAACCAACAAGTAGAGAAAGCCGTCGTCTGGTAATGATTATAACCGGTCGGCCGCGGTAGAATCAGCTGGAGGGGAGCTGTTGTGATGTTGGCAAACAGGAGAAGCTGCCATGCGCCACGCGGCAGGAGGGGGGGGGGGGGGGGGGGGGGGGGGGGGGGATAGAAAGGCGAGGCAGGAGGCGGTAGCTCTGAAAGGATCGGATTCGAAGCAAAGGTCTGAGGATAAGTGAATGGACAGAGAAGATGACGGCGACTTGCTTGCAAAGATGACAAGCACCTGGGGGGAGAGGGCTAGTCGTGTCGTGATCGTTAAAAACAGAGGTCGTGAGATTAAGGAGGAAAGGGCAGATGCGATGATGACGGGGTGAAAGGAGAGTGGAAGGTTGTTTTGGCCACAATGCGTTGCGGTGACCTCAGTTGTAAACGGTGGTATTGCCCTGAATACTCCGCAACAGCGCTGCTGGGGAGTGCTGGGGAGTGCTGGGGACAGCTCGGTGCGCTGAAGAGACGGGTGGGAAGTACAGGAAAGGAGCAGCCAAGGCCGTCTAGAACGTTATCCCCTTCGACCGTTTTACCGCGTACGCCTAGAGGCTCCCCGTATTCGTACTCCGTAATACTGGCTCCGTAATAATAGCCGCAGCCTGGAGCTGATGAAGGCGGGCCCCCCCCTACAAGACAAGCTGTGACGAGCCATGTAAAATAGGCCCTGGTGCGCTATAAATACAGGCCATTCAGAACGTCCAGGCGCCCGGACAGGCCGCCAGGGGCACCGGGTGTGGGGGGAATATGGAAACCCAACCCTTAATCACTGAGAAGACAATAGTGGGGACGATTTCTACCACTGTTATTACTCGCAATCCCGCACCGGCCGTCGTGTACCAGCATCGAAGCTTGACCCAATCACATACTGATTTCGTCCGGGAGAATCGGTTAATCCGACCGGGCGCGATCGAGACACGCTGTCAATTGAGGCTGCTGCACGTTACCGTATCGACGCCCGTTTTATGTTTTGTTACCTGATTCGTCTTTGTTTAGTACTGGGTATGTGAGAGTGATTCAGTGCTGGGGTCTATCGTCATAGTCACTGGCTCACCCACTCACTCCAACACATCAATGTTCTATCACTTCTGATTACGTTTTTTTCCATCATATAATCACCCATCCTCCCCAACAAGCAAGCGAGCACACATCACCATGGTCTTATCGAGGGGAACCCGCGACACGGTTTACCTCGCCATCGTCGGCACCCAGCTGTTTGGCATGCTCGGTAAGATGGCCAAAGGCTTCCTTCCTCTTGACACACATGACACCCAAAGCTAACAGCATGCTTCCTACTCCTCGCAAGTGCTCGATCTGGTGAGCCTGTATCCCAAGTCGCTCTGGGAGAGCCCGTCGGCGCCTCTGCACTTTCTCACGTCCCTGCGCGAGGCCTACGTCTCCATGACGGGAGACCCATTCTTCGCGGCGTCCACCCACGAGCCCTGGTTCGAGGCCTTCCTGTACCTGGAAGCGGCCGTCCAGCTGCCTCTGACGGCGTACCTGGCGCGCTCGCTGTCCGCGGCCAGGAACGCTGCGACGACGGAGCTGTCAGGTCTGGTGTACGGTACCATGACGGCCACCACCTCGGCCGCGACCTGCTACCACCTCTGGCAGCTGGGCGAGGATGTCGTGAGCAGGCAAGACAAGGCCCTCATCTTGTACGGCGAGTACGTCCCGTTTGTCATAATACGTGAGTTCGTCACTCTCATGCGAGACCCACTCCTCCCAATCGTCTGACTCTTCGGTTGACCAACCGATGCGCCTACAGCTCTCATCATGGCCATCGACATGTACCAGAGACTGCTGGTCCGTCTGGACAGTGTTCCTGCCCCGGCAAAGAAGCAGCAGTAGATTCGGAACATGACCAGCATCGTTTTTGTTCTCCGAAAAAAAAAAAAGTAAAACGTCCCCTGTAATGCTGGGTATCTATTATTATATATTCACTACTGGGTATTCAGGAAACGACAACTCTCGGGCTCTTCGACCAGTCGTATGAAAGGGCAAACAAGGAAAATATCGCATTAAGTATTATCTCTCCACATCAGTCCATCCTCTTAGAGTATCCCCAACCGTTGCCCACGCCCTTCGTGCCGAGGCCGTAGCCCAGGGGCGTGGCACCACCCATGGCGCGTCCCCTGAGCCTGCGGGGGAGCACGACACCGAGGGTGTACATGGCGGCGGCGAGGGCGCCGGCGATGAACGAGACGAGGCCGTAGAAGACCGTGCTGGCGTAGACGTGGCCCCCCAAGCCCTGCCACTCGACGCGGCCGTCCGTCTTGGGCAGGGCGGGCGTGGGGAACCATCGGACCGAGAAGGTGAGCGGCAGGGGGTCCCCTATGACGAGCCTGCGCGTGAACGACCCGTCCATGTGGCTGAGCGGCGACGTGCTGTAGGCTATGCCCGAGTCGAGCACGCCGCTGTCGTGCCGCCGCGTGTGGTGCTTGGGCGTGCTGTGCAGCAGCACGTTGAGGTGGGTGCTGATGTGGATGTGGCTCAGCTGCAGCGTGCCCGCCAGCGCGAACACGAGCGGTATGTACTCGACCGGCGGAGGCTTCTCCCCCAGCACCTCGACATGCGACGGAGGCCGTGACGGGAGCCGGCACGCCATCGGCGCATCGCTGTGGATGTAGAACTCGAGCAGGTGGAAGAAGGGGTCGTCGATCATCGGTATCGTGCAGTTGGTCTCGCCCTCGGTGCCGTAGTTGAACTCGAGCGGTCGTCCCGTCTCGTTGCACACCGGGAACGGTATCCATTCGATCTCGTGATTTGCTGTTTCCAAGTGCTCGCCCGTTTCTCTGTTTGATTTTCCTGTCAGTCTATTCTCTGTCCGTCTTTTATTTTTCTTTTCCCCCTTTTGACGCGTCCGTTCTTTCTGGTAAGAGGACTGTGGGGGTGGGGATGACATACGAACTCCTCTTCATGCATTCCACCTTGATCGGTGCCCCGTAGTGATATGATGGCAGAGCATCCATGTGCGTGGCAGCATTGGCCAAGGCGAGGCTCGCCAGGATGAGACTCGTCGAGAAGAGCATATTGTTATTCAATTTCCAATTGAAGTCGTCGTTCAGCGTGTCAGGAGAAGTAAAAGGCCTCAGTGCATGGCTCTATTCCCCAAGAAGGAGAGAAGGAGATAATGGTTACTTATAAAGGAAGGGGGGGGAAAGGTTGATATCTTGTTCAAGCGACCGTCATCACCAGAGTGGATTCGCAACGACGTGGCTCATCAACTTTACTCCTGGTACGTGCATAAGTGTCTATTCAGGTACCCATTACGGCTTTACGGCTTACTAACCTGACGTGATCCATCACGTGTATCCTTTGTCGCTATCATTTTTACACATGATACTAGTAGTACTACGGGTATATATACACATTTACATCGTATACAACTTGGAGTTGATCCCAATCGTTTGCTCCCTGATGGGGACAATGATGAAATAGTAAGTGGTAATATTACACACATATGCAGAATCTACCAGAAATCAACTGTCCACCTTGGCCACGTTTAGACGCCCTTGACAACATATTCTTGTTCACCATACTAAACCGATAAGAAAAGAAGAAGAAAAGTAGAAAAAACCTTGGGATGAACAGAAGAGGAAAAGAACTATGCAGTGGAAACAAAATGTGATATCATAGGCTGAGCTGGGAGGGAAAGGTTTAAGTGAGACTGGACAGGAGGGATAGGATAGAGTAGACAGACGGTTTCACATGAACCGCATACTACCCACAGGTAGCCTCTCCACCAACCCAGCAACCTCTCTCCTCAACGACCTGAGCGCCGCCCTGATATCAGCCAGGTCTGCGCCGCCGGGGTTCTGCCCCCTCCCGGGAGCGGGGAGCTCGGTCTCGCACTTCTGCAGGAGCTCCCCGACAGCGGGGCCGATGGCCCCGCCCTTGCCGGTACCTCCGCGACGACGCACATCAGCCACCCAATCACCCACGGCGAATACGATGAGTTCGATGACACGGCTGCGCGTGGCTCCCCTGAAGCCCCAGTCCTCCGTCTCGAAGACACCCTCGAGGACGCGGACCACCATGTCGTGCGACACGCCAAGCGTGAGGAACAGTCGGACCGGCCAGCACGGGTCCGCGCCGATGCTGCGGTCCTGGCCCTCAGCTACGGCGTACCGGCACAGCTCCGGAAGCAGCGTGGGGATGGGGAACACGAAGCTGTCCAGGGACAGGTGGTGCGCTATGGTCTGGATCTTGGACGACACCGCCTCGTAGGGCATCGGCGTCGTGGACAGCGAGGTTGGGTCCGCCGACTCCCGGCTCTGCAGGACCTCATCGTGCACCTGGTGGATCAGGTTGGTCCACGTCCCCGCAATCGTCGTTGACGTGCGGTAGTCGGCTGCGTGGTAGATGAGCAGGCAAAGGTCGTAGTAGCCGGCTTGGTCGGCGTAGCTGTTGAAGAGCTGCGACACACGAATGTTAGCATCTCTAGTTTTTGGATCCTGGTTCCTCCTCGTTCCTTCTTTTTTTTTCTTTCGCTTCCTGGTTTCGGTGCAAGCTGCTTGGGATAGGGAGAAGGAGAGGGGGGGGGGGGGGGGGGGGGGGGGGTATTTACCGTTGATAGATCTTCAATCTTTCCATCAAGATCACGTGTAACCTGGACACGCCTCTCCTCATCAAAGCGCACATCGGCATGGAGCCTCTCCAGCAGGTCATCCTGGATGTTGGCAATCTCCAGCAGCTCCGACACCTCGTGGTTGAGCAGCTGCTGCTGCTGGCGGCTGACGCCCACGGTCGAGACGTTGGCGTTGGCCTTGGCGAGGCTAAGCAGCCTGATGCGGTCCTTGATGCCCAGGGGGAAGTCCGACGTGGCCAGCTGGACCTGGACCTCTGCGGCGTCGAAGAAGCGGCTGCGGTTGGTGTAGAAGCGGCAGAGGAGGTCGGCGTGCTGGACGTCGGTGGACGCGAGGCGCTTGAGGAACGTGACCACGTGAGGGGAGTCGATGGCCAGGATGCGATCCGTCCAGCCCTGGCTGACGTACCAGGCGTACAGGTCAAAATGGAAGACCTGGTCATCCGAGTTGTTGACGACGCCGTACGCCTCGAGGCGCTTGGTGGCCATGAGGGTGAGCTTGCCGTCGACTAGCTCGGGCTCGCGGGCCGCCGCCGCATCGACGTGGCTGAGGGCCTCGTGGACCATGTCGTAGCAGCGCTTGCGCTCGTTGTAGGCCGCTGCGCGGGGGTCCGACGCGGGGCGCCCGTCGTTGACCCACGACAGGGCCGTGTTGCCGCGATCCTTCTCGTGCGCCACCACCAGGCACAGCCGGATCGCACCGGCGTAGTACTTGAGCTCGACAAACTGCGCCACGGCCGATTGGAGGTTGGCCGGCGACAAGCTGCCCGCCACCTTCTCAAATAGCCGGAGGCTCTCGGCCAGCAGGGCGCGAGACTGGCTCGTGTTGGGGGGCTGCTCCGAGGCGCGCTTGAGCTGCTCTTGCGCCTTGAAGATGACCACGTCGTCCGGGCTGCAGAAGCTGCCGCACCGTCGCCGCAGGGCGTCCGCCACCGTCTCCACGTTGGAACCGCTCTCGATGTTGCGGTTGACAATCGCCTTGACCACCAGCTTGGCCAGCTCCTTGCCATCCGAGTCGGCGAACAGCTCCGCGTATGTCAGCACCTTGAACTGCTCCTGGGCCGGGCCGTCCAGGCGCGTGTAGATGTCGGCCACGCGCTCGTCAAAGAGCATCAGGACAAACGAGATACCCTCCGAGATGCTCTCCATGAGCGTCTGCAGCGCGTGCAGGGCCTGGTGCTCGGCCTGCAGCGCAACCTCCTCCTGCCGCGAGGATGCCCTCTGCAGGTCGGACGGTCCCGAGAGGCCCTGGATGAGCCCCCGGTTGGCGTGCAGGAACCTGCGCAGGCGCTCGACGTACTCCTGCACCTCGCCCAGCTTGGGCAGCGGGATGGACGAGCTGACGGCGATGCCACCCGTGGGCGCGGGACCCAGCTCGACGACGGGTGCGCGCCACAGCGTGCGGACCAGACGCGCCAGATACAGGACGAGGGCGTCATGGCGCGACGACAGCTTGACTGAGTCCGTCGTCAGCACGGTACCGTCTGTCTCGGTGATGGTGGGCTGGCCGCCGTAGTCGACAAAGACGCCGCGAGCGCGGTCCTCGGTTATCTGGTCGATGGCGCGGGGAGCGCCGGGCCTCGAGTCGCCACCGTGCCCGCAGGCGACGGCCAGGGCGGCCGAGACGGTCTCGACACGGCCGTAGGCCTGGATGAGGCGGCGGGCGACCTGGTCGAAGCCCTCATCGCCGACGACAGAGCGGATGGTGGAGGCGAAGATGTCGACGAAGCGCCTCCTGCGGATGACGTGGACGCCTGTATTGGTCAGGACGGCAAACTCGGTAGGGTCTTCATCGAACTGGACGGCCAGCTCGTTACCGAAACCGACGGGTTGGGCGGCGGCGGAGAACGGCTTGGTGGTCAGGCCGACGGCCTCGGCGCGGCTGCCAATGTCGATCCAGTTGGCACTCTCGGGGTACTTGACCGTGGACAGGGCCGAGACACTCTTGATGCGGCCCGTCTCGGGGGCGGCGAGGAAGAGGGAGTCGGTGTTGTCGACGCCGTTGCTGACAAAGTCGAGGAAGTATCCGGGCGGGAAGCGGTAGCCCTGGCGACTGGGCTTGAGGGTCTGCAGCTCGGAGCCGGCCATGGCGAGCCTCCGGGCGACATCCTGGGTGGGGAACTTGATGAACTGAACCTGCATGCTCTGGGGGGCGAGGTTGGAAGAGGAGCTATAGAATGCCGAGGCGTTGGTGGCGCTAAGGAAGAGACGGCAGCCCGTGTTGGTCAGGGCCATGAGGTGCAGCTTGGAGGCCTCCTGCTTGGCGATGGGACTGATGGAGACGATCTCCATGCGGCTGGAGAGGAGCTTGGCGTCGTCCGTCATGTGTGTTATATCGCGGACGCAGCTGATCTTCTCCTTGACGATGACGTTCTTGAGCCCGCTGGGCGGCTCCATGTGGTAGGTGCGGATGGTGGAGGCACTGGAGAGGGTGTAGATGAGGTTGCGCGAGTCATCGATGACAATGTCGACGAGGTGCTCAGGGGCCTTGTTGACCCAGAAGGACGACTGAAGCGTCATGATGGACGACCAGCCTGGGTTGGTGTGGTTGATGCGGCCGCAGCGATTGGAGAACCACTTCTCCTCGGACTGGTAGTAGAGCTCGTTGACGTCGACCTCGTTGCTTCCGCCAAAGAAGATGCGGCCGTCGGCGGAGCCGGCGATGATGCGCACGTCGGTGCCGCGCAGGGGCAGCGTCATCTTGGTCTGGTACAGGGCCACGGACCGCGTGCCGGCCGGGGTGGTGGTGACGGACACGCCCAGCAAGATCATGTCGGCCGACGTGGCCAGGGCCAAGATGTAGTTGATGGAGTCGACGAAGATGCCCGGCTTGGGCGGCACCAGGGCGACGGCGTGGATCGTGTGCGGCTGGTCCTCGAAGCCGATCAGCTCCGGGTCGCTGAGCGTGTAGTCCCACAGGAAGATGGAGTTGTCGATGACGACCCAGGCGTGGCTGATCTCGGCAAACAGGCCCATGAGCGTCTGGAGCTTGCCCGAGTTGTAGTGGTCAAAGACCTGGTTCGGTATCGGGAACATGTTTGTCTTGTGGAAGGGCGCCGAAGCCGCATCGGGGCTGGACAGTTCATAGTCGGCGGAGACTCCTTCTGCAGAGGAATGTCAGTATATCGTCTCTTTTGTTTTTCTTCGCCATTCTTCTTCTTCTTCTCCTGCTGCACATTGTTTGAGCCCAGTTCGTCTGAAATACTCACGTCTGATGTACGAATCGAGATCGGGGAAGTTCTCATCCGACTGCAGACACTGATTGACAGCCCTAGCAGCCTTGATGACGGGTGCCACCGTCTCTGCCCTCGGCGGAGCAATGGGCGTCACGGCCGTCGATGCCACAGCTCCTCCTGTCGCCGTCATAGCCACGGACGTGATAGGATTGGGCCCAGAGGCAGCAGCAGAAGATGCCACTGGAGTGCCGCCCAGCTGCTCAGAAGGTGCCGACGGTGGGAACAGTTGCCTACGCGTAGGATCCGACGAGGCACCTCCAGACTGGTATCGTGAGACAACGGCAGGCGTGTTGAGGAAGGCGCCAGGCACAGGCCTCATGGGGGTAGCTTGAGGGAACGACATTTTTTCGTCTATTCTCTCTTTGTTTTTTTTTTAAAAAAAAAACAAAAAAAACAAAAAACAAAAACCCTCTACTTCGTTCTTTCTTCCTTCACCGACTTGAGAGGCGGATACCCACCTCTCGTCAAGGTCACACTCTCTTCACCGGCTGATCAATGGTGACCAGAACAGGACAGTTACCATGTAGTGCCGTTCGAGCTTCGGGCGCAATCAAGCGGGAGTTCGTCGTCGATGGGGCGCGCAAAGCTGCTCGTGCCAAAATGAGGACCGGCAGAGGGAGGGTTTGGTTGCGGTTTACGGGCGAGCGACGGCTACTGTTGTCGAGTCAATTCCGCAAGCCGTCGCGATCTCGGGACACTCGAAGACGGGAGATGACCGAAAGAGCTCCCGAACGGTTTCAGGATAGGGAGGGGAAGACGGAGGGTGGGAGAAAGTGAGGGGAGAGAGACTTGGATGGACTCAAGGGCGTCGGTTGGTGAGAGTTTGTCTGGAGGTTGGTTTTGGGTCAAGGGCACAGGCAACAGACGGCATGTTTTTTTTTGGTGGGTCCTTCTTTTGGCGCGTCGCTGGTGCCTCTGGTTCGAATGCCCGACCACGAGCTTCCAGGTCTGCAGCTGCAGCTTCTACCGCTAGATTCTACATAATTCTTCAATTCAATGATGAATGCAATGAAGAGTACGGCAATGGATGCTTCTCCGGGGTTTCTTTGGTTTATGATTTTGTTCTAATCTTGTCCGTGTGTTTCTTTATTTCTTGCTTCTAATGAGTCAGAAACTAGAACAGTCCTACCCCATTGCTGTCACCAATACACAAGCAAGACGGCCATGACAGCTATTGTTAGTATCGATGTTATATGTCCCCGTAGGCCCCATTGACTTCCTCGCCCCATTGTACATTCGTCGTTCCAATCGTTGCGTTATTCTGTTCTTCTCCCGTTCAAACCAAGCAGCACGTGCTGCTGATACCAGATGGACGGTCCCCCCCCCGGTCATATCTTACTGCTTCTTGGACTCGCGCTCAAGCTTGCGGAGAGCCCGCCTGCGGATGTCGACGTGCATGCTCTTGTTCTGGCCAATGACGATCGGGTGGTAGACACCGACGACGCTCTCGATGACCCAGACCATGACCGAATGAGCCCACCAGGGCGTGTAGGTGCTCGAAGCGGTCTGGTAGCCTCCGCGGCCGATCTTGCCGAGTGCGGACCTGACAAAGTTGGGGGCGGTGGGGATGAGGAGGGAGGCGCGGCGGATCTTGCTCATGGCCGTGGTGACGAGATGGCTGAGGACGAGGTAGACGTCGACGTTGTCATCGGCCAGCTCAGCGGCCAGGGCACTGCTCCAGTACTGGAGGAAGGCCTTGCTGCCCGAGTAGGTGGCCAGGAGGGGCGTGGGGCTCCACCCGGCCGTCGAGCCCATGGTGAGGATGAGACCCTTGCGGCGCTGCCTGAGGATGGGGGCCACAATCTTGGTTACCTTGAGCGTGCCCAGGCAGTTGATGGTGACGATGTTCTGCATCTCATCGTCCGTGGTGTCGAGAAACTTGACGGGCATGTTGTGGCTCTGGCCGACATTGTTGATGAGGATGCCGACGTCCAGAGGGGCAACGAGCTCGCGGAGGCCCTCGTAGTCGTCGTCGTCGTCCTGGGAGAAGTCCATGGCGAAGGTCTTGGTCTCAATCTTCTTCTCGGCGTACTTGGTCTCGATCTCGGTCGCGAGGTCGGTGAGCTTGGACTGGGTTCGGGAGACGAGCACCAGGTTGAAGCCCTTGGCCGCCAGCTGCTTGGCGTACTCCTTGCCTAGGCCGTCCGAGGCACCCGTGATGACAGCCCAGGTTCCGGGCTTGCCATACTTGCGGAGCTAATTTTACGATATTCGGTCAGCATCAACGCGGTGCTTGCTCGGCCCACAAGGCCCAGACATTTAGAGAAAGAAGGAAGGTTAGAGGAGAGGAACATACGTCGGTGCCACCCAGAACAAAGACGTTCAGGACGAACTGGGCGAGACCCAGGAGCTTGGAGCTCAGGACCAGAGCTCCGAGGCCGGCAAGAGCCCACTGCACGGGCTGCGGCACGCGCTGAAGAATCTCAAGCGCAGAATCCATTTTGTTCCTGTATTTCTTGTCTCCCTTTCACTCTGCTTCTCGTCTTCCCCGATGATCTGCAGTGGTAGAGCGACTTGGTGATGGTGCAAGAGCGTTAGGGCAGACGGAGGTTTTCAAGGGAGACGGGAGTGATGCAACAATTTGCAGGGGGTTGGGGCACAGGTCG